TTAAATCATCACGGCGGCTCACCAGAGATGCGGATGTAGTTGATGGAGTTGGTTGATGATAGAGCGGTTATTGGGTTAAATGGCACGTTATTTATTCCATTCAGCATTGGAACTTCTATCAGTCAACTCTGGTAGTATCAAGGGCTGGTTGTCATCAGTTGTCATCCCAAAACTTGGTGGGAAAGGGATATGGTGAACACCAACTGCAAGTCTTGGAGTCAATGATTTCTGGCTGGTGGTCTCACAGTTCAGTTTCACCATTTTTAAATATGTTTTATTGTTCATTCGTATTTTTTCAAGGGGGTTTATACAAACCAACCAGATGTTGAACCAGTCCCAAATCACAGTCGTGCTTCGCCGTATTGAGGCCCACAGCCATTCGACGAGCAGCGGTGCGCCATTCTTAGAGGTCATAGGTCCTGAGTAGATTGCACGCACACACACATGAATAAGGATATAATAAGACATGAAACAAAGACATATATATATATAAATGAAAAGATGTAGATACATATCTACATAATTCTACATATACATATGATAATACATACATACATATATAAATAAATATATATATATATATATACGCACTTACTTACATACATACATACATACATGCATACATGCATACATGCATACATGCATACATGCATACATGCATACATGCATACATGCATACATGCATACATGCATACATGCATCCATGCATACATGCATACATGCATACATGCATACATGCATACATGCATACATGCATACATGCATACATGCATACATGCATACATGCATACATGCATACATGCATACATGCATACATGCATACATGCATACATGCATACATGCATACATGCAAACATGCATACATGCATACATGCATACATGCATACATGCATACATGCATACATGCATACATACATACATGCATACATGCATACATGCATACATGCATACATGCATACATGCATACATGCATACATGCATACATGCATACATGCATACATGCATACATGCATACATGCATACATTGATAGATGCATACATAGATACATACATAGAAACATACATGCATCCATGCATACATGCATACATGCATACGTGCATACATGCATACATGCATACATACATAGATGCATACATGCATACACGCATACATACATAGATACATAGATGCATACATGCATACATGCATACATGGATTCATGCATATATGCATACATGCATACATGCATACATACATAGATGCATACATGCATACATGCATACGTGCATACATGCATACATGCAGACATAGATAGATGCATGCATAGATACATACATAGATGCATACATGCATACGTGCATACATGCATACAGACATAGATACATAGATGCATGCATAGATACATACATAGATGCATACATGAATACATGCATACATGCATACAGACATAGATACATAGATGCATACATGCATACATGCATACATGCATTCATGCACACATGCATACATGCATACATGCATAGATACATAGATGCATACATGCATACATGCATACATGCATACATGCATACATGCATACATACATAGATGCCTACATGCATACATGCATACATGCATACATGCATACATACATAGATGCATACATGCATACATGCATACATGCATACGTGCATACATGCATACATGCATACATAGATAGATGCATACATAGATACATACATAGATACATACATAGATGCATACATGCATACATGCATACATGCATACGTGCATACATGCATGCATGCATACATGCATACATGCATACATGCATACATGCATACATACATAGATGCATACATAGATACATACATAGATACATACATAGATGCATACATGCATACATGCATACATGCATACGTGCATACATGCATGCATGCATGCATACATGCATACATGCATACGTGCATACATGCATACATGCATACATAGATAGATGCATACATAGATACATACATAGATGCATACATGCATACATGCATACATGCATACATGCATACATGCATACGTGCATACGTGCATACATGCATACGTGCATACATGCATACATGCATACATAGATAGATGCATACATAGATACATACATAGATGCATACATGCATGCATGCATAGATACATAGCATGTGTACAGACATAGATACATAGATGCATGCATGCATGCATGCATACATACCTACATACATAGATACATAGCATGTGTAGATTTAGATAACTTCCCAAAGAGGAGGACCCCAAATCTTACACAAAAGGTGCTGTTTTTTTGTGCCCCGAATTTGAGCAACACGCAGGTCCAGGTCCTCGCAACTAGTGGTGACTGGTGTATCTGGGGAGATTAAGTTATGGGTGAGTTCGTGGTTTCTCTCCGATGTTTCAGAAAAAACGGAATAAATATGTTTCAGATGCATAAAACCAAACATGTTGGTCTTGGGAGTGTTTGTTGCACCCAGTTGCACCTCGTACTTGTTGGTTTTTTGAGTTTCTTTTGGGTTGTTTGGCATCGGCGCAGCTTTGGTTTCTCGAAGATTAAGAGCTAAAATTAAACCCATACAACTACCATCTGGGTATGACTAACATAGCCATGGAAAACCACCATTTTTAATAGGTAAACCATCTATAAATGGGTCATTTCCCATGGCTATGTTAAATAACCAGATGGTAAAGGAATTTAAAAACCCAAACCCACTGATTGTTTTATACTGCATACTGGAGAGGATAATACCTTATTAACAATACCATCACTACAGGTGATCGTAATTCAACCACAGCATATTCAGACCCGGTTGATTGCTTGGTGGTTTCGATTTCTCATGATTCGGTCCATGCTCTGGAAAAATGATGCCCAATTGACCAGTGTGTTTTGGATGCGTGCTTCGTCAAGAAACAATCAATCATGCACATTGGTCAAATGATTCACTCCCACCAACAATGGATGGGTTGAATTAAGATTTCATACCAATCAATGGATTGGTTTGCAGGAAAATCGACACCATCGACACCATGGTTTGGATTGCATCCAACCTACATAGTGGTGCCCCATAGATAGCTAAGTTGGTTTAGAACTACAAGAAGTAGGACTTATGGTAGATATATCTATAGTTGATGGGGGTTATAAACTAACTTATAACTTGGGGGTACCACATTGTAGGCTTCCTGTATTTTTTTCCCTTAAGCCAATCCAATCGAAACCCAGGTACACTGCCTCGTGCGGATCCTGCGATGCGAAGCTGACATGGGGTGCCAACCGGTGGAGAATCGGTGTTTCTACAAATATAGCAGTATGGCCATATATAGACATATTTCATGTACATATATGTATATATACATACATATACATACATAGTTACATATGTGTGTATAAAGAGGAACTGCACCTCTGGGAGATAGCATAGAGTAATTCCGAATTCATTCTAACCTCATCTGCAATTGACCTGCAAAGTTTCAGGACTGGCAATCATTAGATGTCCAGACTTAGGATCCATATGGGTTTGTCTGAAAGCTACAATAGTTTAGAACCGCATTTTGCCATTTTAAATGGACTATAGAATGCTATAGAACTATCTTGGGCTATGGCCAATTTTCAGACACACCCATATGGATTGCTGAGGCAGTATCCCATGTGTGCCAAAGGCGTCCGTGTCTTTTTTGAAGGCTTCGGGGAAGAAAGTCTAGCCTCAAACTGCTTTGCCCTGTTGGTTTGGAAGGTGAGGTTATGGCTTGGTCGAAGGGAAAAGTCAGGAGAAACCCAAGATTGTTTCACATCAAACACGGGATTTTCTGGTTTTCGGTTTCTCGACCACAGATGGGCCGTAGCAATTTTTTGGCACAGTCTGAGTTCCAGTCGTTTCTTGGCCAAACCATTCCGCCGCACCGTCAACGGGAGGTGCCGAGCCGCTGGGCTGGGATGATGTGGGTAAAGCAATAATAAACCACCCATTTGGGAATGGTAAACATACCACCTATAAAAAGGGTGATAAAAATGGGGGATGGTTTATGAAATTGTTTTAACCACATTTGGCTCATTATCAACATGATTCATCACCAATAATTTTTTCTGAGCGTATAGGTGATATAAACCATTCCCAACTGGGTGGTTTATGAAATTGTTTTACCCACACTATCAAGATTATTAGATTATTACCCTCTGGTAATTTAACCTAGCTATTGAAGCCATGGCCCAGTCGAAATAGTGAGTTTTCCCATTAGAAATGGTGATTTTCTCTAGTTTTTTGTATGTTTACCAGAGGGTAATCACCAATCATCAACGATCCGGTGAAAACTCATCTCCCCTTGCTGGACAGTCCCACCATTGATGAAACTCCCACCCAAAAACCTGGGCTGGTGACCTGAAAATATATGTAAACTGCAGGAAAAATGGCCCATTTATAGATGGTGTATCGATGTGTATCGTGATTTTGTGAATTGCGATTCTCCATAACAATTTGTTTTTCATGACCAGAAGGTGGATAGAAAAGTCCACTTGCGGAGCAGGGACTAGATAGAAAAGGTATCTACTGTCAAATGTTGTTTGACAAGCTGGATTGCCCGTGTCAAGAATCCCTCGGTTGAGGAAGATATTTCAAGATGCTTGAGCTCCAGATCTTTTTGTTTGAGAAACAACTAGCTAACTAGCTGTAACTAGTGCCATTTCTTCCCTCATACCCAACTTTTTGTCCACCTTGCAGGGGATGGGCATCATCAAGCAGGCCAGGGTGGCCAGGGCCGTGTTTCAGCCATAGGTTTCTTGTTGACAGGCCATAGGTTTCGTATCAATCACCTTTGAAATCAGGTAGCTACGGTGACTTGCAGTGACATGATCTGGATGTTCATATATATTTTTCTGGATAAATTATGATGCTGAGTGGTGGTAACCATCCCAAAATATCCCAAAATGACGTCTCGTTTCGGGTTAGTGAAGTACTGTGATCCAGTGGTCCGAATCTGTTCCCCTCCGTGATTTTGCGGCCGGTGCACGTGGTTGGTGATGGGCAGTGGTGGCTCTGCTCAAGCATTGCAGCTGACCCCCCAGGAAGCGGCAGATGTGGGTACCTTTGTAGCCACTGGCCTGAGTGGGGTCCCAAGTTTGAAGAAAAAATTGGAGGACTTGCAGGCTGGAGCTCAAGAGTCGGAGAAACTCCAACAAAAAGTGGTGCAGCTGGAGGAGGAGATCCTGGCTTTGCGTCAAGCAAAAGAGTCTGGAGCCATGCAAGGGTCAGAATGCCGTTTGCAAAATGCCCATAGCACGAAGTTCCAGAAAATTACGGCCTCCATTGATGCGATCTTCAGCCAGTTTGCATCTGGGCCCTGTGGCATCGGAGCCGAACACCTCAGTCTTGCTATGCGCTTCTTGGGGTTGAGCCCGACGCAAGATGAAGTTCAACAATGCTTGGACAAGATGGGCTGCCCTAACCACCTCGAGCACGCCAAGTTTCACGACTTGATGCAGGAGGAGTTGGATAAGCACTTTGCCAAAGTGCAGGTGCAAGAATTCGCGGGGTTTCTGAGGGGGTTTGACCTGGAAGGCAAAGGCTCCCTGTCCGTGAAGGATTTCCAGGAGGCGATGGGAGGCAGCATCAGTGACGAAAAGTTAAGGGCACTTCTTCAAAGAGTTCCTCGCACTGGTCAAGGCGATTTGGAGTTCATTGAGTTGGCCAAATGCTTCCAGGAACCTGGAGAATCTCTGGAGGTCGACCAGACAGCTGAAGATGGCGGCGACAAAAAGGTTTTCGTGGCTCTTCTGAGCGGCAAAGACTGTGAATGCTTATGGTCGCAGGACCGGACCATCCGACAGCTGAAAGAAGAAGCCCAGCAAAAGCTGGATATTAAAATCAAGAACTTGATTGGTCCCAGCATGGAGGTGTTGGACGAAGAGCGGATGCTCGAAGAAGAAAGCATCGTGCCTGGCACCACGCTGACGGTGGTTGCCGTAGACCATGCAGCGGAGGATAAGGAAGAAGCGGCACGGTGCCAAGACATCTTTGCCGCAGCCGTGTTAGGCAAACTGGGCGCCACGCGGCACTTCCTCCGGATGGACCCCGGCGCCGCGTGCAAAACCGAGAACTGTAGCCACAGCACCGCGCTGCACTTGGCGGCGCACCACGGCCACGTGGCCATCTGCGAGGTGCTGCTGGCGGCCAGGGCCGAGGTGGATGCCATGTGCTTAGGCCGCTGGAGCCCCTTGCATTCTGCAGCGCAAAACGGCCAAGCGGACGCGGTGAAGCTGCTGCTCGAGGCGAAAGCCTCCGTCACTAGAAATGAGGAAGGCAAAACACCACTGGACCTAGCAAGAAGAAGGGGCAAGACCGAAGTTATGAGGATTCTGGAGGCGGCAGCATGAACCTCCGATATTGGCAGCGATTGCCGATGGATTCTTGATTTCAACGTTACATGTTTCACACACGCTTGGTGAAAGCTGTGAAAAAATCCAGATGCCCGCCAAAAAATCGCTTTATATACTTGATATATAATATAATTATTTGTATTATATATATAATTTGGAAAACTCTTGTCCCTTTAAAGCATTTAAACCATCCCTTAGGTTTGCCGCTCTATCTTACGTAGCAGCAGATAGCGAAGACCATGAGGGCACCCATGACTTTCCAAAAGTCATAATTCTTGGCGCGGCACCGCAGGGTTCCAACCTCCTTGTGCTGGCCCTGGCCGGCGGTCTTGGCTACATTGGTGTGCACAGAGAAGATGTCGGGGGCACAGAACTGGCAAACTTGTTGGGGTAGCGCACGAGTTTTCCCAGTTTGATAATTTATAGTTACACACTTCGATATGCCTTTGGGGCCCCGTATGCAAAGTATTATAATATAGCTCATGTGCTTTTTTGCATATATAATCATATATAATCATATATACACATAAAATCTACAGCACACTATCATAGATTAACTACTATGATGGATATGAATACACCATGATACGCCTTTACTGCCCCAAACCTGCACCATCGATCTGCACCAAACCGCTGGTCCCAAAAAGCCGAGGCCTGGTATCGATTCACCACCACCCTGACGGCAGTGGCTGAGATCGCCCGGATGCCAGAAGAAAAGCTGAACCGTGCCCTGGCAGATCTGGAGACCTGGAGATTTGGAGGAACAGCGAGGAACAGCTTGAGCTTAGGAAATCATGGTGGTTGCTACATGTTGCTACACTGTAAAAAATGGTCAAACCTTGGATTATCATGGATGACCCCGTGATGACCCGTGATGAACGGCAATTTCGCTATTGAAAATAGCCCATGTATAGTTCGTTGATTTACCTATTCAAAATGGTGATTTTCTATAGTTTTTTGTATGTTTACCAGAGGGTATATCCCATGGGGGATGCATTTTCATAAAGATTTTAATATTTGGATTCTCATGGCATGGGATGAATGACCATACCCCTCATTGACCCATGACCATGGCACCTTTAATTGGACCCAGTTCCTGTAGTTTACAGCTGGGGTTTATGGATGTCCATTCCCCCAAGTTTTCAGTGTTTCATTGCTAACTTGACAGAACCATATTTTTTTCTGGACATATCCCCATCAAATCCCATCAAATCCCATCAAATCCCATCAAATCCCATCAAATCCCATCAAATCCCAATAAAAATCCAATTAAATTCCACTAAATCCCATGAAACGTCAGCCAGGGGCTTAGTATGGCTTAGTTCTTCGCTTAGTTGGCCCAGTGCAGGGCTCGCTGCTCCGAGGCTTCCTTTTGTCATACAGCATGTTCGAGAAGGTCCTTGTTCGGGCACGGATGGCAAGGATGTGTTGAGAGATGGGGGAAATCTATATGAGCTATGGTCAATACTCATGGTTAATAACCATTAATAGGGGCTAGTCATCCAATGGTTCATAGGGATTTATAATAACCATTATAAGGATCCTTATTATGGATGGGATGACCATCAACCATATAGTGAGTATTGACCATGGCTCATATCTAGATATCTACAGTAGATGGCTATTTTATGGTGATAATCAGTGATACGGGTTCCAGTATCATGGGAATTTCTGACGGGATTTTTGGGTACCCAATCTATATTGTGGGTGATATAATGGGAATGCATGGGAACATAAACATATTGGGGAACCTCTATCTAGATATCTAGATATCTAGATATTGGGATATATTGGGAACATTGGGAGATATTATGGGTGATATGATGGTAATGGATTTTTTTTTTAAGGGTGATATCATCTACTATAGGATACCTATTAATGACTTTTAGGTATCCAGTATATTCTAGTATTGGGGATATCTAGTAGATAGCTATTTTCTAGTGATATCATGGGAATATCATGGGGATAACCATGGATTTGTGGGTACTGAATTGTCAGACAGAGCCATATTGAAACATATTGTCCTCACTCCAACTAACGTAGACTCTAGACCCTGCCACAAGTTGGAGGTTGGAAGTACCCCTTCCTCTTGGGATGAGGGGGGGGTGGTATCTCTGTACTATTTTTTGTTGTTGCATTTACATAGTCTCTGGCAAAAATGGCGTACATTTACATCGTGAAACATGGGTATTTTTATTAGGCCTTGGTAGTTTCAAATGCTCGCGGATGTACGGACTTCCTTCGGAGTACTATGGAAGATGGCTGCCCAAATTTTTGGATTGAGGCAATCAAACAGCTGTTTTTACTGGCTGTCCCCTGATTTCTGCCTCAACTGAGCCTGAAGTATGGGATGAGATTTCCAATGGACGTCCCCTATCAAAGCTGGATATGAATTTCAATCAGTATTTCCAGAAGTGATTAGGGTTTTGCATGACTCTGCAGTTTCAAACGTTCGCGATATTTGTTGATCCGGATTTGGAAGGCTCAGGTGGACTGTAATTGAGAGGGTGGCCTCACAAACAACGAAACCGCACGAATAGATTCTGGAAGCTTACATCTAGCAGGTAGCAAATTGACACATCTACACTTGGTCATAATTTCTCTAAAATGAAGCTAATGTACGCCATAAAACCATATTTTGGGGGTAAATCCCTGTACATGGTCCTTCCATAGGCTTTATTTATGGATATTTATGGTAGGTACAGTAGCTTCAATAAATCGCTACCTTTAAAACATTGCCAAAATTAAGGCTTCGACCATCTCCACAGATGTTCATCGAAATGCGCAGGATCAGTTTAAAGGAGAAGCTGGAGAGCTAGATCTCTTAATAGACTACTACAGATCCTCGGTTTATCTCGGAGGAGCCATCAGCTGGCTGGAGCTGAATCATGGTGAAACAAAGTCAGCACTAGTTGTGAAAGGTGTGGCTCGATTTCTTTCATAGCCATGGAAATCCATCACCATGGATCTTTGTTGGGGCAAATCGTCCGCAAATTCAAACGACTTTTCGGGAGTGAATCAACCAATTCAGCCAGATCCGTGTGCTGGAAACATCTGGAAACTGGAAAGGAGCTGACATGAGCTGACCAAACAACAAAAGTCCCCAAACGAGTTAAACGAGAACCATTTGACGGCCCCGGCCCTTGGTGCCCGGGTGCGGGCTGGTGATGGGTTCTGTGGTACCCAATTTCCGACATCGACGGCTTGATCCCTGTGTTTTTTAACCACCATTGATTTCCGGGGAGATAGGGCATCCGCCAAGTCGTGAAGTAGCAAAACTTCGCTTCACGACTTGGCCCAGCACTGTTGCTTCACAAATCTTCACAATAAGTTTCTGGTGGAAAAGCCACTTGCGTGCAACTTCTCATTTTGTAGTGACCTAAGTCTTGGATACAGATCTGGACTGGTGATTCACTCGCCCGTTTTACTCTTGGCAGTTTTATTTTGTCTGTGCGACAGTGGAATCCCCCTGAAGTTCTAAGTGGATGGCTGACACGGTTATCTGAAACATCTACTCAACGGTTGTCCAAAGTTGCCGCACCTCACTTTTCCTCCCTTTTTCACATTAACCGCACGACCTTGAATAGCTTGGCGAACAGGATCTTCACCAACGAGCAACGTGTGGGGAAGTAAGTCCCCTCTACCCGCCCAAGGTGTCCTGAATCACCTATGTGCCATCGGCAACTTTGAGACGCTGACTAGCGATGGGGGCGAGAGGGGCTTCGAGAAGGGTAGGTTTCCCGTTTCAGGTTGCACAGTTTGATGCAAGTGATCTGGAAAGTTGGGAAATTGGACCTTTAAAGTTTGATGGGAAATGATGGGAAATCAAATCGGACTTTTCAAGGGATATCATGAGACTTCACCTCCAACCGTGATGCGTATCAGAAGTTCAGAAGTAATGAGCAAGAAACCACCATCATTTTGGGGGTGCCGGTGGGTCTTGAATCTTGAAATCTCGACCACCCATCTCCCTAATGAGTTCACTCATCATCACCAGATATCACCAGTAGATCTTTGCTTCCCCACTCATCTTCACAACCTGCAGCACTCCGTCCATGGAACTTCCAGCGACCATGAGGAAGATGTATCTCCCTCCCTATCTGGATGAGAACAAGGATGTGTTTCTTGATGAAACTGCGGCACCCGATGGCGGGAGGTGAATTTTTCATGGCCGGGTGTGGGGATGTTTTTTGGGTGTGTAGCTCCAAAAATTGGGGAACCCCTAAGCCTAAATGGCTGATTGTATGAGGGACACCAAGAGTTGGGTGTTTTCCATTTTGTCATACTTTCCATTTTACTTAACATACTTTACTGGTTGGTGGTTTGGAACATTTTTTTATTTTTCCATAGATTGGGAATAATAATCCCAACTGACTAATATGTTTCAGAGGGGTTGAACCCACCAACCAGTTTACATCAAGTTGTGCCAGTGATTGATCGTCGATCAGCCCCAGATTGCCTTATTTTGTGGCACTGGATGCACTCCAGTGATCAGCTGAATTGCTCCATGGTGACAACAGCGGAGCTGTAATGAGCTGCAGGTATGGCAACCAGAAGCTGTATGAGAAGAAGATGGCCGACTTCCTTGACATCGGTCCTGGTTCCAAGGTGGCTGACATTGGCTGCGGCCGAGGCAGGGATACTTGGAGCCATAAAGCTTGGCACAGTTCCAGAGAAAAACGGACAGCTAAGAAAGGCCAGGTATCCTCAGAATCCTAAGATTGATTGTGTGATTTTAAGTGGCCGTGCACAGTTTTTCACTACCAGTTTAACCAGCTGAGCTGTGTTCACCAATAGATGTGACAAGTTTGACATCCCAAACCAATTGTCGTGCGAATACAACCCAGGATTCTGAAATCATGCGGAACAAGAAGACTCTTGAGATTTTTGCCCCTTTTCAAATACTGTGCTAGTTGAGGCATCCAGTAATCAGGCTTGCTGTAGCTGTAGATATTGTCCAAAAAATATCAAAAAACCATAGCCTCGTTCACACTGACCATTCACAGGGGCCCATACCTCCACAGGACGCGTTGCTCACCATGTCTCCTCCTACACGGGCGCGTGACGTGGCAGTGTTTGGTGCCGTATGGTGCCGTATGGGTCGTTCATATCCAAGGCATGACCTCAACCGACAAGGGTGTTACCAACAGAAGATGGGGTATGTACTCTGTACAATGTACAACGAATGAAACACTAGATGACTCAAAATCATGACTCTCAGGCAAAAAGATGGGAGCGGCACACACACACACACACTAGAGGAGATGGTGCAAATGATTCCTCGCGGGAAAACCATCAAGAATCCAAAAAGCACCCACAAGATTCCACAAGACAGAATTTGCTGATATGGAGGTTTCCTAAAATAGGGGTACCCCCAGTTCTCATCCATTTTAGTGGGATTTTCCATGAAATAAACCATCCAGCGAGCTATTGGGGTACCCCCATTCCAGGATCCACCACCCGGTTCTATGCGAGGCATGTGACCGGCTTAAACATCGACAAGGAACAGATCCGACAGGAGCGAAGACGAGCGAAGATTCGAATGGATGCTAGACATGTTTCGTGAATCTCAAAGCACATCCACAACTTTGTCCGAAATTTTCGGAAGTGTATACATTGTCCAAATATCATCAATTATCTATAGAACATTATAGAACTACAGTATAACATAGTAACATAGTATAACCACCTCCAAATAAAGAGGTGATTTTAGATGACTTTAGATGACTCTGGTCATTGGAGTGAATATTTTTTCAACTTCCTGGAAGATTCTGATGATTGTGCGGTGCAGGGTAGTACGGTAGGTAAGATATGTAGGTAAGATCTACACGCACATGATATAGGTGTGAAACAACTATATAATTTGATAATGTCATGGATATATTGTCTGGTTGGTGGTTTGGAACATTTTTTATTTTTCCATAGATTGGGAATTTCATCATCCCAACTGACGAACTCATATTTTTCCTTGGGATAGGTCAACCACCAACCAGTTGTCATATGGAAAATCACCATTTTTAATGCGTAAATCAACTATAAATAACCATTTTCAATATGATAATTCAGCATTCCCATAGTCTTTTGAATTCGGATTCCTATTGTGACTCCTGAGTGGCCCGGGCCCAGAGCCAGGCAGTGGACTACGCCAAACAGACAGGGCTCGGGTCACAGTTGGACTTCAAGGTGGTACGGAAATGTTGGTCATGGTCATTGTACTACTCTCTGGTAAACCTACAAAAAGGTATTGAAAATTGTCATTTATAGTGAGTTTTCCGATTCAAAATTGGTGATTCTCCATAGTTATGTTAGTTTACCAGAGGGTACATAGAACCCCCGCGAACATGCAGTTGAGTGTCATTTCTTCCCTTCCTGCGACCGGTTGTCCGGATTTTAACGGGTTGATTTCTGCTGGTTTAGGACCAGCCACACTTGGTCCGTTGCCAGGTTGCCAACTATAATGATCCCTTGCCGTTCCCCAACAACAGTTTGGATGCAGCCTACTACGTCCAGGCCTTGACTCTGGCGGGGCTAGAATCGATGTGAGCAGTAGCGACTTACAAGTCGACACAATCTGCAATGGTTTTGGATGAATCCATGTTAGCCGCTAGCCCTTGAATATCGTTGAGTCAAAAATGGTTGGCTTCCCGGAGTTCCAAGAACTCCACTGGTGAGCCAGAAATAGCCGGAACTAATTTGCACATTGGCGTTCTTGAAAAGCTTAAACACTTGAGTTTGTCTCACATGGGGTCCCGAGCAACTTGGGCCATTTCCGGACACTTGGCAACTTGGCAGGTTTTGAGCTACTCCACCAATCTCGAGGTCTGGCATGGTGGAGCCCAGTTTCCCCGTTGGCTACCCGTTACCAATTTAGTAACTGTTCAACATGGAATCCCAAAATCTCAGAGAGATTTTTGCAATGACAACATCAGCGTCTGCTTTCGATTTCCAGTAGGTTTTGGTCAAACGGGCTGCTATGGGGCTGCTTATTCTCACCCGAAAAACATCGAAAAACACCATCGGATGGAAGCTACATGGGTCATCGAGGTTCTGCTAGTGCAACTCTGGTGATCGTAAGTCCTCATAGCATGGGTTATCCTATACAAACTTTGAGTATGATTACCAATACCATTTATCTAACAATTACTAAATTACTATCCACTTACTAACCAGTTAGTTCAAAGATTTTCCCATCACCTCCATTGACTTCGAACATTTCCCTATTGGAACCTCCGTTTATATATATATAGGTGATATTAAGTATATATATGATACCTACTGGGAAAATATATATGATATCACTTCAAACCATTATATATATCATTTATATATGTATATTATAAATGATTTTCCCAGCAATAAACCTCCATTTATTCGTGATAAAGGGGTCGAGCAGCTGGGCCCAACCTGGAGCTCCAGGCCTTCTTCAAGGAGGTCTTCCGAGTGGTGAAGCCTGGAGGAAGGGTGGCATTTGAAGACTACGTCTTAGGTGCGCCGCCAGGTCTTCAGGGAGATGGTGCCGGAAATAAATGGTGGGGATATCGCCTCTAAAGATTGGGATTTGGGGCATTTTTTTGGCAAAATGGGGACTGATTGATTTATGTTGCGGTTTAAGCTCGCAGGTTAACTGTTGGGGTGAGCAGATATATCGAACTAGTCTTTAGTTAGATGGGTTTAGAAACCGACTTATAACTTGTGTGGCACCACCTTGTAGCTGTGTGGGTTGGAGGGTGATCCTATCTTCCAGACCTGAATTCGAAAGCCACACTGGCGCACCCAGTCCAGGTTCTCAATGAAAGCCTACAACAAAGAGTCACAGGTCACAGGTTATATATTATTAAGTTAATGTTATATATAATATTATATAATAGTATCCTGAAATTGGGCCCCTAGAGCCCATTGACTTGCTTGGATGTGGTTGTTGAATGTTTCACGTTTCATCAATATGACAGCATCATTGTTAGGGGGACTACCCCTTTTTATGGGGCAGAGTGACTGGGCTTACTCTTGTTGTGGAAATGGGTTTGTCTGAAAATAGGGTATATTCCCAATTATAGCCATTTAATAGGGATAATGATCATTAACCATTGGGTTTAGGGGTACACTATTTTCAGACACACCCAAATCATTATCATTTGCTCAGAGATACACCCAATTTGTCGCTTGACTTTGCAGGTCTTTTTGGATTTTTCTTTTCACGTCATAGCTTCGTGAAAACGCTTCACGGATACATTCTGGCCCGCCAGCCACAGGGTTACGAATTTAGATTCTAGATACTTTTAGCACGAAATCAGGAAGTGGTTGAAGCTTCATTAGGTGAGCCAATGGCGACTGCTTCAGGTACACCAGATAGGTTCAACATCCTCACCAAGATCCAAATCGGTCCATGGTTTCTCCACTTGATCTAGCCAGTTTCCCCCCCAGTTCGCTGGATGCATGGAATCCATGGGCAGGTTCCAACTACAGCGCTAGCAATCCCCACCACATGGAGTTGAAGAACTTGTACAAACCAGTTCTGGGAGGCAACCATTGGAACCCGGCCTGGGGTCACATATGGGAACATGTTTGTAAGCTGGTGCCAATAGGATCGGTTCTAGGGGAGCAGAATTGCCTTGGACCAATAGTGCAAAAGACTGGAGTGAGGCTTTGTGCATGCCCATACCCATTGCGTTTTTGCCTTGATTGAGAGTGATCCAATTTCAACAATAAATGCAGAGGATGCTGATCACTCGAAACTGTCTGGAAGGGTCTAACTTTCCAAGCTTCTGGTTCTTTGAGCTGGAAATTAAGGTCATACAATGTGACAAATGTGACAATGAAATGGTTGGTTTCTGGTCCAAGTAACCTCCAGCAATCGAACACGGCCATGGAAAATCACAATGTTTGTCCGCAACTCATCAACTCATCAACTCATCTATAAATGGGCCATTTTCCATAGCAAACTCTTCAATCACCAAAGGTAAATTCAAAGCCTACATGGCTTTCTTCAGGCTTTCTCCATACGCCGGGGCCTTTTTCAAACTGTGCACCAGCATTCTGAATGGGGAGGAAGGAACCCAAGGTCTTCCGCCATGAGTTACGCGCCCAGGATTTTTTTTAAAGTCATATTTTTACATATTTTCACATATTTTTACTATCCTATCCAGTGATATTCATACATTTCAATGATTGCCTGATTGTTGTTGTCGGTTGTAATCATCTTGTATTCACATGTCGCAAGTGTTGCATACGATTCCCAAGCTGGAGAACTCTGCTGGTAATCCTATCCTCCTAACCTCACACCACCATTTTGTGGTGCCAAATATGTGTAAATTCCATAGCCATGGTTTCTGGATGTTTCTGGGGGGTGTTTAATATTCGGGAGCAGGAATGATTACTTGCATTGAGTGGCCTGTAAACTAACATAGGTGTGGAACACCTACCATTTGTAGATATTTTAAGCGGGAAACCATGTGTTTTCCACATGTTTTTGTATGTTTACCCCAGAGTATTCATCAAATTTCTGCATGGATTTCCCCCTTGGGGAAATCCCCACATCTGTAGGCGTTGAGACCAGCTTGCCAGACACCTTCAAGGTGCGGCAAGCCGGGGGGACTGTCAGCATTCCAGGCTGAAACCACCAGACTTTTGATTTAATAATATTTAATATATATATATTAATATATATAAAAATTATTGAAAATTTTTGTATGTATGTATATATATATATATCAATTTAATAGATTTTTGTATGTATATTCAATGTACATACAGTGAACAGTGAATGATAATTTATGTATGTATATGGGTATATAATGGTGAATATGTATGGTATATATATAAATATAATAATATACATATGTATATATATATATATTTGTACACATACATTATAAACCACACATAGTTTTTTCTCGAGCATCCATGGGCATTGTGGGTGCAAAAAACACATTAAAGAGACAGACCTTTTTTCCCAGTTTTTTCACAAATGTTAGTCGCAAGCGACTAGAAATACAAGTTCGTGTGGCAATTTTCAGGATCCTGATGGGTCAAAGATTCACCAGATTTCACCAGGCAGCAGTGGAGGCTGCAGGCTTCCAAGTGGTCTACCACAAGGACGATAGCATTTTTGGACGCCGCTGAGCTGCGCCAATGGACTGGTCAGACTGAACAAAAAAGACACACCAGAATTGGGTACCAGTGGCCACTGGCCCAGAATGTTTGGTGAAAGCGACTCAAAATGTGGTACATGTTCATGGATGTGTGATGATGTGTGAGTGTTTGACCTGTTTCTGAGTGGCATGCGTTAATATGAAGAATTCATATGTTTCAGGCGGGGGAAAGCCGCCAATGGACCAATTGCAGATGCAATTCCCTACTTAAACATCATGACTGTTAGGATGACTGCGATGAGCTACCTTCAACGGGAACCCTGATTTTTTTTAAAACAATACAACTATAGATATAGAAACACAGAAAAACCAGATTCTTGTCAACATGTACCTACCATTCATCAACTAATTAGTTAACATATGCTAATATAGAATAGATGAATAGATTGATACCCAGCTAATTAAAATCCCAGTTACTGGCTATTTATCATTGGGCATTATATATCTACCATTCGAGACCCGAGGTCAGGCGCCATTGCTTCGGCAAGAGAAGGACTTCTGGTTGCCGCTGACGTCCATTGTAGCCTGACCTTTTTTGGGACCATGAAGGTTTTGGACCATTTTGGACCGCCAGATCTGCCAAGGGAGAGGGAGAGATAGGACAGATAGGATTTTTGCCGGTTAGATTCTTTTTTTTTTTTGCAAGGATTTTCAGTCAAAGGGATACGCGGTTTTCTCAGAAACTCTGTGGCACAATCCACAGCACAAAATGGTGACCTGGGTCGATCCCAAAGCTGACACCTGAAAGCTGCGGTTTGGGATGATAGACGATTGTTATAGCGAAGCGTGAGGTGGGGTTCCTGCATTCCATCGGCTTGGTGCCTGAGGCTGGGCTTGCGCCTCAAACATTTTCGGGGATACCGTGGGAATCTTCGGGAAGATGTTTGCAGTTCTTCTCCAATTTGTGTTGGTCACTTTTAAGGACACCAATGGTGAAGAGATTACCCTCTGGTTATTTAACATTGCCATGGAAAATCCCTTATAAATGGAGGTTTATAGCTGGGAAAATCATCTATAAATGGGCCATCTATACCATGGCTATGTCAAATAACAAGAGGGTAATTGTAATTTTCAAGCAGAAAACCAGTGATGAAATGGTGATACCAAAACCGCTTTTCTTTTCACAGAAAGGATTGGGGCATGGCTCCAGTGCAGCAAAACCCATCTTGATGCAAACAAGTTGAAGCCATGGCCATGGATGTTTTTTTTCCCCAAACTAACATGGCAATATTGCCCCGCCCATATGTTTTTTGTTTTTCCCCAAAGCTAACATTTTCAAGATGATCAACGTTGATTCTTTTTTGAGATGGGCGGCTCAACTGCTAAGCAGATGTATGTTTTTGTGCGTTTTCTTCAGCATCAGGATCTTAAACAGTCGTTCAGTTGATGCAATAGAGGCTCCGACGAAAAACAAGAAGATGATGACTACAGTCTAAACATTTTCAATAATTACATTTGCCAAATATACCCTCTGGTAATTTAACATAACTATGGAAAATCACAATTTTCAATGGGAAAATCCACTATAAATGGTGATTTTCAATAGCTATGTTAAATTACCAGAGGGTAGTTCCCATATAATTTCACATATTGTCTACGTCAGCTTCCAGCGGTCCATTCGGACTGCAACACAATCCACATTTGATATCCAAGTGTGGTGCCAATGGTTAAGGGACATTGTCATTGCAGCTCTTTTCATGGCAAATTATCAGAGCCCTAAGTGAAACAACTTAAACACGTCATGTGTATGATTTACCCTCTGGTAAATAAACATAGACCCTGAAAATAGCCAATTCTTAATGGAAACTAGTCTTCCAACCCCTATCTGCCAGGGTCTATGTTAACTTACCAGAGGGTACTGATGAAAAACAGACAAAAAAACAGATCTCAGATCTAGCCAGCTATAGCCAGCTTAAGCCTTCCTCAAGTTCTGTCATCAGAGTTTCATCGCCAGATCTACTTCAAAGTGATGCAGCGGATGACCGCTGGCACCGATGCCCTGATCGAGTCCGATGAACTGGGGATCGTGTCGTGTGGTGCCTGGGAGAAACAGCTTGATCCAACAGCCAGGATCCCGCGTCGTCACCATCACCATGGGCCAAGTTCATCAACCTCGTCATTAAAGTCATGGTCCACGACTGGATGATAACTCTGGTTTCCTATAGAATAATATAGAATAATATAGAATAATATAGAATAATATAGAATAATATAGAATAATATAGAATAATATAGAATAATATAGAATAATATAGAATATGAATATCCAGTGGAGCGGTGAATTTGGGGATGTCCGTGGTATTCATGGTCCCAACACAAGCCATCGGTAGCTGGGACTAGATATGAATGATGTGATACGATCCATTGGTGATATGATAGGATATCATGGGATGTACGAGAATGTAACGGGATTAAACAAACATTTTTTTGGGATATCATGTTATACAAATGGAATGGGATATTAATGGGATATACTGCAGCAAACATCAGCAAAGATATGAGAAAACGCTTGGAAAACCCAAGGAACATGATCTAATCATGGTGGGCGTTCGATTTTTTTTGGGGGGATCACCAACTTCTAGGACCAAAGGTTCTGGCAATTTGTGGACCAAGTAGCCCATTACCTGGTTGAATTATTGTTTATTTATATAGAAGTCCAAATGAGACTGGATCCAGTCCGACACTTCACCTCGATGTTTCTTTTTGGTTTGAGATTTCCTGGTTCATGCTGGAATGGATGTTTCCTTCTGGTTTCGTTTAACGGTGGCATAATTTGTTTATTTGAGAAATGCACAGGAAATTCATGCAAAGGAATGGAAGTACCATGAGTTGAGACACTGGACTTGCAGCAACTTACTTTCAAAACCATCAACAAGGACGTAGGGTTTTCATCGTGTGCTTCGATATACCCTCCGATAGTCAAACGCGGCAATTGGAAACGCCCTATAAATGGAGACTTTCCATTGCCATGCTTGTTTACTAGAGATTTCCTTTTTATGTCCCGTTACAAGTCATTGTGTGGGAATATCAGACATGTGGAGGTTTCCATAAATGGGGATACCCCAATAGCTGGATGGTTTATTTCATGGAAAATCCCAAGAAAAAATGGATGATAACTGGGGGTACCCCCATGACTTAGGAAACCTCCATGCAACCAGTGGTGCACACGAGTTTTTCTACCGGGTGAGACTTTTTGGAAGCTCAGGCTATGTCACCTTTGCCGTGAAGCCCAAAAGAAATCGAGTGGCTGGACTTCTGCAGAGTTGGGACCGTGATAATCAATGGATTGGTTTACAGTAAGGTAAACTTGTAAAATCTTAACCGGAAACCAGGGATTTTCCCATGAAGATCATGGGATTTTCCTGTAAAATGTCCCTTAAAGCAATCCATTGACATTTGGGATGTGCTGAGTTGCACAAAGGGTTTGACCCCTAAACATATACAACACAATGGGTTTCGCAGAGACTTGACCATGGAAAGGCTCCTCCCAAATTTTGTGGAGAGTCTTTGCAAGACCCCCAACATTCTGCAAAGCTAAATTTTGCTTTGCCAGAGTTTCCGGACATACTGCAGATGAGGAAGGTGTATCTCTGAGTCTCAAATAATGTGGTAAACCGGTAAACCCAACAATAAACCATCCCCAACCCCTTGCCATTTTATGGCTTGTCTTTAGCCATCCTCTTAAATGGATTTAAATGGTAGGTTTCTGGCAGGTTTCCCACAATCCGAAATCTTCCTGCCTGGGACCCCTGGACCCCTGGACCGGGACTGAGGATGAACTCAGCCATGTACAGAGCTGACTGACAGCTGTTTGTTGTTTTTGATCTTTTACAGTCACCCTGAAAGTGTACATCCCAGAACATCGGTGCTTGGCGTTGGAATGCGTTGGAATCGTTAGGCCGATTTATCATCCATCATCATCAATACCCTCTGGTAAATTAACAGTTTGCTATTGAAAATGACCATTTATAGTGGAGTTTCCCATTGAAAATGGTGATTTTCCATAGTTATGTTAGTTTACCAGAGGGTATATCATTTTTATCCAACACGAGTTCCTTTTGGTGCACAGAAAAATTCGTTGAAACGGCCTGATGCTGCAGTGGCGCTGGAGAAAAGAAGCGATCTGGTGCCCTAGCGGCTGCTTCTTTTGCAGAGCACCAATTTTGAATCGTCTGGGAGCATATATATGGCTTTTGATTTTGCTTGCCTGATTTGGCGACATTTATTATGTTCGCTGCAAGACAAATTCGATCTGTTTCGATCTGGGAAAACCCAGTGGGGGCAGGTCCCACATGTTGAACGACTTGTGAGTTATCGTCGATACGTACATCCAAGGTAATTGGGAGCAGTCTCCAGGATGCAACCCCTGAAATTGAACCAATGTGGCCCGGGATACTGTAGTTTGTATCGTGGCAGTATCATATTGTATTGCAAGATATGGCAGACAATTACGATTCTTGGTTTGGTTTGATTTCGGTACGTTCAGTTCTGGCGGGTATCTTTGGATTTGCTACCACCAGTGAATGAAATTCTTTGTGGTTCCAGTAGTGATGGGAAGCCATGTAGGCAAAGTGCTGCTGCAGCACTGTTTACAACATGTTCACCCAATATGTTCAGCACTGTTTTCCCATATTTCTGGTGACTCACAAGTTGCACGGCTCACATCGGCTCACATCGCTGAGCCACGGTGGGAGAAATGTCCCATTCTGCTCCCAAGGGGCCTGGTGTAAAACACACCTTCGGGGGGAAGCGAAGCGCAGCCCAGGTGGTGAGGAAAATGGGATCTGGTTCATGTTTCTCACCTTTGGCAGTTGACGCCAGTTTACCACAGTGTGTACTAGTTATATATGGTTGTATTATGTATACAATACGTATACATGTTGCATACGTATATACATATATTATACAGTATATTACATGATATATATATAATTATACATATGACATATTGTATAATATAATAATATAATACATATAAATCTATAAATTATGTATACATATATACATGTATGTATCACATTGATACAACAAATAACACATAGAACATATACACACGTTTATTGCAGGTGTCCCTGTGGCCCCTGTCATCAGTGTGGAATTCGCGATGCTTCGCAGGTTGGCTTGCGCGACCTCCACCAATCGGGCTGCAGCGCTGAATGTTGGGACTACAGCCTGGGACAACCAACAAAGATGGGCGTTGAACTGGTTGAAGCACAACCTGGGGAGATATGGGGGTTTCCTAACATGGGGCTACCCCAATAGCTGGCTGCTTTATTTCATGGAAATCCCAACAATGGATGAGAACTGGGGGTACCCATGGCTACCCCTATGTTAGGAACGACCATATGGGGATGGAAGAAACCTTGGATGGTTGAAACCATAATGGGATGTTGCTTGCACCGCAATAATCGGTGCAACATTTCGCAACCACCCGAAACGGGGAGAACGGACCAATTTTCCGGATCCGGTGGCTTCAAGGCATAACCGTTGTTGGATATTGGGGGATGAAGATCCACAAATGACAGCTATACTGCTTGGTGCTTTGGAAGATGTTTTATGTTTTCCATAATATGTAGGTTTTTTTCCTTCCCATTGACGAACTCATATTTTTTAGAGGGGTAGGTATATCACCAACCAGTATACTTATTCTTCATTTGATCTACCCTCTTGTTATTTAACATAGCCATGCTATAGATGGCCCTAATCGAAATAGATGATTTTTTCCCAGCGACAGAAACCTCCATTTATGGGATTTTCCATGGCGAACTGTTAGTCATAACCAGCTCATCAGCTTCAGGTCATGGCCGATGAACACATCGCGGCCTCCAGTGCGGCAGTCGGGAGACTTGCTATCCGTCAACGTCGGGCGAGAGCTCCCAAGGGCTTCAGTTCTTTCAAGGGTCCCAAGGGCTACCCTCTGGTTATGTCAAAATAGCTATTGAAAATTGCCATTTATAGTGGATTTTCCCATTGAACATGGTGATTTTCCATAGTTATGTTAGTTTACCAGAGGGTATCTTTTGACCCCAAGAACCTGAAACTATCTTTAGTTACTATAGAACTGAACCCCCAGGTTTGGCTTGAATCCAACAGGTGATAAGAATGGTTAAAACAAACACCGGAGCACCAGAAATCCGATGAAACCTCATACAACATGGCCCACCTTTTTTTTTTTTAAATGTCTGCCATGGATTCTCATAAACATGATCAAATACCTATGGATCAACATGTCGAGGGGTCTCCCCGGCTATGGGCGCCTGAAAAAAGGCCTTAGTTCTGGCCTTCGCAGCTGCTGGGGAGAGGAACAACTGTTGGGAAGGTGCATGTCCACAGATGGGGAGGCAGTCTCTCTACCGCTTTGGTCGTGGGTCAAAGAGGAATTTCATCGCCATGGGATCGCCACCATATCAGCCGGAAGCGATGGTTGCTTGTAGATTCCCATAGTTGGATTTGGTCAAACCATGGAAAACATATGAAACATATGAAAACATCATTGAACTCCTCCAATGTAAATAACCATAGTACTTGTATGTACTTGTATAATTTGTATAGTCATAAACGCATTGTTGTTGGTTAATCATGGTTAATCAATAAATCACCCTGTTTGTTGATTTCGCCTCAGAGCTATTTGTCAGTGAAACCTCCATGGATTGTTAAAGCTCCAAAACATGTGCTTTCCCCCCAAAATCACCATAGTTTTCTAGATGTTTAGGTTGAATCCCTTGTAAATCCCTATAGAAATGCACATCGATTTCCTACCCAACAAAAACCTCGGTGCTCCTGGCAGGCCTGGACGCGGGAAAGGCCTTGTGGCCGCAGCTCTCACCGCTGCTGCGGCGCGCCAAGAGCGCGCCTGGAGACGCAGCCTGGGAGCCGAGGAAGCGGCTGGGACCTGTTTTGGAAGGTCGACTTTGGGGAAACAATCCTCAATTTTGATGAATTTTGATGATCCAGGATTTTTGGCCCCGAAGATACTGTTCAGTTGCCTTACAAGTGGCTGAATTCTATGGTTTATGGTGCAATATCTTCAACTAGAGTTAATGGGGGTTATAAATCAACTTATCACTGGAGGGCACCATCCTGTATGAATTTAGTATAAGTGCTTGTGAAAATGATCGGATTGTTGGCGAAACTTATTGAAGATTTTAGATACTGGTAGCCATGTATAATCTTGTATAGTATGTATAGCTGGGAAAATCATCTAGAAAACTATGGATATATCCTGGACTACACATATAAAACAATGTGGAAAACCCATGGTTTTCAGAAAATGACCTACAAATGGTGGGTTTTCCCCCAAAGAGATAGAAAAGGTTAGGGTTAGCACTATTGAAGGATTGGATTCATTGGGTTTTACCAACTTCTATCTCTTTTGGGAGGTACTTCATTGCTTTAGCAATAAATGTTGGGAACGAGACCAGTCTAAATCAGTTTCGAACGGCGGGGGGTGGTCACCCCATGGATTGGTGATTGGTAAGGATCATTGATGGCAATGTAATGTGGTAAAACCCAAACTTTAACCCATCCCTATTATGATTTGTAAAGGATATCCCGAAATGGAAGGTTCATGTTTTTATAGGTTTACCACATTTTACCACATGACATTTGCTGTTGGCAACATCACCCCTTGGTTAGAAAGTTGTACCCCGGCGACGACTTTCTGCCGAGCCTTCGAGCCAAAGCTGAGGACGAATTCCTCACGCAATTTCAAGAGCTGGTTCAGGCAGATCCCAGAGGATTCATGACAAAGTTCGGGGAGTCTGGATGTTCAGTGGCATGAAAGGGTCCCAACTGCAATGATTCACCAATGTGCCAGATTCAAATTGGAGGCATGTATCAATTTGAGGCAAGTTACTGGATGGTTTTTAATCGTCATCCTTTTCTTCATCCAAGCGTCCTTTGATGCTCCCACCCAATTGCAGGCCCGGCCATACCTATCGCCACCACGATGCGACAAAGTTCTCAAAAACATATTGATTCCTCAATACTGATCCGCAACTATAGGAAGCGCAGGCAGGCTGGATGTGTGGTTCACAATCAGTACAAAATTTACATCCCAAAAAAAAACATATAATTAGTTTAGTTCATTGTATAGATTTTGATGGTTGAATGTGATTTGATAATGAATCCCAGTTTGGTTGGGCTTCATACCCCAGTGCTGCCAGCTTCAGCTGCGCCGCCAGGTTTTTCCCAAAAGCGCCTGGATGTCGGGCAAGGCCGAGAGCTTGCTGCGGGAGATCTTGGAGGCCCTGGTGGAGACTCCATGGGGCAAAGTGACCATCTCCATCCAAGTCACGATCATCACAGTTTTTATGGCCTGGATTCCAACCATCCCCAAATTCTAGGTTTATGGCATTGGGTTTCCCAAGTATCGTTGTTTTCTGATGTTGTTTTAATCAGGAACATGATGATAAATCAGTGGATTTTGGCATATTTTGGGCAATTTTCAAGGGAAACCATGTGGCTGAAACATCTAGTGTCAGTATTATTGGGTTTGTCATTGGGTTGTGACGGTTTATGGTGAGTTGTCAATGGTTGCGATGGGTTATTCCTGGGTTCTTAACTATCCAAGACCCACGATTGAACCGTGCAAGAATGGCTATGGGATGGGGTCATGTTTAACATCATCTTGGGGTTGAAGGTGCAACCACAAAGCTTTGGGCCATTCTTAGTATTGATTATTCACCCATACTTGTACCATAGTAAAACATATTCTTTGGGGGTTGAATGATCTGAAATAGGCACGGGCCAAACTTGAAGCCACCGATCACAGCTGACGAAAGCCTCAGCTACCAGGCTCTGGCCACCCCACGGGCTGCTTTTGCAGGACATGCCCTAAAATCTTGGAAGGCACCGTGGAACTGTGAGGTTGCTGTCGAATGTGGGCGGATTCCTTGCCATCTCAGGTATGAAAATAGAGGTCAACGGACCACATGTTTGGATCGAATGGGCTATGATCCGGATAGCATAGCTACTAATTAACCTGACTACTGCAACTATGTACAACATTGTACAACCCCACTTCACGGTGTCAGATGCTTCCAATTCCTATGGAATTGTTGCGCCCAAAAAAGATCCCAAATGGCTTTCCTAGGAAGTGGGGAAGCCTTTTGAGTTCTGCCAGATGGAGACGCCTGCCTTGCTGCGAGGCCTACTTTGCTGTTTGTCGGGCCTCTGGCATTCCCGTTGGAAGCTCCCAGGACAGAGTCAAGCCAGCACCGAGCATGCGACCCCATGGGGGCAGCAACCAGTTGTGTCCAAGTCCCTCTCAATCGGTGTAGCTTCGGAGCAATCAAAACAGATGCTAATGGCTAAAAAAGATCGAAGCATCATTTCTGAAGAGGGCTTGGGACAACCTCGGCAAACGCCCAGTGACCACAGCGCCAACGAGGGTACAAGGTGAATCATCAATATTGTGGGCTCCCAAAATGTCAAACCATGTCAAACCAAAATGGGGAAGGTTGACATATGTTGAAACATGTTGAAACTATATGACATTCTAGGGGAAGCCCCCCCAAACTTGATCGTTCATAAATTCATAGTGTTAGCTGATCATTTTCCATACCGGCCGGATCTGCCTGAGGTTGAGAGTTGTTGTAGGTGGCATCCCCTGCTGCTGTACTTGGGGCAGCCCATTGGGACGGACTCCGTTTTGCCGGAGGCGCGTGGGGGAACGGAGGTTCGGATTCTGTGTGTGGTGAAGGCAATCTGTGGCATGAAGCCCATTGGCTTGGGGATTTAGCCGCTGAAAGCAGTGCAATGATATGCAATGATACACCGAATCACTGAATCTGTGATAAATTAAGCACGGTGCTTCTCATTTTTCAGCAACACAAAGTTGGTTGGGAAGATACCGAAGCCGAAAAATTCCACACCGACTGTGGATTCCACCACCTTCCGGGCAGGTCTTTGTGCCCCGGCCGGTGCTGGCCGCCCTGTGTGGTGCCGTGGGGCAAGAGTTGCCCTTGATGTCTTTGGAGGTCAGGGATCGGGGATAGCGAGACTCGTTGACTCAGTGGTTTATAGATCTTTATGGGAAATATAACATGTAACATAATATAACGAACTAATCTGGTTGGTGGTTTGGAACATGGCTTTTATGACTTTCCATATATTGGGAATTTCATCATCCCAACTGACGCACTCATATTTTTCAGAGGGGTAGGTATACCACCAAGCAGTAAGTAATGAGGTTACATCAAACATTCGCGGGATACCCGCATTAAATGTTGAGACTTCAGGCTGACACAGTAATAGACGCAACGCCCACCATTTGTCCCACAACTTACATGGGGTGGGGTGGGGTGGGGTGGGGATGTTAAGGTTCCTTCAACCGCGTTCCTTCGACCTTGCGCACGATGTTAATGCTACAGATGTTGATGCTACGCTCACATAGTGTGGGGTGGGGTGACCTGGGAGTGCGTGTAAGTCACCACGTCCCACATTGTATGTTGTTGCTGCTGCTGCTGATGATGATGGTGATGGTTATGGTTATGATGATGATGATGATGATGATCCCATCGAACTCTTCCAGACGCGGGGCAAATGGTGGGAGTTGATCGTAATTATACTAATAAAATCTATAACAATTTTCCCAACATGGGAATGCAGAGATTCGTTTTATAACAACATATCGGGTCCCAACTTTGGGACAGTCGAATTATGATATCATATGTTGTATATGTTATCAATGGGTGCAATTCCCAACCAATGATCCAGACATGTTGGGAGTTGCGTCTTCAACACCACCTGACCAGTAGGATCTCCCTAACTTCAGGTAGATAGTTCAGGTAGATAGGATCACGCCTGAACAAAGACCCTTAAAGTTGATTTACAAAATTCATGCTAGGTTCATCCAACCATAAAATTCAGAGGCGCCCCGTACACCGGGGGCAGGTGCAGATGGAACTGGTGCAACTTCTGTCAGATGGCGTGCCGCCAATTGAGGCCTGTTCTCCAACCTGGGATGATGATCGCGTTTCTGGATGTTTCATGTTTGGGTGAGAAATGATGACTCACTGAAATGCAGCAGAAGAATCCAAACTCATCAATCTGTCTACCACATGCTACCACTGAGTAAAAACATGTAAAAACCGCCTTCCGAGTGCTGAAGATCCTCTTTCAGTTGCCTCCGGTTTTGGTCCCTGAACAGTTATGAGCTTCTTGGGCGATGTGGACTGGCATGACAGTAACGTTGAAAACAGGTTCGTTTGATTTCGTTTGTTGAAACTGAAGAACAACCTGTTTGATTTCGCTGAAAGTTGACTGTCAGTCTGAACCCATGGGATCAACCCAATGGAGGTTTCCTAAAGGTCCTAAAATATGGGTACCCCAATTCATCCATTTGAACCCAATTTTCCATTATAAACAATCCATAAACCATCCACTTTTAAAATTTAGGATATATTTTGGGGGTAACCCCATTTACTATCTGGTTATTTAACATAGCCATGGAAAATCACTATTTTTAGTAGGTAAACCATCTATTTCTATGGGCCATCTATACCATGGCTATGTTAAATAACCAGAGGGTAAGAACCCCCCCAGCTTATCACAGAAAGCACCCAGCACTTCTCATCACTTCTCGAGGCCTTGGATGTGCCATCCGCCGTGTCCAGCAGCAGTGGGGGCACCGAATGAGTCGATGAAACAAATCCGGTGGATCGAATGGGGTATCCATGTTGAGTATCCATTTTCAGGGGAACAATATGGACAAATATGGGGAAAACACCATCCATATTTTGCGCCCATTTATTTGGAATGATCTTATAATCTGATATTTTTCCCATAATAAATGATATAAATGGGCTTATGATCAGTGCCCATTGTTGGGAACTGTTGAACCATATGGCTGCCGGCTGCCATCGGATTTCTCAGGTTGCAAGTCCTCCTGGAGGTGAGACGCAGGGCCGGATGGGCGGCCGGATGGGATCACCACATGGAGCATGAGTTTCTAATGGTTTAACCATAATTTTCTAAATGTGTCCCATGATTTTATAGAAACATATTCTATCATATAGAAACCATGGTTTTTACATGTTTCATATGTTTCTAGAAATATGATTATATGAATTTATATTCCTATGATTTCCCATGAAAATATGAAAGGATATGGTCATGAATCCATTTCATAGGGATTGACATACCGACCCACAAAAAGTGGTCTACCGCTCGAAATTTATATGTCATAATATATCACATATGTTCAACCAAAATTTTGTGTGCTTTCGCTGACATGGCAACGAGACATGGTCCTTGTTGTATGGCTTCTGATTCTAGAAAATTAGAGTTGAACGCTGCACATTTGAAACGAAACACGACATACCCTCCATATCCAGTCGAACTTCCAACACGTTGTCGATGTTGTCCTTCGCTTGAATCTTTGCCATGTATACTTTAACATCCCTTGATGCCAACAGATCCGTCAGATGGGGTTGAAAACACGACGCCTAGGTCCTGGCTGCAGATGTTGCAGCCACTGCTGAAATCACAGGAGCACCTGGGGGGAAGATTCGAAAATGGGAGCTCGAGCTCCAAATTACCAATTAAATAGGGAACATATCTGAACATATGCGGAAATGATGATTACTGTAACCATCAAAAATTGGGGTAATTACTGGAAGTACTCTTTTTTAGACAAAGCCAATGTAGGTAATTAATTGTATGTCAACATCTGACCCCAAATCCCATGGATGACTAAAACATCATTATTTTCTTCACCATGTTTTGATTTGATGGCGATATATAGCCGTCACACCTATTTTGAGGCAGGGAACCCATATCGATCCATATTCGGGATGCCTGAGGCACAGGCACTATCACGGCAGTCTGCCTGGCTAGAACACCTAACAAACTACCGTATCTCATGGTGGGGACATGACAAGTCTTGTACGAAGAACTTGGGGATAAGACCGACATTGCCTATGCCGCCTATGCCTATGTAGCACCTAGATGGAAAATGCGCCATCCCTTTGGTTGCAAAGATGCTTTGCTCCACCATAATCTTTTGTGGTTCCCAATTCCACCACCACTTTCGGAGATGAACTTTTGGTAACTAGCAAGACTTGGTGAAACTTGATTATATGTATAGAGGCCTGAACGGCGTATATTGCTAGACTCGGTTTTCTCAAGGACCTTGCCAAGAAGGCTCTGGACCTGTTGACAACACAGATTCGCCTGGAGACCAAATGGAAAGGAACGGATGGGTAATGGGAACCCGCGCCATGTAGACATCGCAAACGCCCAGTGTTAAGAATCGAGCGATATCAAGCGAGCATTTGTTTGATTGTTAAAAGGGTACATACCCGACATGTGCTTGGTGTATAAAAACAAATATAAAAACCACTCAACCCAATCTGCAGCCTAATGTTTTTTTTTGTTCAGGAAACTCAATACAGTATGGATATCATTGATGATAAAAATACATAAAGTCACAAGGACGTTCATGAGAACTCCAATCATAATACTACTTGAAATTTGGGAGCTACTGTGCAAACTTCCACCTGTGGCTAAAGTAAGGGATTCAGGTTCCTTCAACTCAATGACCTAGGTAAATTCTGCCTATAGCTCCAGTCTCATTGCTAAAGGACCGTGAGGAAGTTCCGATGAAGTGTGTTCTTCTATAGACGGTTGGCTCACCAACAAGATAGGTTTGTCCAAAACTGCAGTGTAATGGTATAACCAGACCATGATGACCATGGCAATTCTAATGCATAAAATATATGAAAATATGGGAACATGATCATGAAATATCATGAAGTGTCATGAAACAGTAGATTTAGGGGTGACCTATTTTCAATCTGCACATCGAGGCCGGCTCTTCTTGGTGTTGCTGCGATCTGCGGGTGCTTCACATCACTTTTCCGAGGAGGGGATTCACTGGTGGACTCCAACTAGAGGTTTCCTGAGTCATGGGGGGTACCACCAAATCATCCAAAATTTGACGATTTTAATATTGAAACCATTTGAAACCATTTGAAACCTATGGTTTTGGGGAGCCCCCCATTTTAAGAAACCTCCAACTCATCAAAGATTTGGTCATTGTGCGCGGAAATATCCACTGATTGTATGCAGAATCCACAGACAATCCGTCAGATCAATCGACAACCCAGTGATTGATCCATGGATTGACCCATAGTGTAATGGATCAGCTACCTTATGGGTATCAAAATGGATTGCCTACTAGGTATCTCAGACATATATAATATTATATAATCATATATATATATATAGTAAATATATATATATATTATATGGGTAAATTATAACGACCTCATTGCGACCTCACTGGAATCATGGTTAATAAGGGAAATGATCAACACATGGTCTGAATTCAGGTTAGTTAAATATTATAAGTTACCCATATATAATATATAGCTACCCTCAAGACATGTTGCGGCAAGCGTCAAGACGTGGTAGCTGTGTTGTGTCAGGCGCTCGAAGCTCTGAGCGTGCTGCTGATGTGTGAAGATGGGCCATGGTCCTTGGAGGCCTCTGTGCTCGTGGTCATGATATGATATGATCAACAGGGATTTTCCCATGTGATGAGAGTGGTTGTGGTTAAATTGATGATGGTGATGATGATGCGGACGACGACGACGATGATGTTGATGATATTGTTGATGGTCATGACGACGGAGAATTTGCAAGCCCTAGTGATTCTGTTCATAGTCCTGCCTTCAGGACAAAGAACTGCAAGATTGCGTGGCCAGTTTGACTGGCGGCGCAGGACAGGTGCCATATTGAGCATGGGATCTTGAAGGTTTTGTCTTGTATGTTATTCTCTAGATGCTTCATATTTTACTTGGACATGATTTAGTGGAATATCCTTGTCCAGATGCACTCGAAGACCCTGTACACCTGCCAGTGCTGCACTATGCCAAGAGTAGTTTCAAACATGATTTCACTTGCAACGTGTTTAAACCTTAAATGTAGGGGGAACATCGATGGATTTCTGAAAATGATTCAAGCAAAATTTCGATGTCCCAACATGTTGGGTAACCGGTAAACATGGCTGGCTTGTTCAAAGTCTGGGAAACTTCAGGACGGGTGGATTTATCCGACTGGCCAGAGGAGGCAGCACCGCACTACCGCCCACAAATAGCAATGTTATAGGAAGATTATCATAATCCATTCGAATTGGGGGTAGCCTATTTAAAGACAAAGCCATTGATTGCACATATGACTGTTTGGTGGTGACTGGAACATGGCTTTTATATGACTTTCTATATATTGGGAATTTCATGGAATTTCATCATCCCAACTGACTTTCACTCCATCATTTTTCAGAGGGGTAGGTATACCACCAACCAGATTAGCTTGCTGGTAATTCTGATGGGAGGCGATACTGGGACCGCAGACCATCAGCGATCCTTCGAAATGTTATTTTTTTCGGTTAGATAAGTTAGATATAACATGATATAACGAAGGTGTATGATATTGCAAACCACCTGGCAATAGTCTTTGTTGAGCAGTGTTGATTGATGATTTGAAGTGATCAATCATTTTACACGATACGTTGCACACTTTGCAGGATTTAAACAGAAAGGAAGCGGACAGACTCTAAATTTTAAGTAAATTTAATGGAAGTTGTCACCAGAGTCGCCGACATTCAGAAACTATCATCGCCACTTAGTTGGGTAAATGTTGGGTTGATATTAGGGAATGGCTTGGCATGACCGGGTCGGCTGAAGATGACTAGGACTGGCTGTGACGTTGGTATCACTCTGCAAACGCGGGATCCGCCTGCAGCCGCGGAGCGTCATGAGAACCGGGCGCTGGTTGCTTCATGTATTTTCCGGACCTTTCCATGACTGGGACACCTGACAAGTATATACAAGTATGATATTTCCGGACACCTGACGAGTATTATGGATATTTCGGATTTTTCACCAGTGTCACAGATTCTCAATTTCCGGTCACTGATATTTCGGATGAAATTACCCTCTGGTTACTTAACATAGCTATGGAAAATGGTTCATTTACAAATGATTTTGATGATTCACCTATTAAAAATGGTGATTCTCCATCTTACCCTCTGGTAAACTAACATAGCTGTTGAAAATCACCATTTTTATCGATTTTTAGTGGGTAAATCAACTACTAAATGGCCATTTTCAATAGCTATGTTAAATTACCAGAGGGTAATTTCCGAGTTCTCAATGTGGATGTTCACCACATTTTGAGCACCGCCATGGATTCATCGCGATGCTGCACAGGTGAGGGTAGACAGATATGTTCACCGTGAAAGTCTGGTTCTACTTTAAGCAGATATGGAATCACCCTGACAAAGCCCAACTATTTTATTGAAAGATACTGTAAGTATTATTATTATTTATTATTGTATTATTATTATTATTTATTATTACACTATCTCATATAATTATATATATAATTCCCATATAATCCCGATATAATTACCATATGACCACCATATAACCACCATATAATCACCATATAATCACCATATAATCACCATACAATCACCATATATATATAATCGCCAAATAATTACCATATAATCACCAGATAATCGCCATAATGTTATACATTACTCATTCCAAAGCACTTGACTGGAACATCCAAGTGCTACATCCAGGCTTTTCCAGCTGCCTGCCCTGCTGCCAGGCAGTGGGCGAGTGGGCGAAAGATGTGGTGGATGTAAAGTATAAAAGTGGTATAACCCGATATGATCCTTTGATATATATATATAAAGGAGAGTTTGTTTTTTGTTCACCATTGAAGTGGGTTGAAATTAGAGGTCTAGACTGAACCCAAGAGGCATCTGCGGACAGGGAGAGAAGAGATAGAAGAGCTGGTTCAGAGAATAAGTTGCTCAGAAAAGAAGAAGCAGAAGAAGAAGAAGAAGAGGAAGAAGAAGAAGAAACACAAGAAGACAAAAAAAAGAAGAAAAACAAGAAACAATAAGAATAACTAAGAAGAAGAAGAAGAGGAAACAGGAGAAGAAAGAACGAAGAAGAAAAAGAAGACGAAGAAGAAGAATAAGAAGACAAAGAAGAAGAAACATGAGAATAAGAAACATAAGAAGAAGAGGAAACAGAAGAACAAGCAACAAAGGAAGGAAAAGAAGACGAAGAAACATAAACAGAAGAAGAAGAAGTGGCACCGGAAGCAGTTGAAAGAAGACTTGGCTCAGAGAAGCATAACTCAGAGAAGAAATATACCAGAGTAGCTGAGAGACAACGCAGAGCTCAGTAGCTCTCTGACTTGAGAAAAGAGTTGGATAGAATTGGCTCAATTAAGTTCAATTAAGAAGTAGCATAGATAAGACTTGGCTTAGAGAAGTAGCCAAGAGAAGAGCTCACTCAGCCGGTCCTGCCTCATGAGTCACAAACACTTTCAGTGGCCACCAATGATTTGGCGGGGTACCATCTGTGATGAAGTGGGGATTCTTGTGTTCCATGTTTGACTGTTTCTATCTGTTTCTCTTGTCAGATCCTGTGACCCACTTCTCTCCTCCCCCTCCCTCTTTCTACATCTCTCCCAGCAGAAACATGAGTCTCCTGCAGTGGCAGGACTCTGCAAGATACAATCAAGACGTGTATCTTACCTCCTCAGGGGGAACAATCCCACCATCCTCAATATTGGTCATGGTAAATGTGCTTGCACAAGTCTATGCACACCCACACATGTAATGTCTTCCTGTGAATTGTTGAATTTGCAAAGGACATGAACCAAATCGCCTATATCATAGCAATTGCTTCTAGCAGTAGAATTGCCCAAACACTGTGTCGGTTTGCGAGCTTTCATCACGGCATTTCTGATATGGTACATTAGAGTCTAGAAAATCCGACCCTGCCGGTGCTTCAGTAGGCTATTGGCCATGCATTTTGTGACTATTGGTTGCCACTGTTGCGCACGTTTCATACATGTGTGTGGTGGGTGGGTTGGTGCAGCTGGGGGGAAGAATCATGTTGACTCATGCTTGCAAGCGCGTTTGATCCTAAAGTACGGGTGTGGTGGGGTGGTTGGGGTGGCTGGGGTGGGTGCAGGGGATAGTAAAGTAACCCTCACTTGCACTTTCACACATCATTGACGCTGCGCTTTTGCACATCCTTGGATATGATGTGAGGATGGGGCGGGGTGTGGCGTAAACATGCTCACTCACGCTTGCACACTGACTGGTGCTACGCCAAGCAATGTTCTTCTAGATTCTACATGCATCATTGATGCTAGGCTGGATAAAGCACCGACACATCAATTATATCAGTATGAACTGGTGATACTTCAGGAAAAAAAACATCTGAAAAACCATCCGCAATGTAACTGATTTTCTTGGGAAACAGCAAGTGAGTTGAAGGCGGCTGAAACCAAAAAACAGACAACTGTGCCGAGCAGGTGTTGCTGGGTCACAACTGAATCTGTATCCGACGATGCTTGGCAAAGGGGTGAACTCAACTTTTCCCCCAAAAATGGAAGCGTGGCACCTAGAGCAGTGCCCATGCGCAGACCATGAAATCAAAAGTATAACTGTGTGTACTATGCATTTGGAATTAGCGTAGTAGGGCGAATGAAGCACCTATAGTTCAGCAGAAAGCACACACACACACACCAACAAATCCATCATTGCGAGGCAAAGTTGGAACCAGTAACACCTTTTCAGTGTTTTCACATACTGATGTTCACTATGTTTTTTTTTTTTCGAATCTGAATCTTACATGTCTATACATGTCTTATATTCTCTTATTCTGAACCCGAAATTGACAGAACTTTTTTAGGGTCCTAAATTTCACCTGGCGCCCAGGGCAGCCTTCGTCCATTCTGCTGCGACGTTGTGTACTGCCACCTGGCATGAAAAAAGCGGTGACTTTGTTGACTTTGGGCTGATGAATTCTAGTGGCAGATATCTGAGTGATCCAAATATATCCACATATTATATATATAATATAAATATATATATATAATATAAATATATATATATATGTCGAAGCATGCCACTTATCCAGCTTGGGGTTGACATGACATTTGTCTGTTCGCAGGGACCTTTGTGCCATTCGAGCTAGAAAAGAGCCCATTTGCACCTTCAGGTGAAGGGTCGTTCCTCCGCAATTGGTAGCAGAGCCCGGTCCGCCGGGCTCCCGCTGATGGTTTGCCTCTAGGGAGAGGCGTCTTTCGAAGCTGCCACGTGGTGGTCCAGGGACATCATAGATGGCGACATCCAGTTCCAGTTCCACGAATGAGACTGGGCCGATGCGAACGTTTTCTGGTGAGTCGGAATGCGGTAGAGAGTACCGTCACTGGAAAACATGGGTGCTGAACAAGATGGTCACCATGGACAAGCTAGCAGAATCGTCACGAGGGGCTTTCATCATGACACTTCTGACTGGGAAGGCCTATGAGGCCGTGGAGCACCTGGAGTTTGCAGAGTATCACAAGAAGGATGGTGATGATCTCATTTGGAAGCTGCTTGACGCGCGTTTTCCCAAACTGGAAGTGGTAGATGAACTGGCTGAAACTCTGAATGAGGTTTTTACCCTTCGCGCCAAGGAGGGTGAGACCATGAAACAGTGGACAGCCCGAGCCACTGAACTGTTTGACAGGTGTAGCAGAAAAACCAGTGTCTCTTTTCCAGAAGAGGCGCGTGGATGGATTCTGCTGAGCCGGTCAATGTTGACCGACGAACAGAGGGCTGTTGTGGTGTCGCGCTCACGGGGAGATTTGAAACGTGAGTCCATCGCCTCAGCCTTGAGGTCATGTTACCCAGATCTGGTTATTCGCAAACGGGGTGTCGCCTACGTTGAGGAAGCGTTAGCGGTCCAGGGCCCTCGAGAAGATGAGATTGAAGATGATGATACTGATTTTGATGATGTCTGCCAGTTTTTGGCCGACCACAACATTGAGCCAGAGATCCACGACACAGGAGAAACATTCCACGAGGACGACGTAGCGGAAGTCCTAGCCGCCAGCTGGAAAGATAGACGACAAGAGCTCAACAAGCTTCAGAAGAGTCGACAGTTTCAGAAGGCGAAAGATGTTCGCCGTTCGTTCCGAGTGGAGATCGAGGAGTTGAAGAAGCAAACTACATGCAATCGTTGCGGCCGCAAAGGCCACTGGGCCAGGGAGTGCAAAGCTCCAGCCTCCAAAGGTTCTGGCAAGTCGACAACACCATCGTCGACATCTGGAGCCGCTGTGGTGCAAGATGAGCTGGATTTTGTAGCCATGGCCGAAGTGCACTTGACCATGGTCGAGAAGCTGCGACAGAAACAAGCAAGTGTTTCCCCTTCAACTGACCCGGCAGAGGTGATGCTGATCTCCAGTCCTGAAGGACTTTTGGCTTCAAGTAGGTGTTAACTTTTTTGAGGTAGGTGTTTGTTTTGTGCAAAGCACTGGCACCTCAGATTCTTGGTTTGTAAATTTAGAGTGTTGCGATGCCAAAGGAAAAGCAAGCACCACGTCAGAATATTTCACACTGAGGAGATTGGGTTAAATGTCAGAAGGAGATGCCAAAGCCAATGTCAGATGATATGTCAGAAAATGGCTGTCAATATGAGGAGAGGGTGGGGCTCACTGGAAGTGACATTTTTTTGTGAGAACGAAAGGAATGTTGATCTTTCAGAATCTTCCGTTGAGAAATTGATCATTGTTCACAGTTATGTTGCCTCTTGTGCGTGGAAGTGTCAGCATCACTATTTGCATGATTTGCACTGGTTTGCAGCCGCCTGTTCTTCGCTATATAATAATAATAGGTAGCAGCATCTTGCGCTATATATAATTAATAGTAGCAGCTTCTTGAGCGCTATATTATAATTAATTAATAGTAGCGCTTGAAGCGCTTTTAAACATTCTGTGTTCTCGCGCAGCTAATTTTCCAGAGACCTCGAAACCGCGTTTTTCATATCATAGCGATCTTGCTGCTATCAACTCAATGGCTTACCATCAAGTGTGGCTGCATGCAGAGCAGTGGAACCTGTTGCCTCTGTTCCTCCAGACCATTTCTATGTTGTCAGAGGAGGAAAAAATTTTCATGGCAGATTTTGGCATGGCACTGTTGAAAGAATGCTGCATTGCTGCGCGCAAGTTGACTGACAACTTCCAAGAGACGCTGGACCTGATGCGTGCCGAAGTTTTTGTGGCGACATTTCGTGGCGTCATCGTCCGTGGAAGTTCGACTCACATTCCAGTGGCCGTGCTCAGGGAGACTGAAGGTGACAAGAGACGCTTCCGAGATTTGATTGCAGCTCAATCGTATACGGTGCCTCGCTTGCAGCATTTGGCCAGCGATTTGAGACTGGCGTTACACTACATTGATGAGTGGGAGACAAACTGGCGTTGTTCTGAAGCTTTGGCTTCAGTCATGGAGCACGTCGAGGCCATACTGGACAACTTGCGGCTGAAGATCTTGGGATTGCTTCATGAACCGGAAGGAGAATATAACCCTGAGTTTGACTTTGACTTCAAATGAGGATGGAAAAAAATTAGAGGCATGCCGCTTTAGTGCCAGCTGTAGTGCCACCACGTTGCATGCAGAGGTCATTTTCTGAGACGGATCATTTCATTTTGGTTTGTTTCGAGTGCAAACGTTTTTCCATTCGGTGCAATCTGCAGCCGTTTTCAAAAAATGACGTTTGACAGCTCAACACGAGTCAGCGGACAAAAAAAAGCATGACGTAACTTAACATGATGTAGCAGATAATTAAATTCATGTGTGAGTGTTTTTGCGATAGTTTTTATAGGCTGACCATGATCATGATGGTGAGAATGCCGCTACCTTAGGCACTTTCCACTGAACTCTCTGCTGCAATGTCAGATACGCTGTCTGATGCACCAAGCTTGCCTCCTGATGTTGAATCTGAAGATGATAACAAAGACGCATCTGAAGCAAGATCCGTAAGTCTTCCCTCTGACGTTCAATCTGATGCTGAGCCTGGAAATCTTCAAAAGCATTGCAGCTGCCGATTGCAATGTTACCTGAAGTTTGATGAAGCAGAAATCGAACATCGACGTGCTGAAAATTTGAAGGATCAGCAGGTTCGACTCCAGAATTTATTTGGAAAGGTGAAATCTTTTGTGGATGCTTTATCTGTAAAGACTGCTCGCATAGATTGGCAAATGGGTGGCCAAAAAGTGTGCAGGCCCTTTTGGGAGTATTGCCACTCAGTAGGCCACAAACAAGTGGACGACATGGTGAAATTGGCTAAGCTTGGACATGCTGCTCTCCCTGAAAAAGGCGCCCGGATGCCCAAGGAGAAGCCTCGCATGGATGAGGCTGATGTTTGGTTCCTCAACTTATATACAGGTCTTGCAGAGCCGACACCAGTGGAAGATGGTGGCCATCGCCATGTGGAAGAACTTCCTGATGCAGATCAAGTGCATGAAGTTGTCCACGATGTTAGCCATCCACTATATTCAATGTCTGTTGGTGTTGGCAACCAGGGGGCATTGGTCCCGAAGCGTTTCCTCAATCAGGAGAATTTGGCTTCTTTGTGGCATGTCTACGAGCTGAACAAGTCGGATGAGCCACGTGTGTCCCGGGATACCTTCACCAAAGCTTTCAATCGACACTGGAAAAGGATTTTATGCTTCAAGGGTTATGGTCAAGGAGTACGATGTCAAGTTTGTGCTGATTTTGATGAGAGGCGTTCGCAGCTGACTTCAAAGAAGGAGCGCCAGGAGATTGACGAGTTGAAGCAGCAGCACCTCAACAGATGTGACATGGACCGATCTGTCAATGTCAGGGGCAACCGATTGTCAAAGCAGGATTCAAATTTTAAGATGGAGAACTCCTCGACTAGCTTCCTCAAGGTGTTGGTGGACGGGATGGACCAGGCAAAATTTCGATGTCCCAGAAACTTGAAAGCCAATGCAGCCTTCGCCAATGTCCAAAGGCCGGCCTTGCATCTCACTGGAGCTGTGGCAATTGGCCTCTGCGAGGTTTATTATATTCTTGCGCCTGACACCAAGAAGGACAGCAACATGGTTGCAACTTGCTTGGCCCACCTTTTGGACAGATGCCAACTTGTTGTCGAAAATAGAGGACCAGATTATTGCTTGCCAAGACATCTCATCATTGGAGCGGACAATTGCACCAGGGAGACGAAGAATGCCTATTTGGCCCAATTCGGTGCCTTCCTTGTGGGAAGGGGTTTATTTGATTCAGTGGAGTTTCAGTTTATGGTCACTGGCCACACAAAGAATGAGCTGGATCAGCGCTTTTCAAGCGTTGCGACGATTTTGAACAAGGCTGGCACCCTGGAAACGCCATTGCAATTTGCCAACTACATGACGCACCATGTTAAGCCAGCAATGGCAACCGAGATGCAGGTGGAGGTCTTGGATGCTACTAGGGATTGGCAAGCTTTCTTTGAACATTTGAGCATGCACGTGCAAGGGCTCACAGCGACCCACCTTCAGCCTGATTCAAACCATGTTTGGCGCTTTGTCTTGCGACAGCAAATTGACCGTGCCCAAATGGTGGAGAACCACAACCCAAACTGGAAGGATTTTCCTGAAGACCCCAGGGATGTTGTGCTGATTCTCAAGCAGTGCCTTGGTTTTTTCCTGTTCTTCAAAGTCGTTTCAGTATGTTGTACCTTTTAGTTCTTGGACCGTCCCATGGTTGAATTACCAGGTTCTCACCGCTGCTGCAATGAAATGTATTTTTTTTCAGACTGCCAGGTTCATGTCCTCGGCCGAAGCGTCGCAACCACCTCAGCTGATGCTTCCAGCTCAGCTTCTTGGCAGTTTCAAGCGGGACCTCTTGACGATTGCCGACAGAAGGCAGTGGTCTGAAGATCAGTTGGAGCAGTACCTGAAGACTGCTCAAGCCGTGTCGTCGGATCCATGGAGACTCTTTGAGGCGCAGGCATGGCTGGAAGGCTTGTGCCATGCTAACAAGCATCGGCTGTCCAAGGAGCCTCCAGTCTTTTCTTTGGTTTTGCAGGAGCATGAAATGCCTGAGATCGTCACAGATTTGCCAGATGAAGCCCTGTTTCAGCCGGATCCGGCACCTCGTCGTGTCAGAGTGTTGCTGAAGCGACCTGCTGCTGCAGCCAAGTCATGTCGACAGCCGAAGATGAGAAGACCTGCAGCAGCTCTGCCAGGTGCTGCAGTTGCAGCACCAGCAGACGCTGCAGTAGCCGCGGCGGCCAAGCCTGCTGCAGCACCTTCTGGATCGCGACCGCCCATGCGCAGACCCGCGGCTGCAGAACCCTCAGACCGTGCCAATGCTCCTCCGGAGTCACATGTGGTTGAGGCTTCTTTAGGGAATTACACATGTCAATGTTCGGAGACTCTGATATGATGTCTATGACAATATTATTGGACTTCTGTTTCAGCTAGGGGCGAGACTTCAAACTTTTCAATGTCAAGGTATACCACTATCTTGAAGATGTAAAGGGAAAGAAACAGTCGGTGATCAGAAATTCAGACAATGTTGCTGCAGTTGCATCAGAGCTGGCGATCCATTGATATATTATAATATGTATTTTGATTTTTGGCATCGTAGGTAGCGCAGAGCGCTCTATAATGGGTCCCCTATTAAGTAGGTAGCGCAGGACGCTTTATAATTATATCATATAATAATATCCCTAACACATTTATGACCACGTAAAGTCACCAATTTGGCTTAGCCCGCTAGGCAGATTCAGAGAAGATCGAGCGCTATGGATGCTCCAGGTGCAGAAGCGCCAGGATTGGGTGCCTTCAATGTCGAGCCTGGGTGGAACAGAAGAGGCGTCGTTACGTTTTGGATTCAGCTGGCCACATTTGTCAGCTTAAAGCTGACGCTGAGGATGTTGATTGAATATCCCCAGCCAATCTTCAAGATTTTGCATTTGGATTGAAAAGAGAAAATGAGATGCCTTGCTGCAGATTGCTTTTGGCCTCTGTGCGAAGGAAATGACATTGGAGCTTAAGAACCATGATTAGACTAAAGCCAAATCATGTTTGCGATGTTGATTTGTGATTGAATCCTGAAGTGCTTTGGCAAAGAAAGTGTCTTAGACATAAAAAAAACATGTTTGAGATGTCGCTTTGTGATTGAAGCGCTACTGGCCAAGAAACAGTCCTGCCCGAGGAAAACACAATTTCCTTTGAAAGGGGTCCTCGGAGTGAAAGGGGTCCTGGGTCCGCGCGCGCGCGCGCGTCAAGGGTTCCAAATTGAAGCTAGCATGCGCGCGCGCGCGGACCCAGGACCCCATTCACCCCGAGGACCTCTTTCAAGGGAAATTTTGTTGGAAACTCGATTGTTTGTGAGTTTTTTTTGGATCAAAGAAACAGTCCTGCCTCGCACCATGAAAAGACCAGCCTCCCTGATGGCAGCACCTGCTCCTATGTGCCGACCAGCTGCGGCTGCAATGCTACCAAGCCCATCAGACCAGAGCACGGTGGCTCTCCTTGAGTTGGAGCGTTTTTTTCCAAAGGGGGAGTTGAAAAATGCACAAGGCCAAACCTATACGGAGTACTGTCGCGAGCTGCGCCATGAATGGGTTGTTGAAAAAGACCGCAATGAGACCTTCCCGATGGTCAATGCAGCTGGAGAGTTCCTTGCTTTTGAACTATCATTCTTTATTTCTTAGCACCCGGGTGTGTCTCCCTTGTGCTAATTTGTCAATCTCCCATGGATAAATTGCTACCATTTAGCAAATTGTTTTCTTTACCGTTTTGTGCCACTGTGGCGAACATTCTCTGACAAGGAGCAGTTTGGTTTATCTTGTGAGATATGCGATCATGCTGATGATGAGTTTGAGAACATGTTTGGAGAAATCCTTCAGTTTAACAAACAAAATCTTTAAAATTTAGGAACAACCGAGACATTTTCATGTTAGGAACAAACCCAAGTAGGAACAAACCTTTTATATTAGGAACAAACCCAAGTAGGAACAAACCTTATATTTTAGGAGATCTCCTAAGTAGGAACAAACCTTTTATTTTAGGAACAAACCCAAGTAGAAACAAACCTTATATTTTAGGAACAAACCCAAGTAGGAACAAACCTTTTATTTTAGGGACAAGCAGTTTTTTGTTAGGAACAAACCTATTATTTTAGAGACATTTTTTTTTGGTGGAACTCATGCTGTGAAGCAGCAAGGTTGGAACGGGTGTCGACTGCTGACTGGACAACATACAAGAGAATCCATTCCAGCCACGATGGTTGGAAGTTGCTTCAAGGGCGCTATCGTTGGCGCCGGGACTGGCAGCAGCAGTGGTCTTTCCAAAATGACCCCCAGGAAAACCAGAAGAAGTGATGCTGCGAAGCGATTTTGTTTTCCCTGTCTTTAGATTTTTTTGAAATCACTACTGCGTAGAGTCAAAGGAAAACAGGGCAGCTTCTTGCCTCCAACTCTGTGAAAGTTTTTTTGAAATCATTACTGCGCTGAGTAAAAGGAAAACACTGCAGCTTCGTGCCTCCAACTCTGTGACAGTTTTTTTTTAAACCACTACCGCTGAGTAAAAGGAAAACAGGGCAGCTTTTTGCCTCCAACTCTGTGAAAGTTTTTTTTTAAAACCACTACCGCTGAGTAAAAGGAAAACAGGGCAGCTTCTGGCCTCCAACTCTGTGAAAGTTTTTTTTTTTGAACATACTTGAAGCATCCATGATTTTGCAGTAGAAGGCTAAACCCTAAACCCTAAACCCTAAACCTTGTAGAAAAAAAACGGGCAGCATTTTGTTTACATTGATATGTTTTTTTTCTCTTCTGAAATATGTAGTTCACATGGATTAGCTTCACCAATTTTCACGGGATATCCTGGGATATCCCCTGAAATCTCGATGGGGATCTGGCCAACAAAAATTTCGACCTGGATTTCACGGTCGTTCCTGGGATAGCCGCTGAAAACAGTCAAGTGTGCAGAGATCTGTTGGATAAGCTTAGCTTGAACTGCAGCTACCTGATCACACATTTCTCTGACAACAATGGTTTTTAAGAGGCCATCCTGGGATAGAGCAGGAAGCCACCCACAGAGATACAGCTGCAGCTTTCACAGTCAGTCTTGCTGTCCCTCGATTTTTTCATCTGAACTGCTGTTAGCGTGTTAGGGACGACCATTACCTGGGCACAGTCCAAAACTATATTAATAGGCAGCGCTTGACCCCCAGCGCTTACAGTAAGGGGAATGCATCAACTGTTTTCTCTGTGGATTATTTTTTTTTGGCATGCCAGTCAGTGAGACGAACCGTTTATCTTGTGGCTCACTGTGTGTTTTTTTTTGGCATACCAGTCAGTGAGATGAACCGTTTATCCTGTGGCTCACTGTGTGTTTTTTTTTGGCATACCAGTCAGTGAGATGAACCGTTTCTCTTCTGGTTCACTGTGGATTTTTTTTTTGGCATACCAGTCAGTGAGATGAACCGTTTATCTTGTGGTTCACTGTGGTTTTTTTTGGCATACCAGTCAGTGAGATGAACCGTTTATCCTGTGGCTCACTGTGTGTTTTTTTTGGCATACCAGTCAGTGAGATGAACCGTTTCTCTTCTGGTTCACTGTGGATTTTTTTTTTGGCATACCAGTCAGTGAGATGAACCGATTCTCTTCTGGCTCACTGTGGTTTTTTTTTGGGCATGCCAGTCAGTGAGATGAACCGTTTATCTGGTGGCTCACTGTGTGGATTTTTCTTTGGCATGCCAGTCAGTGAGATGAACCGTTTATCTGGTGGCTCACTGTGTGGATTTTTCTTCGGCATGCCAGTCAGTGAGATGAACCGTTTATCTGGTGGCTCACTGTGTGGAATTTTTTTGGGCATGCCAGTCAGTCAGATGAACCGTTTATCTTGTGGCTCACCAGGCCCATGAGACGAGGCAGTGGCAGGAAACAATTCAGATAAACTCAAATTGACTTGAGCATCAGGTAGGAGCAGCAGGTGCACCCAACTAGTCACTTCTTATGAAGTTCCCATTTCATTGACCTATTATTTTTTCTCTCCAGTGCTCTGTTTCTGCGTCTCTGTGCTGCCAGTTTTTCCTGCCATGGCTGACGACCTGTCCTCCACTGAGTCAAAGTCAGATTCCAATCGGAAACTGTCAAAGCGTCAAAGGAAACTTGCTGCCGCTGCAACCTTGCGCATCCTCGAGCAGAAGCTTCAGAAGCGCCCAGTGACTCACAAAGGACGCCACTATGATTCCTTGGAATGTTTGTGGAACTCCAAGGTATCTTCAGAACCCAGTCAGCCTGCACAACCTGGCCCTGCTGCAGCAAATGCCTTGAAGAGGCCTTTGTCACCAGACGATTCTAGTCGAGAAGTTCGAAGTCGAGGAGATGAAACTGGTGGTATGCAGTCAGCTGACCAGTCAGCCGCACCAGCTGAAATGCCTGCTCATGACGAAGGCATCCCAAGTTCGACTGCATCAGCTTCGGGTAGCAAACCTTCAGCTGAAAGCCAGCCTACTTCATCGATCTCTCCTTCTTCAAAGGCAGCACCTAGGGTAGTGCCAGCTCTTAGACCTGTAGAAAACCCAGCTCCCAAAAGTGGACGCAGAAGAGGCAAGAGAGCAGGTCAGAACGTTTTTTTCTACAATGCGTTGCATGCGTTGCGCAATGCTTTTCAGTGAAAAAAAATGGCATGAGGGATCCATTTGAAGTTGTTGTGTCAGAAAGGCATGAGCAGTCACAGAATCAGAAACAGCAGCTCAGAATTCAGTTTTGGCATTTGCACGGTTTGCCTCGGTTATCTTCCCTATGTAGGTTAGCGACCGTTTGGGCGCTTATTAAATATGAATATGTAGGTAGCGACCAATTGGGCGCTGTAATAGAAATAATAAATAATAATAATGACAGTGAAATTGGAAAATATGTTTGTCAGAGCAGCATCAAGTGCTGCAATCTTTTGTCGTTTTGCAACTTGATGGCTCATAGCAGCTTGGAGTTTCAAGTGGAGCTGGCATTGCGTTGCTTTGTCAGGCTGACTAGCTCCCCCCAATTCGAACATGGCAATGGTGTCTGATGCACCAGAGGTTGAGACAATTGAAATTGATGATGAGTGTGTGGATGATGCGTCCCAGTTCGCAAAGGAGTGGCTGGCCAAAATGAGAACCATTCTTCAGAACTATCCAGCTGGCCCAGGAAGCTACTTGGAAGACAAAATGAAGACGGCAGCAGACAAGGCTCGTTTCGCTACTTGGCTGCTGGAAACATGGCCTGAAAGACCAGATATCTGCTATCACCACGACCAAGTAGTTCCCAGTGTGCTGGAAGATGAATTGGCCCAGTCGCCACCACTTGCTATCCATGTGTCGTCCTTCAGCTGGACCGATGGCTGTGGGGTGAAACCTGCTCCAGGACGTGATTTGGCTTTGGGCCTCATGGCAATGTACCTCAAGGATGGCTTCATAACCAGCGGAGATGTGATTCTGATGGCTCAGCCATTGGCAGTTGAGAAGGCAGCTGGTCTTCCCAGCCTTTGGGGATCTGAAGAGTCAGCACTCAAGCCTTTTAGCCTGGGATATTTGAAAGGACGTGCTCGACTTACCAGTCTCTTCGCTCTTCTTTTGTCAGTCTTTGAAGAAGAGGTCTCCTTGGATGACTTGAAAAGCTTCTGCCCGAAGTTATTCGATTCCGTCTCAGTCATTTGGGTTCAGCATATGCGGCAAAACAGCAAGGAAGATGAGGTCTTGTGCAACCTGAAGTTGAGCACGAGAGGATCCCTTAGAAAGGCAGCCAACCTCATCCAAATTGCCTTCATGGTCAGACGTCTGTTGGCTTCAGGAGGCACCGACTACACTACTTTCCTGCGAAAGTACAACCAGCAGTCTGTTGCGGCTCACCAACTTCGCGGTCGCAAGCAAACTGCACTGAAGCTCCTCTTCGAAAGCGCTCCCAAGGACTACTTGGATTTTTTTTTAAGTTATAGTGTTTGTGTGACACCACCCCTAACTTTGTCACTTCTCCAGGGAAAAATAGTAGATAAGTTTTTCTTTATGTGTACTATCCTTTTCTCGCTGTTCAGGACGTGCTGGATGAGATCCTCAACCATGTTGGAACTCTTGGATGGGAGAATTGTGCTTGGACTGAGGAGAATTTGGCTTCAAAACGTCTCTTCCCAGGACACGTTTTCCCAGCCAAGAACAGGAAGTGGCAACAGAGATTGAGAGTCAGCGACAGGTCCTTGAGAATTATGGTTCTCAGGATTCATTGGGAGCAGGAGCACCAGTCTTGTGAGAAGCGCAGCCAGAAGAAGCCGGATGACAGAGCTTGTGAGCTACTGGCTGAAAAAGCAGCTTGCCTCGTTTCCTTAGCAGATGAGTTTTGCTCTGAGCATCCCATCACCATGGAGACAGTCCAGAAGAAGATACTGGATGAGTGGTCCTCTGGATGCAAGCGCATTGACATGGAGCTGGCCGCGCAGTTACTGGAGAAGTCCGAATCCTTTGCCATTGCGACCCACATGCCTTGTTTCAAGGCTTTGCTGGAGGAATCTCTTTTTCGTGCGCCGGTGTCTTCTTCCCAAGAGGCAGGGGCTCTTTTCTTGACGTGGTAGTCGTTGTTTGATGAGTAGCATAACCCATAATAATGACGAAAACAATGATAAGATAATAATTTCAAGCTTTATTCCCTCCCTCAAAGTTTTTGGTCTACTAGTCGGTGTTGCAATGAAGCTGCCTTGATGATGGCCTCTGCACCAAAACACCTTTTCTGTTGAATCTTCTCCCCAATCATTAGGATAATTGTGAGTTTGTTTTGTTCCACAATGCTGGCAGGTGGAAATGCGAGACAAGCTGAAGAGAGATGAGTTCGACCATGTTGTGAAGAAAATGGACTATGACATCAAGGTCTTCGAAATTTGGCAATCGAAGGTCGCATCAGTGGCAATGGCTCGCCAGCATGCGAAGCAGGAACATGTCGTTTCTGAGCACAGGAAAATCGTGGAATCAGTGGAAGCCTATCTTGATGGTTGTGTTCGCTTCCTGTGCTGGGAAGGAGTCAACAAGGGAAGTGATAGCATCGTTCCACAGGTCCTCTTATTTCGCATGGAAATTTTGAGAAAGCTACGCAACCAAAACACAGCTGGTGCAGCTGCAGATGTTCCTACCTTGGTCCTCATGAATTGGACCGCACCCTGTCTGTTTCCAGCTGGACGGCAGAATGATCACATCAACTGCCTTGCGTGGGCGTTGCACGACAATACCAACTCGGCTGCAATCATTTTCGCACCTACCTTTTCGTACCAGAAAGGAAAAACATTCCTGGAGGAAAATGCGTGCATGCAGCTGCTGGCACAAGGAGGGCACAACTTGGACCATCAGTTCAGCGTCTTATTTTCTGACAGATGCGATCAGAGAGACAGCCGACCTCTGCTTTACCCTGCTCGTTGGGCCTTCCCAGGTCATGTGGTTGACCTTGGAAAGACAAATGCCTTCTTTCAGTCGGAGCTTCGCAAGGCTGGGCGAACTGATCCTTGCAAGCAAATGGCCGCCAAGGACTTGAAGGAAATGGAAGACATGGCTGATGACAGCCTCCCAAGCACAACTTCAAGCAATCACATCTCTGGAGCAGCCAAGCATTGTCAGTTTGGCCGTCCTGCTGCAGAAGAGGTCTTTCGCAAGGCCTTCAACCAAGTTGACCTGGAGAAATTTCCAGCTGTGCTGATCGTGGACCTCTTCCCCCGAGTTGGTGATTTTGCAGGTGCTTTTTGCCGCCTCCGGACCCAATTGAATGCTGGGACCAGCTTGTTCTACATTGGTGTCGGAGAGAAGGCCAAAGAATTGGAATGGCTTCGCGCGACTTTGCTCGAAGAGTTGGTGGAGAAAGTGAAGCTGGAAGGCTTTCAAATTCCTGGTGCTCAGCCATTTCAGAAAGAAGTCAACCCAGACCTCCTGGATGCACTTCCCGCAATTCCAATTACCAATCTTCTTGTTGTGAAAGGTGAAGGTGAAGATCGAAGTCTGGTGCTGCCAAAGCACTTGATGCTGAAGTGGCGTTCTGATGAAGATTTCGGCGATGAATTTTCCAAGTGGCTTGACGCATTTTTGGAAAAGTATTCAGTGAGTGAAGATGCAGACAATTCTTCACCCAACAACAAGAGACAAAACAGTTAAGAAAAAACATCGGAGGCTGAACCGAGCCCAAAAAGGTGTCGAGTGGAGGAAGTGCCTGCAGAATGCTTGCTTCCTTGTGACAAAATTGCAGAGACGCTTCTATTTGAGACGAAGCTTGGAGGAAAAGATACCATTGGATTCCAGATCCGCACCAACCACCAGCTCTATTTGGTCAACCAGACCTCCCATGAGCTCAGTCTCAAAGCAATGTCGCCTTTGGTTGGATTTGGCAGGGGATCGTTCAAGTTGTTCAAGGAAGATGACACACTACCTGAGAAAGCTTTGCTTTTTCACATTGCTTCCTCAGATGCCTTGGTTTGCCTCAACGGTGCTGTGCAGACAATTTCAGAAGTGCTATTCAACCAAAGAAAAATCAAGCCTGAGGCTACTGTCTGCTACCACAAGGCTACACCTTCTGGGCAAAAAACTGATGGCCAGACATTGTTTGACTTCAAGTTGACCCACAAAATTTGCTTTGTGCCGCCGACGAAACGAGATGGAGCAGATGAAGGAGCAGAAAAACCCGGCAAAGAAGAGACTATATCCTTCACCAACATCGCCTCACGCGAAACAGCTGGTACTTTTTGTGATTTGCAATGCGCAAGTCTGATTTGGCATGTGCGCTGGACAGTCAAGGGGCTGCAGCCGCTGAAGCCCATGATCCATTTAACCAAAAAGCTTTGCCTTGCTGCAGGTCAGTGCTGCAAACTCAATAAGCAATGACATTGCAGTTTGGACCACAGGTAGCATTGAAAATGCCTACGATTTTGATATGCAGATGGCTGCCCCAAATAGGTGACACTCGAAAACATTTTGTCCACACAACCTTGCTATCAATTTTTGCTTCTCGAAAGAAAGCACCATCTGACAGGACATTGCGTTGATGTCCCAATCTTGGGTCTTTTGCTTATCGACATAGTCGACATAGTGCACATCGTGGCCGACAAAAGGAACCAGCTTGAGAGTCATTCTTGCATCATTGTCAAGAGATTTTCAGACATGTGCTTTTATATGTATTGTTTCGCTTCAGTACTCACTCGACAGATGCGCTGGCTGTTGACAATCATGTGGAAGTTTCATAGTAACAGTAATAATAATAATAATAGCGCTCTTAGCGCTGACCACTTTATAATAGTAATAGCGCTCTTAGCGCTGACCACTTTATGCCAATGGGGTATGTCTGATCGTTGCTTTCTCATATTCAGCCACGAGCGACTGCAAGCCCAAACTTATTGTTATGTTTGGACTTTTGGATTTTATCGACAGAGAGTTTAAATCTCCAATGGCAAAACCAGTTTTCTGACATTCATCTGGCATCTCCTTCTCTGGCATTTAGTCTACAATCAATTCAATCTGACATATATTCTGCCATGATACCAGACTGAGACTGTAATACAAAAAGATTCTGAAGTGGTGCCAGTGCTTGGCACAAAACAAACACCTACCTCAAAAAAGTTAACACCTACTTGAAGCCAAAAGTCCTTCCTGGTTTCGGTGTCTTAGACAGTGGATGTGGCCGCACAATCATTGGCCGTGACACTCTGGGAGAATTCCAACAACTATGGGAGCAACAAGGTGTAATGATCCCTCCGTTGGTCAGTGAAACTCACCAGTTCCGATTTGGAAACGGCCATGTGGAAACTTCTTCCCATTCCATTTGTCTGCCTGTTTGGATTGCTGGGAAGCGGGGCGTGATTCGAGCTGCGGTAGTGAATGGAGCCGCTCCTCTGCTTGTCAGTCGCTCTGCCTTGAAGGCGCTGAGAGCGTCTCTGGATTTTCAGCATGATCGGCTTCAGATCTTTGATGGGGTCTCGATTCCGTTGAAGTGCAACAGTGCAGGACAGTATGTGATCAACCTGATGGATCGAAATGTGGTGGATGAGCAGCAGGTGTCTGGATTCTCAGAAGTGATGCTCACCGAGGTCAAGACAAATGAAGGTGAGGTCTCACCTGAACCAGTAGCGGATCCCAACGATGTGAGTGAGTCCTCAGGAGAGCCAAGTGATTTTCCTCTCCATGGAGCGATTCCCGATTCTGCAGCGATGCCTTCCTGCTGGGTTCAGGACAACTGTGGGAGTCAGACTATTCCATGGGTATCCAGAGACGGACCAGCCTGGTCAACCGTCCGTAAGCGGGTAGTAATAGATGGGATAACTAAGAGGGTATTAGCTTCTCATGATTTCCATAACCATGCTAATCAGCGAGCCACTCTCCACCCATTGCCTGCAAATTCCGGATGCGTCATCACCAAGTTTTTCCATGTTGACCCACGGATTGAATCTCATGATGCCACCAGCATGCTTGACACGTCTTGGAGACCGTCAGTGAAACAGGGTCGTCAGTTGTCGTCTCAGGTCAAGTCGTGCCATGAAGCCTTGTTATCTCAGGTCAGGGTATCTCCATGTTTGGTTCAAGAGGTGTTTTCTCCTCCAAGGTTTGCCCCGTCAGCTGAAGCAGTCGGCATGCAGGGTTTTTCCTATGACCTAAAAACTGGATATGATTTGTCAACCGCCGCCGACAGGAAACGTGTGGAAGACGCTCTGGAGAAGTCGCCTCCTGAACTTCTGGTTTTGTCTCCTCCATGCACAGACGAAGGCGGGTGGTTTCACTTAAATAGCACCAGATGGGACCGTATGGAATACCTGAGAAGGGTTGCTAGGAGCCGTAGTTACATCAGGTGGTGTTGCAAATTGTTTCGAGCCCAGGCTGCAAGAGGTAAGCGAGCAATGTTCGAACATCCAACCGGGGCCAAAACATGGACTTACCCGGAAGTTCAGTCGTTGTGCCGCCAGTTTTTCACTTGCAAGCTGCACATGTGTAGGTATGGCCTAAGACTTCCTGGCAGTGAGAGTTGCATCCGAAAGAGCACCCGTCTCCTTGTGACTCATGAGGATATGCAAAGCCTGTCTAAGTTGTGCCCAGGTACAGGTGAACATGCAAAACATGATGTGGTTGCCGGTAGCTGGCAGGGTGTTCCGTCCGTGAGTCGGTTTGCAGGTCAGTATCCTCCAGAGTTTGTTGAAGCGGTACTGCAAACCGTCCCAATGTATCGCGATGCACGCCCATCCGAAGTGATGGTAGTTGTAGATGATACCGTTCCGCCTGAACAATGGGATTCTGTGCTTGCCGTAACCAGCCTGTCCGAGAAAACTGATGAGGAACTGTTGCCCATCCTCAAGAAGTTGCACCAGAACTTGGGTCATCCTCCCAACCATGACCTTATCCGTGTATTGAAGCATGGTCAGGCTAGTGAACAAGCCCTTCGGCTGGCCAAAGATTTTTCCTGTGACTTTTGCAAGACTCAGTGCCGCCCATCCGTTCCGTTGCCTGCTCAGCCACGTCGAGTCTCCGAAGTGAATCAGTTGGTTGGATTGGACATCAAGTACTTGAAAGGTTGGCGCCCAAATCAGAAAGTTAAGGCGTTGAACTTGGTCGATTATGCTAGTGGATATCAACGAGTCATTCCGTTTTTCGAGCAGGAAACAGCCCAACTCATTCGCAAGATGTTTGAAGAGCACTGGATCTCTTGGTTAGGTCCTCCTCGTGAACTGATTCTTGATGCTGCTAGAACCAACCTTGGTGAAAATATGGCCACTCCTTCAGAACTTCAGGGCACGGAGATTCGTCCAATTGCCGCTGGCGCGCATTGGCAACTTGGAAAGGTCGAGTCTCATGGCGGATGGTTCGGTCGTTTGGTGGAGAAGCTTGTGGATGCTCACCAACCCTCTAATAAAGAGGAATGGCTGCAGTGTGTGGTTCATGCTCACATTAAGAACCAAATGTTGCAAGTCCATGGTTTTTCTCCTCACCAAATGTTGTTCGGCCGCAACCCTAACATTCCGGAAGACCTGTTGAGTGAACCTTTGAATGTGATTGCAGCCACCGCTTCCCTGACAGAGCAGGGGATTGCAAGAGCCCAAGCCATGAGAACCACAGCCCGTTCGGCCTTAATTCAAATGCAGGATGACCGGGCGTTGCGTGTTGCCCTCTTGGCCCGTCCGAGAGTGTCCAAAGAGTTTGCCCCTGGAGACCTAGTTGCTTACTGGAGAGATCAAAAGTGGATTAAGGGTAAACTTCAAATCGGGGGTCAATGGTGGGGTACAGCAGTCGTCCTGGGTAAAGTTGGCCGTAACTATGTGCTGTTGCACCGCCGTCAAGTTCTGAGATGTGCTCCTGAGCAGATTCGTCCAGCCACAGCCGAGGAAAAGACAGTTCTCGGAACCCCACATGCCGAGATGTTAGGTATAAAGGATCTCATCGAGCAAGGTAACATTCGAAGTCAACAGTTTCTGGATTTGTTGCCACAGTCATACCCACCTGAGGAATCTTCTCAGCCAGATCAACCACCAACAGTGTTCGATGATGATATGGATGAATCAGCACCAGTCAGAGCACCAGAACCAAGATCAAATTCGACTGCCTCCGCTCCCGAAGCAAGTGATCTCCGGCCTGCTGAGTCGACACCTCAGCCTGAAATGCCTGAATCTGAGGCGCCTCAAACCGGATCCTCCGAAGTGCCACCTGAACCTAAAGATCCCATTGAATCTAACACTGGGGATAATTCTTATGGTCCCATTAGGCGTAGAGTAACCGGTAAGGATGGTCCTTTGATTCTCTGGCATCCTGCAGCAATGCGTCAAGACGATTTTGTTGAAATCATGAAGGAATTAGTGCCTCCGTTGATTGAGCAGGCCATGGAGTCCTCTGAAGAAAGTTCAGGTGTCAAGCGGTCAGTAGATGAGGTAGAATCTGCCAGAGCCGGTGAACCAGCTCCTGCCCGTCCTCGCATTGAGGAAGCCTTGAGTGTTGTAGAGTGCAATCAGCTGTGCGACAGTTTGCAAAATGAGCCACATGAAGTTTTCATGGCTGAATTTCTCAAAAAGAAAATGAGCAAAGAGTTACCTCACAGCAAGAATCCGCCACCGCTTCAGGCCAAGGTAGATGAAGGTAAGCGAACTGAATGGGAAACTATTGTCTCCAAACCTCATGCCGTGAAAATTCATTTTGGCAAAAGAGCTGCGCAGATCAAAGCTGATCATCCAGATCGGTTCATCGGTAGCAGATTTGCGCTGACCAGGAAACCTGTGACCGAAGGTCAAGATGTTGATCCGCACGATTGGCAGACCTTTTCTGTCAAAGGCAGATGGTGTTTGCAGGGGCATTTGGACCCAGATCTGTCAGAGAAAGCCTCCGAAGGCATGCTTAAGTCACCCACCTTGAGTCAGTTAGGACGCATGACGTTGATGCAACTGATTAGCTCGTTGAAGTGGGATTTGCAGCTTGGTGATATCCGAGGAGCTTTCTTAGAAACAGGTCCAAGGGATAGCCGTTTCAAACCCTTGTTTGCACATCAACCACCAGGTGGAATTCCCGGACTGTCGCCTGATGCGGTCATCGAGGTGTGTGGAAATGTCTACGGACAGAACGATGCCCCAGCTGCCTGGTTTAAGGAATTTTCTTCTTTTGTCACATCAACCGGATGGACTCAAAGTAAGATGGATCAGTGTTTGTTTTCCCTGCGAGACCCGCATGACCCAAGCAAGCTGATAGCCCTGATGGGAGTTCACGTAGATGACACTGCTCTGGGAGGCGACGAAGGTCACCCTCTGTTTCAGTCGGCCTTGAACCAACTTCGTACCAGATTTCCGTATCGCAAATGGCGTACCAAGTCTGGAGAGTTTTGTGGTGCTTGGTATACACAGTTGGTTGACAAGTCTATCCACATGAGCATGAAAACGTTTGCTGAAAGAATTCGACCAGTGAATATCCCAAAGGGTAGTGATGCCGATGAACCACTCAGTCCTTCCCAGATGAAAGTTCTCCGTGCGGTGAATGGAAGTCTTAACTGGCTTTCAAGTCAATCTCGACCTGATTTGAGTGTTCAGACTAGCATGAGTCAACAGTCTTTTCCAAAACCCACCATCAAGGACTTGCGTATGGCAAATCATGCAGTGAGACATGCGAGACAGGAGAGTTCCTTAGGAATCACCTTCAAGCCAATTCATCCTGATGATTTAACTCTGGTTTGTCATTCCGATTCAGCATGGGCAAATGTTGGGGTACACACTCAAGCAGGGTACATGATTGGCTTCACTCATAAAGATCTTCAACAAGGTCATGAGGCTCCATGGTGTCCAGTTAGTTGGAAAAGCTATAAGATGCCTCGGGCTGTCAGCAGCACGCTGGCCGCAGAGAGCCAGGCAATGGCCACGGCTTCTGGAACCGTGGAGTGGCTTGCCTTGCTGGTGTCGGAGTTGCTTGATGGACCCTTGATCATTCGCGAATGCAGAGAGCGGTTGAAAAAGAGACGTCCCATCCTTGTGACGGATTGCAAGAGCCTGTACGACCATCTCCATTCACCATCATCTCCAACCTCTATAGAAGATAGAAGAACTAGTATCGACGTTGTCATCATCAGAGAAAGCGTGAAGCTGTTGAGTGCCTTTGTTCGTTGGGTTCCAACGAACCGCATGCTTGCCGATGGACTCACGAAAGACAGTGGTCCTCCCATAGACCTCATGCGTGCCTGTATTAGACATGCCAGCTACCAGATTAGCCCTGAAGAAACAGTACTTGAATATCAAGCCTTGGAACGTGACCGTAGACTCCTGGAAAAGCAAAGGGGCGGGTCCCAACAGAATTCATAGTGATTTTCAATGACCTCACTTTGGGAAGTGATTTTGGAAGCCACCATGGTCATTCGTGTTTGGGATTGTGAGCAATCTGCAGTGACCGTGTTCAAGGTTGTTTTTGCATGCGTTTGCGTAGTTCACTAGCCGATTGAGCTCCCTGTTTTTGATCGTATACCCATGTCTGAGTTTTCCAAAGAGCAAGTTTCCAACGTGAAAGCCTTGCTCGACTCAGCACGCCGTGATGGATGCATCGAATTGCTATTGACTGCTTTGCGTGATGAGCCGCTTCTCAGTGAGGCTGACTCGTCAGAATTTGAGGTGCTCTCTCCTCAGTGTCTGGCTGCAGCCAGCATGACTGATGCTTCCAAGCGCCGTGGAGATGACGGTTCTTTGGAAGAACCTCCGTCCTCCAAGCAGCGCCCTGTGTTGCCATGTGAGATCACGACCAAGGACGGTGGCAAGCCTTTTCCTCCGGGTATCCGTTCTTTGGAAGAGTGGGGCAACACAATCATGCCAATGGGAAAGTATGCCAAGGAGAACCTTACCTATGCGGATCTGAGCGGTGCCGCTGATCAGGCCAAGCAGGCCTATTGTCAGTGGATGGTTTCCCAGAAGGGCCGTGAAGATTTGAATCCAGTTTTCCGCGATTTCATCAAGTATCTGCAGATGCGTGAATCGTCAACTGGCTCAGGTGAGATTTGCTATCCTGGAAGCTCCATTGTGCGAAAGGTGCGTCAGTGATTTAAGCATGAGAAGGAGATCGAGCCCCAGCAAAGCGTCCGAATTTTATTTCACCTGCACCTCTCCTTGATTTGCATTATAACCGCTTGGAAAGCGGGTGTGGCCGGTGAATTTAAAGATTTTGATGAGTGTCGAAGCATGCCACTTATCCAGCTTGGGGTTGACATGACATTTGTCTGTTCGCAGGGACCTTTGTGCCATTCGAGCTAGAAAAGAGCCCATTTGCACCTTCAGGTGAAGGGTCGTTCCTCCGCAATATATATATATACAAACAAAGTGGGGCCCCCCAGTTATAAGTTGGTTTATAAACCCCAGTAAGTATAGTTATAAGTACCATAAACCATAGTTATTGGAGTTATTAACCAACTTAGCTATCTAGGGGGCCCCACATATATATATATATATATCCAAATATGTTGAAAGTCAATGCTTCTTAGCAACTCAAATTCATCACCGACCTTACAACGCAACGACATGTGGCGCAGGGCGGGCCTCGGCCCCTGTCGTCCTAGGACCTGCAGGTAGACCTGGGACAGCAGCTGAAGCTGCAACACTTCGTGGCCGCCCTGGAACCATCCGATGCTGCGGTGGTTGCTGGTAGCGGCGTGAAATATCTGCAGGGAGAGGCCTTCTTATTGGACGAAGCGGGCCTGAACTTCACGGTGAAACAGGTGTGGATGTGGAGATCAAGGGAATACGGAGTTGATCATCATTGCTAGGGTAATAATTAACCATCATAATCAACCACCATATTATTAATCATGGGATGTTCATGATTTTGTGATATGTTGTTCATCATTGCTAGGGATTGAACCAGCTCTTTCTTTGAAAAGCATGCAGTTTTGGGGTACATTTGGACTTGACCCACTATAAGAATCTATAAGATATATGAGACAGGTGTTGCAATGTGCTGCAACAAGTTTTGGAACTTCTGGACATGGAAGAAGTCCAACCACATCTTCGAAACTGCCTTCACGAAACCGTAATGCTTTCGTGGCTGCTCGCGGCCTGGTTTCGTGTAGGTTTTGGGCGCCTGGCCACGTGGTGCTGCAGTGCAGCTGCAACATTTGCATCTCAGGGAGGAGGCGAAGCTGCAGAATGCGACTCTCAGCGTGGAGTTTCTTGGGGGTTTTTGGGTCCGGTGTCCCTTTGGCAACGGAGTTTCTTGGGGGTTTCAAGTGGGGTGATGTGACCGATTTAGATGGGACAACCCAGCACTGGCTTTATGCCCCCATTGATGTGTAGCGTAGAAAGTATCCCAGCAACAGTTTGGGCTGAGGTGAGGTGCAACCCATCCATCATGGGCTGGAGTAGATTTGTAAGCTAGACCGGCCCTAACTTTTTGATTCCTTTGCTCTCACTTCAATGAATGACCAACTTCCTCCCAGAAGCTTTTGTAGAGTACAAACAGCTGGGAACAAATGGCGGCGGGTCAAAAATCAATATTCACAACATGACTATACATAATTTACATAATTTCAAGTCTCAAGCATGGAATGAATGTGCCATGGCACTTCAACGGCCAATCAGAGTGAACAGTGAGCTGAAACTCAAGCCATCTGACAAAAAGCAAACAACATTATATCCTGCAAGTCTGCAAATGACCAGCTACTGTAGCGTACCTTCAGGATGTTTAGCTCCATAGCCTCTGGGATTTTGGAGTCTTCGAGTGTTGGTATATACGGTTTCCGAAACTATGGGTACCCCAAATCATCCATTTTTTTTGGGGGGGATGTTCCATTGTAAACCATCCAGCTGGGGTACCCCCATGGACACCTCCATATGTTGGTACCTCAATGGTACCGAAGAAAAATTCGCTTCGAGGTATCAACTCCGCTGCGCCCTGCATGCGTCCGAATTCCTCAAGCTCACGAAGCCCTTGAACCTGGAGGTGCCACACGGACTCCGACGGATTCCGACGGATTCCCACGGAGCGCCTGGGGTTCGAAAAGGGATCAGCGATATTTCAGGGATGGGTGAATTCAGCTGAATTCACTTGTGAGACAAGGTGGTCTTGTTGGAGTTTCAGGTCTCAAACATTCTCAAACTATAGTCATTTACCAAATTTTACCATGTTGAACTTCATATTTCATGGATTACAGCTGATATACATTCACTACCTCCTACACGACTGGAGGGCGAGCGGGAAGCCTGCCATGGCAGGTGCGGACTGACAAAGTCTACGATTGGTTTCGGTATGTTGGCTACGTGAGATGGGCGAAGCACCTCGCATCAACGTGGCTTCCTGGTGATCGCTCATCTTGACTATACATTAATGATATGATATTTATTGCTATATATATATACGTGTATATATATATATAAACGTATATATATATAATTATACATACACACATATATATATACATACAGACACATATATATATACATACACACACACATATATATATACATACATATGATCATATGTGTGTTATCATTAGATCATTCTACATGGCCAGTAACAAAAAAGCATTCAGGACTGCGATCGCCGGGACTGGTTGATCCTGCAACCTCTCTGCTACCTCGCTGGAATGGTGGTTAATGGTTAGTAGGGATGACTATATATATAGGCTATTATTGGGATATATAATGATATATAATGATATATATGTATATATCATTATATATCCCGATAATAGCCTATATAATCTATATATCATTATATTTTCCAATAATAGCCTTAAGTAAGCTTAGAGAATTATTGTAATTTGTCAACATCGTTTCATTTGTCCCCAGAGGCCGTTTGAATGTGGATCTCCTGCATCCCTTTTTCACTTTGTTTGGGGAACTCCCCGCCGCTGCGAAAAGCAACACATGGGGAGTTTTCAATCACCAGATCACACATATATTATGTATAATAAACATATATATATATATACATCTATATATGTATATATATATATATGTATATATATGTATATATATATGTATATGTATATATATAAATATGTATATATATATATATGTATATATATATATATGTATATATTGTGAATTCCACCAAATCTTGCAGTCCACATGTCACGTTCCCTCCAAGCACCAGTGTATCTCAGGTGAAACCAATCAATGTCCTTTAGATTTCGGCTTAGAGCCACTGTTGGCGGGAGGGAAAGGGTTCCATCTTGAGCCATAGGTGACCGGGTTCACCTCCATTTGCTTGAGGGGCGAGGCCGCCCGACCTGGCATTTGCAGCTGCATCCGTTTCGAAGTGTGTTCTGCTTCGCCGACAGGGTGTTCGGCTACGCCGGCACCTGGACTTCTCAGTTTTGGCGACAAAAGAAGTAGACTGCCTGCTGTGTGAGCTTTAGAGAGGGTTCCATCTGGATTACATAACAGTATCAGTGAATCACTCTGGAAGGGGCTTTTCAATACAGACGATCTACATCAATCATCAGGGTCAGCAGGGCTTCTACCAATTGCTCCACTTGCATTGGTAGCGGAGCCGCCCCACTCCGTTTACAGAAGGGGCGGCATCCGGGGAAATGGCGCAATCAACTGCGTCAGCCACTGAGCCCAATGTAGGTGTTAGCAATCAGCTGGCATCCTTGGTACCGACGTTCAATCCTGCATCCGATGACATGACCGTATACCAACAGAAAGTTGAACTGGTTCTTGCTGCATGGCCAAAGGCCAAATTGACAGAGCTGGTGACAAGGTTAATCCTTGGATGTGAGGGTAGTGCTTTCCAAAAGCTACAGCTGCACCAATCCGAATTGTTGACTGGCGAGGAAAAGTCAGTCCATCGACTGATTGAATTGCTGGGTGGACAATGGGGCCGTATTCCATTACAGAAACAATATGATGATGCTGAGAAAGCGTTGTTTGAGTCAGTACAGAAAGCCGATGAAACCAATGATAGCTTCTTGGCCAGGACAGATGTTCTATGGAGCAAGTTGTTGAGTCGCAAGCTGACCATGGAACAGCTGCAAGCATACATCATTCTACGTGGATCAGGTCTCAGTCCCGAGGAGAAGAAGAAGGTGATCCTTGACAGCGATCGTGAAAACTCAGGTAACCTTTCGATGCAGCGTGTGACAGAAGCCATTCGCCTTTTAGGTGCAAGTTTCTTTCAAGAAATGACTGGAGTGAAGAAAGGGCCGAAAGGCAAGGTGTATGACCAAAACACTTTGCTTGCCTGTGATGAAGATGATGATGAAACCGCTGAAGCCTCTTATGTAACTCAGGATGAATGGACAGAGGACAATTTCATTGACTCTCTTCGAGAACAAGGTGATGATGATGCCTGCCTCATTGCCGATTTTGAAGAAACTGCAGTGGAAATGTTGCAAGATGATGCCAATCTTGCCACCGCCTACAGTGCTTACCAAGAAGCACGTGCCCGCCTGAGTGAGAAATTCCGCAACAGAGGTTTCTGGCCATCCAGTCGAGGTTCCAACAATGCCACCAAGGGTAAGGGATCATCCTTCAACCAGAAGGGTAGTAGCAAGGGAAAGCGAGTTCAGCCAAGACGCAGCCTGCAGGACAGAATCATGTCCTCGAATTGCCGTGCCTGCGGCAGACGTGGTCACTGGAAAGCTGAATGCCCGTACAGAACTGGATCAAATCGATCAGTTGGTTCATCAGCCGCCAGCACTGCACCCACCACCACCGTGGTGACGGAGGGGAATGCCGTTGCTGCCAGTCAGAGTTTGCCCATGGAGTTCATGCAGCTGCCCGAAGTGAATGAGTCCGCCATTGATGAGGACGCCAGTGCCATGACAAAGGGTCGGATGACTGATGTTTTTTTTGTTGTAGGACTTGGGAAACATAGCCATCGTAGTACTCAGGGGAATCATAATGATTCGGGTAGGACTACTAGCTATGGGGGGAACCTAAGCCTTAGTGCCCGTGAGAGACTCCTGGCCCGAATCACCAGGAGTGAGTCGCCATGCATCCGGCCCAAGAGTGAGAGAACAGAGTTAGGATCCGTAGAAGCCAGCCGAGACCAGAACCGTCTGTCCGGCACCACTGTCAGTTCCAGCACAGAAAAACCAGGTATTTCAGATACAATCAATCTGTCTGCAGCCGTGCTTTTTGCCACACATAGCTCCCTCGGAGTGCTGGATCTGGGGGCAACCAAGACGGTCATAGGCAGTGAACATGTGTCTGATTTAATTCACGGTCTGCAGCCAAGCACTCGCCAGAAGTTGTATCGGTGTTCATGTGAAATCACTTTCAGGTTTGGAAACCAAGGAACATTGACCAGTTCCCAGGCATTGGTAGTACCTGTAGGGGATTTTCACCTCAAAGTTGCAATTGTCCCCGGGAGCACACCGTTCTTAATCAGTAACACCATGATGCGAGCGCTTCAGGCCAACATCGATTGCCACAACCAGAGACTGTCAAGCCCATGGTTCAAGAATCCAGTGCCACTTCAGTTGACCAACAAAGGACTCTTTCTCGTTGATTTGAATGACATGATTCAAGCGGCCGACAGTACCAATCCAAAGTCCTCCAAAGTGTCTGCGAAGACCGGCACTTGTCATGAGACTTTTGCATCCGAGGACGGTGTAAACAAGCAGCCGCCGATGTCAGCCAATTCAAGTGTTTGTCATGAAAAATCAACACCACAACATGAAGGGTCAGTTGATGAAATCAAGAAAATCAAAGGGTCACGGAAAGTTAGCCAGTTAATTCAAACATGGGAAGCAAAGGGAAAATCAGGTGAACTGTCAGGGAACTTGGCTCAGAACGACCCATCACCAGGAAACAGATCCTGTGAACGCACCGAGTCTTGCAGTCATGTCGATGAGCCAGCGTTTGAGCAAGCTGTACCAGGAAGTGACCGTGAAAGGGGAGGACCTGTCACACCTCACACTGGAGGAGCTCTCGGCCGAGAAGATCAAGTTTGGGGAGAAACATCAAGGAGCCACCATGGAACATGTCTGGCGAACCGACCCCGAATGGATCCGGTTCATGGTGAATCGATACGAAACCAGTGTCAAGCCAGAACATCAACGTCTCATGAAGTTCGTGGAATTGAAACTGAAATACCACGAGGAGAATCAGCTCCCAGTGAGAGTTCCCAAGGCCAGGAGCACGGCAGCCCCAATGACCAGCCGCCGTCAGCCCAAGTGCAAGGCAGCGCCTCGCACTCCAATCGAGGTGGACGAGGCCGAGATCTCAGACCTCCAACTCGTCGAGAGCGATGCCACATGGGAAAACATGTCACATATCGAGATGTCCAACCCGGAGACTATGCCCCTGACGGATCTGAACCAGCAGCATGCGGAGGAGTTTCAAGCTCTGCAGACGCGCATGCTCAATATGGAGAATGCCCTGAGCCGAGTGATCCGACACTTGGAGGATCAGGCGAACGACTCCATCCAGGAGAATTGATGTGTCAAGATGAAGATCAGGTGTATCTGACCATGAATGCTGACATGAAAAAGTTTCACAGATTGGTTCAGCAATTTCAAGAAGAATTAGATGTTCAAGTTGCCACCATGTCACCAATGGGTACCCGCATAACCCTGGCTGAAGTGTTTTGCAGTGATGAATCCCCCTTGACACATCAAGTAAAGGCCCAGGGCGGCAGCTGTTTTCGATTTGGATTGTCGCAAGGAGATCTTGCGCAGGCAGATGGCCGTGCCAAATTGTTTAAGCAGCTAGCAGTGCGTCGTCCCCGAAACATTTGGTATAGCCCAGACTGCGGACCTTGGTCATCATGGTCGTATCTCAATTCCTCGAAGTCCATGGAATCCCAGGAAAAGTACCACCCAAAGAATCCAAAAAGGATTGGGTACGTCACAGAGAGGTACCATGGCATCATGACAATGTTGAAGGACCATGAGGTCCCATGAGGCCCCTGTAGGCCCCCCAGAAGGGAGATAATGAAGATTTAATGATGATTTCATGTGCCCCAACAGAAGCAACACTTCATGTTCAGGTTCGAAATGGGGACATTCAGGTAATTGCTGAGCCTCCCAGTTGTTTGCTCAAATCCACTCCCCAGAGCCTAGACGTGCCGTTTTTTTTTCGCTGGCACCTCAGCTCACTTTGGCAGCTTGTGGATCATCAAAACCTGGTAGCGCTCCAACGTCCTTGTAGAGACACTGGAGCGATGGCAGGATCTAGCAATGCGGCCAATGATTCCTATAAAGCTTTCTGCAGTGAGTAGGGTGACAAATTTGGGATTGATCCTGGATCTGACAGTGTCATGGCACAAGTGCCACAAGTGATGCAATTTGGGAAGTAGTAGCCATGACCTGCGCCCTGGCACATGGAGCTGAGCTTTCATACCGAAATCATGCAGCCATGCGTAACAGCGTAGGTGTCGCAACGTGAAGTAGCCAAAGCGATTAGCCTGTTCTTCTGTAAAGATATGCCGTCCCTCATCCATGGTTCGAAGCATCATATCATAGGCAAAAATGCAGCTCGCAACTACTTTGTCGGACTCAGTAGCATCGACCCTTTCTGCCCACTGCTGTGCGCGACATGCCAACCAGTGAGTCAAAATCTTGCCAGGTGCTGCTTTGCTCTGCAAAGATGGAAAACCTGATACCGGTCATATGCGCTCATCATCAAAAGCACTGAAGATCATGCAAAAACAAGGAAAACATAGGAACTAGCGATGGATGAACAAATCTAGGAGCTGGTTTGGACATGCCTGCTGAGCCTTGCTGGTGTAAATCGAGGCTGGCTACACTGCATGCCACGCAGCTTCTTGAACAGCAAAAAATCCCGATGAGCACGTTTCAGTACTTTGGCCAACTTGTCCTTGTACACCCCCGCGCCCTGCATGGACCCGAACATCCCCGCTTCACATAAGTGAATCAGAGTGGCACCTGATGTTGCGATTGGGTAACCCGTGTGAAAGGCAAACTTGTCTTTTCCCATGGTTGTCTAAATCTTCATGCCGAACAAAAAATCAAATGCACTTAAAAGTTGTCCGGGGAACCGTTTGTTGTTTTGCCCGTGCCAAGCAGTTGCGAATGGCAGGTGTCATGCAAGACACGGTCCAGAGTAAGTGGCAGGGAAAAAAGGACAGAAAATTCTTGCACCATATCCACTTCTGTGTAATCCTGCTCTGGAAAGGCTGTGGGGTCAGAGCTGAAATTTGTAAGGGAGTCATACACATTCTCTGCCGTCTTTTTGCACGTGCAGCGCGAACAAAAGTTATTCGAGCGAAAGTTGTGTAGCCCCATCTTTTCATTCAACCATTTGAGATCACCTTGAGCAGAAGTGAAGGTCACATGATACCCTTCAGCTGTCCAAGGCCAGGTAGCAGTGGGATCCATTAAGCGCCTGAAACTGCGCACCACGTACTTCATGGCGTCATTGTAGGTGTGCTCGCATTCATGATGCTCGCTCCACAAACAAATGGGGTAGTACCGGTTGCACGGATCGTTCTTGTATGCAAGGTCGGGAGTAAAAGCGCACACAGCTACAGCACCACACTCGGAGTTGCGGTAGGCTTGCACTTCATCCCCGTAAGTCGCAACACCAGCCAGTCGAGATCGGTCGTGCCAAGCACTTGCAGGGTGATTGCTAAACCAATTGGTATGTGTTTCAAGGTGATCCCAATACTCTTTAACTTCAGGTGGTGTCAACGCCCCGAAGAGGCACTTGTCGAACACCTTCCTCCCTTTGGCCCACAAGGCTAGTAACATATCATGTGGCAAGATCATAGGCAGCTTTTGCATAGAAATTTCAAGAGTCGACGGGTTCACCATCCGAACATCTCTGTAGGAGATTTTAGCGCCCAACCAGTTGTCCATTTTCCGCATTAATCTATGGCAGTCGCGCTCAGCATTAGCAGACCACTTGCCACTGCAGCCAAGCTTTGAAAGCCGAGCAACAGTATCGCCAGAATCTTTGACACGACCACCATGCGAATCCAGCCATTGCATAGCCGAAGCAGCAGTTCGTTGAACCTAAGTTGCAGCAATGAAGAAGTGAGTCAGTGGTAATGTCAATGTTAAAGAGTGACGCTGCAGGGGGGAAACACAAGAAAACATACCGTTTAAGCATAACTGAGAACACCTGGGCCGCAGAACTGGAACCACTAGCAAACGAGTCAGTTAGAAGCTCCCCAAATTCGGGTGCAGGGGTCTTCGGCTTGCATGATGCTCGCGCAGCCACAACTTCAGGGGCAGAGAAAGGCCGAAGCACCGGCCGAGGCATCTTGCATGGCCGCTCCACATTGCTGCTTTGGCCAGCCAGAGCCTCAGGGGGGCAATCCAAACATGTGGCCGGCAGTCTTGTATACCTCCAAAATTGGGCGAACAACCCAGTCACACCCGCGGGTATGTATAAATTCAGTGATTTTCTTAAACTCGAGGTCCACATACATGTTTTCTGAAATGTTTGGATGATTTCTATCATTCCTGGCCTCTGCTTTGCGTTTTGACTCATCACGTAGGAGTCCTGCACAGAGAGAGAGGAAATCATAAAATTGGTTTGACAAAGTGGCATAGCGGGACTTCTAATCACCCCATGAGTTTGCACATAGGTACGGGGTCATTGTAATAGTTTGTCAAACCCTACAAATACCACCCACGGAAGGCACCAATTTTTGGCGCGCGGGATCTAAGCTTCAAACGCGTGTATTCACGCGGTAGTTCACTCATGGCTGACCTCACAACCCTGCGTCAAAAACAGGAACCTTTAATGCCTGCAGCTATGGCAAAGTTTTAATGTAATTATAAGTTTTTTCTCTAGGGTCATGCTATGGCCATGCCAAATTGTCCATGGATTTCAAAGAAGTCGGGTTGACTCCTGTAGATCTACTGAGCCCCTAGATCTCAAAAAAAACCCTGTGTGGGAACACTCGCACCATGTCGCACAGCTTTAGGTCTCAGGGTTTTCAGTTCCTTCACTGGCCTGGATCGCTGGTTGGGTGTGTCCAAAACTTGGGTCATTCAATCGCACTTGCAAAAACCGCAATGTTGCAATGTGGGGCCCCCAAGATATAGGTGAGTTGTTTTATGCCATAAATAGGGTTTATGGTAGCTTTAACTGTGCTTAGATGGGTTTATAAACCAACTTATAGCTAGGGGGACCCACATTGTGAGGATATATCAATGATGTCAATGTTCGAATTGATCCAATTTAGGGATTGCAGAGGGAGGAGCTCAACTGGGGATATGTTACTTATAGTCGCTAAGGGGGCCCTCCTATTGGATATGATAGCTAACCTCCGTGTCCATCTTTACATGATGGCTATTGCTGTTTGTCCCCCATTTTTTGAATTCTGCAAATTTTTGACAAAATATGGTAAAGCTTGGATACAGGGGTATCTAGCAAGAATGGTCTACCCACATGCAACAAAAAACAACCCCCAATAGAAGTACATTATTTGGCATGCACCTTTTGGGAAGGTGCAAAATGATCCCCAGACGGTTGGTTGATGTGATGGTCTATTACTGGGTTTATTCCACAGAAAACATGTACTGTATGCCAGTATTTGCAACTATATGATCCAGTCCCAATGTATAGTGACATGTATATCTATCCATGTTACCCCATTCTGTGTTGGTAATCCCCATTGTTTTTTTTAATAGATTCACGAACCCCCCTGTAAAATGAAATGTGATTTGATGTAATTTTAATCCATTCTTTGTTGGTCATCCCCATTTTTAGACATTCATGAGCCATCCCTTCAAGGTGCATAATTTTGAACCCAGACATTGGACGTTATGGTGTGGCAACCCCCAACCCAACCTCACCTTCCGTTTCCCTCCCTTTGGCTTGCACAGCTGCGTTGCCATCGCTGCATTTTCGAGGTACGAATCCCTTCCGGCATTGGCATCAATAAGGATCTCTGCGGCACGGTCTTCGTCGAGGCTTTCGGGATTCTGGCGGGATAGAACGGTACAAGGCTTTGGTGAGGATATGTCAATGTGGGTTCCAGAATAAATTGAGGTTCCAGAAAAAAAAGAATCCAAACTAGATGGTTCGTGACCACCTTTTTTTTTAAATGGCGGGTGGTATCGAAAAGGGTTTGGAATCCCCATAATTCTTGGAACTATAGGGAAAATTTACCCATGCAAAGCTATTGACATCCTGAAGACTCATGGTTAAACCGGATCCCCCCAATGCTGTGATTTCTCCTTCTCGAACTGGTCCAAAATGGATTTCAGAGTGTAATAGTAATCTTCCAACTCCTTCGCCGCTGCCACTAGGTTGTCACCTAAGTGGGCAAGAAAGGAATAAATTTCTGGCAAAGCTAGTCCAAAAAGGGGAGGCAACATACATGCAGAAACTGATTGTGTCTAGGGGCGAAGTTTGTCTTGGTGCTTAAGATGGGCCAATTTCACGGGCCACATCTTTGCCTGGCTCAAATCCTTGAGAATCTGGGGAACCATCCATTGAAGACCTGGTACGACCTCATCCGGCATCTCCTTCCTTAGAGTTTTGAAACTCACCGCTTCGCCATGCTCGGACATGCGTGGAATATGAAGAGAAGATCACATGGAAGTCTAAATGCCAGATCATTTTAGAGACGGACACAGTTCATCATATTCTTTAAAGGGGCTGGCAAACTTTGGAAAATTATAGGTGACAAGACTCGTCTTTGCTTGCTTGGGTTTGGACTTCGCTTTGGCCTTTGGAACTCCCAAAACCGTCGCGGGCGCGGGAGCTTCCTTTTGGTTGGTACGCAGGTTCAGGCACTCTTCGGGCTTGCAACCCTTCGTCAACTTCAGGGAAGCCTCTACACATGGAAATGAAGCGCAAACTGTTTAGCCACTTGCAGTTATATGTGCCAAATACCTCACGCACATATATATATATATACACACACACTTACATGATTCCACATTATATGTAATCAAAAATCATAAAATACCAATCACATCATATCATTTTATTATATCATATCATATTAGTCCAACTAGTTTTCAGGTGGGAGAAGGGGGACAGAGGAGAGAAAAAGAGAGAGAGAAAAGAGAGACAGAGAGAGAGAGAGAGCTGTGGCTTTGGCCACAGAATGGGCTCAAGATGGCTGAGGAAGCAATCATTGTAGCTGTAGCTTTGGCCACGGAGTGGGCTCAAGATCAGCCATGCCACAATCATTGTAGCTGCAGCTTTGGCCACAGATGGGCTCAAGATGGCTCAAGGAGCAGGCATTGTAGCAGTAGTTTTGGTCACAGAGTGGGCTCAAGATCAGCCATGCCACAAGCTGCAGCTTTGGCCACACATGGGCTTAATGATGAGTCATGCAACAATCATTGTAGCTGTAGTTTTGGTCACAGAGTGTGTGAAGATGGGTGAGAACACCAACGCCCCAGATGCACAACAAAGCCCCGGAAAGCAGGAACAAAAAACAATCCAGGAACCCAACTGTTTCTGTTGGCGCCTGACCACCACAGTTGATCTTTGCCTTAGCCGCCATCTTGAGCGTGTTGGCGGTCTCCTCTTCATCCTTTTTTCCAAGCTCCACAGTCACCTACGGAGCATGGCGAATAAAACCCCTAACCTTGAGGGCAGGAGTGGATTGGAAACAAAGTGTGTTGATGATGCAGGAAAGGCACATAGTAAGTCTTCAAATCATCATCGTCTGGGTGATCTTGCACTAAACCAGCCGCAATCTTCTTCTTAATGATGCTGTCTGCAGCATCCGTGTCACCACCGTGATCAGCAATGATCTGAGCTTTGGTTCGCCAACCTCATTTACAACATGAATGCATATTTATGGCCTTAAGCGTGCAGTTGCCTTTTTTTAATACTTCGCATATAACTTCCGCAAATTGGGGTAATTACTCTTGCAATTTTTTGTATATATGTATATATATAGATTATAGAAATATAATACATGGATCTGAACCCCAAGTCGATGGAAAAAGTCCATTTCCATTCCCATGGCAACAAGCGGGATTCCAGCCGAGAGGCGCATTTTCCTCGTGGAAGTGGATCGATCGGTGTGGGTCCTGGAATTTTCCACGTGCAACCTGGGCAGGGGGCTGGCTTGGCAAAGCTTATCCCCATTTGAAAGTCCATAAAAAAGGGAAGAACATATTTATGCAGCTTGATTGAACCCCAGCCAATTTTCAAACATATTCACTTTTGAATTTATTGAACCCGAGTCCACGCTTAGATTGACCAAAAAACATTTGGAGCCACTGCGAACCCAAAAAAAATCGCATCCTGGGAGCAGGCTCCAATTCTTTCCGGCTTTCAGCCATTTTTCGAACAGGGCCGTCTTTGCAGCCTACATCAAACACAGATGGTTTTGATTTATAATGGAGGGTGCGTTATAACAAGCATTAGATTTCATTCGCATGTGTGAAAATACCTTCGTGTTGGTCTTCACTGCAGCTTCCCATGCTTCCACCACTTCATCCGGTATGTCGTGCGCTTCTGGGTCGCGAAGACGCCTCCCACAAAAGGGTGCATAATAGTTTGGGGTGAGTATGATAGCGTGACTGAGGCATTCTATAATTAGAAACCTGCCTTTTGAACTCGCCCTGCAAAGCTTGCCGTTCGTTGTAGGTCGCGGGTTCAATGGGCTGTGGTGCCCCATCCTGCAAAACAATCGTTTTTATATATACATGTATATACACACATCTCTATCTAGTTATCTAACTACGCGCAAAGGTTGAATACAGCAGTTCTAAGTCCCCAGGCCTCCCCAGTGGCAACGGTGATTTGAGCAGCAGGTCGTCGTACAGGCTGTGCTGGTTGTGCTGCTGCTGCTGCTGCTGGTGCTGGCTGTGCTGGGTGTGCTGCTGGGGGTGCTGGGGGTGCTGAGGGTGCTGGAAGCTGCGCACGGGTCAGGGGAGGTTGCGCTTTGGCTTTTGCCAAGGCTGGAGATTCTGCTTGGGGTGCATTGTTGGGTGTCTCCAGGTCTGGTGGCAGAACAGGCGGGGCCGGGGGATCAAGTTCCCACTTGACAGACAAGCCGGATGGCTGTGCTTTCTTGTGGCGCAAGATGCCAGCTCTTGCTGAGTCAAGCTGAACTTTGGCTGGTCCATGGGAGTCCTTGGCTGGGTGCATCTGTGGGGGTGTTGACTGAGGTGTTTCTGTGGATTCATGGCTTGGTGTTGGCTCAGGTGCTTGGGTTGCGGGTTGGCATGCAGCAACTTTGGCCGTTGGAATTGGCTTCGGGACTGCCTTCGCAGTTGGCATTGGCGACTTTGGTTGTTCTGCCATGTGCGTGTCATGTTCAGCATCAGCATAGGCATGGGCCTTTGCAGGGGGGCAAGCAGGCAGAACAAGGGGTGTAGCTGCAGAGGCTGGGGTGGCAGGAGGCCTACGCTTCAACACCATTGTGCTATGTGCAAGGGGTGGGCTGGCTGATGTTTTTGCTGCAGTACACACACCGCGACAAGCTGAAGCTTTCTTTGTGGGAGGCGTTGGAACACCCTTTGTGTAGTCTACTGTTGATGACCGGGAGTATGCTGCTGGCGACATTGACCTGTCACAACTAAACAGTCTTTTGAATTCGGTGCATGGTTTGCTGGACCTATGTGCGCATTCTAGAAATTGGATCATTGGGTGCCCCAATTTAAGCACGCAGGGTATTTCATTTCCTTAAGCCCAAATGTGGATTATTTTTCAAAAATTGGAACACCCAACAAGTAATAAAACAACCTGAGAAATAGACTCAGCAAGGGCCAGTGCTGGTTCTAGTTCACGGCTCGATGGAAGCAACGCGGGCCACTGAACTGGCGAAGGTGCACTCATCGAACCACTGGAAGCCTCCCATGAACTTGAAAAAGATGGGCTCACATAAATGGCATGGCTCATGGATGTGATAATATATGCGTCCCATGGGCCATGCAGCCATGTTATGTTGGCTCTCTAAACTTGTAAATACCATGCAGGCCATTTAGGACCACACCCTTTTCGATTTCTCTCCTGAAATTCCAAGCCCACCCACAGCCGGAATGAGGCCAAAGATGCCTTGGAAGTGAACGAAGTCGATGGCGAAATGACACGTCGTTTCGGCGGAGGCGTCTCCGCATGGTCAGAAGCTTCGGGTTGAACCTGAGTCCGCAGGCAGCGCTACTTTAGATATACCATGGAAATTGATGAATGGATATACACCAGGATAAGCCTAGTTACTGCTCCGCTCCATGGGGCAAAGAATTCCGCAACCTCCCCTTGCTTTGGTACATGAAAAGGAGGTAGTTTTGGAACAGGTGGAACTTTTCCTTCAGCTGAGTCCTATGGTTTTGTGGCAAATGCCAACCCCACACAAAACCTACCCACACAAAACCTAAATGAAACATTGAGAACATATAGTCCTGTTCTGGTCCCTTTGCCTTTCGACGGACCTGTCATCAAGAAATTCTGCTTTTGACGTATGCATAAATAAAGCATGTCAAAAATTAGTCAGAGTCACCATGGCGGGAGCTGCTCGAACTCCACAACAAGTGCCGCGGAATCCCCAATGCCCTAAAGAGCTGGAGACAGGATAGGGTCCAACGTTATAGCTACAATTCCTGCATGTGTGCGATCCCTTGCAATGACTATGGGACACTAACGGCCAAGTGTGACAACATCAGAACACATTTTTCCCGATTTTCCCGATGCCTTTCCGATGCCGGGGGCGTCGCGGGGCGTCGGTTTAGAGGAGTTTTGAGGTACCCATGACAACCCCATCCGATGTTTCCGATGGCTTTCCGATGCCGCCCCGCGACATTGCACATGTAATTTGGTCCCACAACTAAGAATGGGAAGTGCATATGGTAAAACAGCGAATTAGAAGTAGCCATGCCATGACATCAATCACCACTGGCCCGCTTGCGGCTGCGACGGGCATTCAACATGTCGATCAGGTGAGCCTCAACTTCGTGAAGCCTTGGCTAGGGACCATGGATGATCAGGGTCAACATTCCAACGTTTTCCAAACTCAAACATCCTTAAAGATGGATCCAACATATTCCCAACATTCCAAATCCAAACATTCCAAAGATGGATCCAAACATTCCAAACATTCCAAACCCAAACATTCCAATCCAAACATTTCAAACATACCAATCCCAAACATTCCAAACATTCCAGACCCCAGCATTCCAATCTAAACATTCCACATTCCAAACCCGAACATTCCGAAGATGGACCGAAACATTCCAAACCCAAACATTCCAAAGATGGATCCATTCCAAACATTCCAAACCCGAACATTCCGAAGATGGATCGAAACATTCCAAACCCAAACATTCCAAAGATGGATTCCAAACATTCCAAACCCAAACATTCCAAACATGGATCCAATCATTCCAAACATTCGAAGCCCAAACATTCCAATCCAAACATTTCAAACATCCAATACCCAAACATCCCCAAGATGGGTCCAAACGGTACAGTATATGCATCGAACCAGTCCAAACATTCCAAACCTTGCATGGGATCCAGACATTCCAAGCATTTGCGGCATTCCATAAAACAGTCCATGGAGGGTGAAAAACACGGTTTGGAATTCCAGGGTGCCATTATATTTTTGGAATATGGCTGCATACATGCACGTGATTCCCTGGCAGTCCAGTGGCTTTGCATCTTCCCAAGCATCAGGGGTGTAGTCAATCGTCTCCACTGGAGTTAGATGGTGCGCTTCTTTCGTGAAGAGCTGAAACACCTTGGTTTTAAACATGGATGTCTATAGAGAGTCTAGAGATTTCATGGCCCAAATTAGAAAAAAGTATGGTATAGAGGACGGGCGACCCGTCTTCCAAAGCGAGGAGGATACACTTGAGTGGCTTTAAGATGTCGGCTTCCCTGAAATTTTGGACGTCCATCAGCAGTTTGGTATTTCACAGTGGAATTGCTGGGTTCAAACAAGCTCCTGTCCAAAGTCCTGTTTTCAGGGGCTTTAAAAAACAAGAAAAAACAAGTTGGCATGCATGCTGCATTTTAAAACCTCAATGTTTTTGACATGCAGTCCTGTAGAGTTTTTCCACGACGGGATCCGAGGAGACAAGTTTGACGGGCTTCCATGTTGGGGCACCATACATCCCGAGGTGTGTACGGCATTCCCAGTTCTCCGCATGCTGGAGGAAAGTTTTGAGGCGTGGGTGGTCGAACAACTCAGCGCAGCACCCCACCCCTCAAAAATAAACATGCCAAAGATAGCTGCACTGAGAAATTTGAAAATGAATTTTGAATTTAAGCACCCCACCAATGATTGAGAAGGATTTTCCAAAAGCCAATGTATGCCAAGGAAGCGGGCTGCATATAGTATGAGAGTCATCTTAGTGCAGCGAAAAACACATGTCCATGTCCCACGCCAAACCATGTGCCAAAGTATCAAGCATCCATTTCCTGGGCCTATGGCTCGACTCACCATTAAATTTCCATGCACCACGCTCGGACGAGTCCTGCGGGCCACACGGTTGCATGACCATTTCCCCCTTTTGTGAATGTCGGAATATGGAAAAGTTTGCCCATATGAGATATTTTGTTCTTAAATGCAACCCAGGTGAACGGTTCACGAGATAGATGTTGAATTTAGATGATTGGGGGTCCTGACCGTACATACTTTTTAGCCATGCAGATATTTGCACTAATATTTATTTTATTCATAATATATATATGAATATCTATTTTATTTCTATATATGATATGTGTGTTTATATGCAAGCAATACAAACATATTTGCCCACATACAAAAAGGGTTGGTAGGTATAAACATAGAAATACGAAGATGGAATTGATAGAATTAGGGCGAATATAAGTCAAGTGCAAAGTTGAGGGCCCCAATTTCAAAAAACAACTGACATTTAGAGAATTTCGATCTCGGTAATGCCAGCCTGCAAACTTGAGATACATCCACTTTGATTCCAAATAGTTCTATTGTCACAGTGGTGCCAAACCCGTGATATTTCCATATCCATGAATATATCATATGTATGTAGCCATACCTTCATGCCTATCTATCCATGATCTGCTCCACCTTTCTTAACCACCAGGACCCCCATCCACCCTGTCCTGTTTCCCAGGATGTTGTGCTCACTTCGTTGAGACGTTCCACCTTGAGGCACGCAAGTGATAAATTTCATGGGGTTGGGCCACTAAGATCATCAAGTCCAAAAGATTGAACACTTGCAAATATAGAGATTCATTACCTCTATGTAGCCGAGTCTCATGCCATGTAAACTTTCTGGGTGTGGGGTTTTGGAACCCCCGTGGGAAAACATTGCCGTTGGGGTTTTATCCGGGATCTGCTAGATGGATCTAGATTCATCAAAGCCGAACCAAATGCTGTGGAAACCCCAATGTGGACCATATAAAATCCCGACCTTCGATCATGCAGTCATAGCCAACCCTTGCTGAGAATGATCTGAGTTCCTGACGGTTAACTATGCTCCAGCTAGAGCATAATATCCCCGCAACCAGCACTGCGTCGGGCTTGCAGCATAAGACTGCCCAGAGGAATCTCAGGAATCCTTGACTCGTATTGATGTCCTTAGCACACAATGGTGTGATCGAGGAGCATGGGGTAGGGCACGCGTACAGCAACTTTTAGCACCACTTGCATTCACAGACCCAAAAACACAGTGGCATGACTTAAACCTCATGCCGCATATACATCACAGTGGCCAGTCAGTAATCTACTGGTTTTGCGGCCAATGAACATCTCGGGGATCAATTTCTGTGTCAAGTGCGCATGCCATCATGTTCTGAGCTTTGTAAGCTTTACTCACTGCACACTGCCCGGCGAAAAGATCAGCACAGTCATACAACGCGGCCGGCTGCACAAAGGCCCGTTGCATCAAGACTATGATGGCCCACAGGCGAAAGGGGATGCAACCAGGGTTGCGAGGTCCACGAACCCTCTGCGGTATGAAGTAAGGGCCGCAGTCATCATCCTTGTTCTTTGGGCACCTCAGGTACAACAGCGGCTGTTCTATGTCTTAAGATTTTCTTTCCAACAGTTTAAACCCAGCTCCAAATTCTAGATGCCATGGAAACGTTCACACAGACCAAAGAATAAAAACGAGAGAGGTTCAGGCATAGACTGTGCCATTTACTCTTGTGAATTTTTGGGACAAGTGTATTCCTGATTTTTTTGTGAAACCACAGTTTTGGCATGCACACAGTAAGTTGATCCAAAACACAACTCATCGTCTGTGGCGATGGCCTTATTCAGACCCTTTTTTCGATCCCTCTTCCCCATGGCCACTGCTAGACCTCACGATCCGAGACGAACCTGGCCAGGTGCCAAGCAATGCCTCTTTCACAAAGGCGATGAAGCGTTTGAAGGTCGGGTTTTGGCAGTTGGGACGAGGGTGGCTTGACTGCTAAAATGATCATGGGATTCGAGCATAATGTTTTGCATGCCCATGCCCAAAAATGCATCCGCTCAACGATGGAAAGAAGAATGCCTCAGCTAGACTTGAATGTGGGGACTTGAATGTGGGCAATCCAACAACAGCTGTTTTTCCTGTCTTTCCCCAGCTTTCGATTGATGCTACCTATGGTTCTACCCCACCTCTCTTTCTCGAGTGGGTCAGGAACCCCCAACGCAAGCTTTCAGAAATTGTCTTTCCGGCCCCAGAAGCAGGGCAAAAATGAGGCCATGGGCCAACGCCAACGCACTAGCTGCGGCACGTTGGAAATGCCAAACATGGGCCCCAAAATCCCAAACCTGTGAAATCAAAAATGACAACACATTATTGAACAGAATAATATGTGTATATACATATATATATATGTGTGTGTGTGTGTGATATGTCCTACACAAGCGAAGACATCATAATATATGTACATATATATATATGCAAATGATTTCATGACTGATCATACGTAACAAATCAACAGGGGAACACATATATGAAAATTAGGCCTCGCCCTCACGGGATTTCTTGTGATCACCGATCTTGGGCTGAGACTTGTCAGCCTTAGGCTCCTTAGGCACACCACTCAGGCGAGGGCTTACCAAATTGTAATCCCTCAGCAAGGCCGAAGCCAATTTGCCAGCCTTCTTGCAATCTTCACATTGGTGTCCCCGGCTACTTGTCCAGTTGTAACATGAGTTAAAGTTACTTAGCTACTTATCTTATAAGCAAGTATATAAGTAGAAATAAGTATAAATAAGTAGAAATAACTTTTTTGTATGTTTTTTGGGTTTTCCACGATTATTGCCAAATTAGCACGTCCCATTCTCCCTTTTTTTTCCGCGCAGGTATCATGCATGTAGAAATGTGAGAACATTTTCAGCGTCTTTGCGCGTTTTCCTAAAGAAGTATACGGGCACGGTTTGGAAAGCTTTGTCAAGAGGCAACAGCCATGTATTGTCACTGGACGGGTGTAGTTTCCAATGTGACAGAGCAGGATTCGAAGCGGGCAGCGGCTGCAGTGGTTGGCACAAAAGAAAAAAAAGGCCGTGGGATTCCACCGCGCCGTGGATTTCTATTGCTTGTTGGGCCGAAAGAATCTTGTATTGACCACAAGCAAACGTGATACCCTTGCATTCGACAGAGGTTGCAACATAAGCGTCTTGGCCAAACCATGTCTGCAGGGCATGGCACTGAGCAGTTGGTCCACGCAGGACCGGAAGAAACGAACCTCGGTTCTCATGTTGAGAGACGTCTATGTGATTCATTTCCAATAAGGCAGAAGCGGAAAATCCGTCTAATTTTGTCAACGTCTCTGCAATTCTTTTGAAGAGACGGTGTTTTCTTTCTGCAGGAAAGCAGTCCACACACAGTGTGTGTGCATTCCATTGCAGTGGGAGATGCAAAGATTAATGATGTTTGGGACGGCAGACATCGATTGAATACACAGAGGCAAATTTGTTCAGGTGAACTGTTTGCAACCGTATCATCTCGATGCTTTTCAGTTGAAGGTTTCCACCGCGTTTGGCATCAGTCCAGCAGCATATCAGCGCCAACAGCGCCGTCAAGCATTCGCAGTGGGGAAGCATGGCTGGAAAATCCGGCGCTATGACTTCCCAGGAAAATGCAACCATCAAAGGTAGCACTGACAGAGCTTCAGATGCATCTCCGCGGAAGTCTCTTTGGTTCTGCCATCTTTTCTTTGTGAAAATTTTGTTGATGTCCAAGCTCGACTCTTTGGAGGCTGTCCAGCATTGCAGAACGTATCTGCGTACTGTATCGATGTCGCAGGAGGTCTTGTCCAAAAGAGCATTATACCAGAGCCCCAATTCTTGAGGCACTATGCCATTTGCCAGGAAGCAGTGCATGGCGTCGTACCTCAAGGATGATAATGGAATCCAGTTTCGGAGATCTTCTTGCACTAAAATAGACGCCGACAAGGCATGCAGGTGCCATCCCAATAGTTTTTCCGCTTCTTCTCTTTCCTTGCGAGACAGCAAGGTTTCAAGGTGACGTTGGATGTGGATAAGATTGTCTTGCGTTTGCAAGTGGCAAGCATGCACATCGCAGCAACTGATGTGCACGTGGTTCTGCACTTTGTCATGTCCGTTTAAAACATTTTGACATAAGAAGCATGGCTTCAGAGCAGAACTTCCTTTGCAACCGGTAAGCAAACGCAAGCCATCTGCGTCAGCAACCAGAGAGATTTGGGCAATGGTGCAAAGGGTTGGCTCTTCATTCAGAACGAGCGTGAAGCCATGCTGGGTTTGCTGCCTCAGCCACCGTAAATACTGAACAAGCGACTGCGGATAGCCATTTTCGATGCTCTGCATTTCGCGAGTCCGAATGACAGCAAGTGTCATCCAAGCATCATCAGCCCAAAGCACGGGCATCTGCGCAATGGCTCCATACGTCATTGCTGCCTTTCTCTGCAAATCAGGCTGCAAAACATTACCTGGAGTTGCTTCGTCCCAAGCAAGGACTAGATGCAACTGCGGACCATGTTCTTTGAGAACATATGCCATGGACTCAGAAAAAAACTGCGAACCATCACACTTAGCTTGCAGCAAGTCCGGGACAGAAGTAACAGCCATGTGGCAACATGGATCTCCGAAGGTTATAGTCGTTACGACGTCACTAACCTTGGGAAACTTCAGCCGTTTGCGTTTAGACGTTCCACGTCCTTGTCCATCATCTCGCAGATGCGCGATGATCCGGCGCGCAGCGGTGGCTGTCACACCTTGAATTTCACGCAGAAATTCAAATTGCTCCGAAGGTTTGGCGTTTTGATCTAGTAGTATATTTTTCCATGGCTTCTTTTCGACCCCGCTTTCGCTTTCATGTGTTTTACATACCTGTACACGCGTGAACCATACATGCAGCAGAAGAGAAACATGACATGCTCACGGCCATCTATATAGCAATCATGGTACTTCGGTTTGCGGTCGAGGAAGGTTCTTGCAGACGTATTATTCTTGCTTAGACTATATATCTATGTTAGATTTTCTGCGTATATATAACCCGTCGTTATATATATGTCTTTCCTGTGTAATCAATGGCATGGCTTGCCTTTTGCGAGGTAGTCACCTACATTAATATATATATATATATAGTTATATAGTATAAAACTCACCAATTCGTGCATGAATGGAAAGATCTGGAATTGGCATGTACACACCAACCGGTTCAGCGCAGCACGACTTTTCCCGGAAGCCGCAGGACCGTGCGCTCTGATCCATCTACGGCTATAAAGCTTCAGTCCACATATCAGACGGAGTCTGACACAGCACCCTCACAGGGACAGCCTGTCTACGTGCGATCCACGTTTCACAACATGTTGCTGCTCACAGCAACACAGAGCCCAAAGCGAAACTGGTCTAAGGATCGCAGCTACCACACACGACAGGTACAGTCCGCAGACTCAAGGGGGGCTCTTGCCAGTTTTGCGGCGCTTGTCACCGCCCTCAGTGTCGTGGCTGCGAGCTGCCCTCTTCTTGGGCGACGCTTTCGCCGCAGCATTGGCCTTGGGCGCCGCCTTCGCCTTCGCCTCCTTTTTGGGCAGCAGGGAACGCAATGCGCTCTGCACTTCCGTTGCTTGCTTTAGCAGCAACTTCACATCATTGCCTTCGAACGGCAAAGCCGTCAAAGGCAGCAGATCGCCACCAGCGTCCTTCCACAGCTCGCGGGTCGACTCATGCACGTTGATGCACTCACGAGCCGCCGTCGCCCAGGTCTCGAGCTTGCCCATGCAATCATCTTTCGACTGTTTGATTCCCTCAGGAATCTCACAGCCGCTTTTCTCCACTTTTTCCAGCAACTTCGAGACACCTGTGGCCGTGCCTTGCAAGGGACCCAAGGCCTTAGCGGCTTTGTCAGCTAACGCAACGTTCTTCGCCAACAACTTCTTGCGGTCCACCTCCGGCTTTCCTTTCTTATCGGACACACTGCCTTCCGCAGCCGGCAAATCCAATTCTCCATCGGATGACGCCTCTGCGTTGGCAACGTTATCCTTCTTCTTTTTTCCACCTTTGCTTTTCTGTCCCTCTCTCTCATGTCGCAGGACTTGCTCCTCAATCTTTGCATACTCTTCTCCCCACGACAATTCCCGCACAGGGACAGCGTACACTTGCGTGCCCAGTTCATCGGAAAACCGATTGGGACACGCTTCCACGAGGGTCTTGTCCCAGCCTTGGTTAACCCAGACCGACAGAGGTAACTCCTTTTGGGTGCACGTAGCACGAAAAGTGGAGATCCTGCGATCTGTCAGAGATCTCACAAGTGTGGCCCGCACGGTGACCCACTGAATGCGACCTCCCTGCTTCTCCTTTTCCTTCGCAATGGCGCGAAAGAAGGAATGCGTCTCGGCCGGACTGAAATCTTTCAGTTCAGTCCTGTCTCCTAAGTTGCGCTGCAGCATCGCTTTTGCTGACCAGCAACCAGTGCAAAAGAAGGAGCGACCATGCATCCTGCCCGCAGCAGAAGCATGCTCCAGGCCGCACAAGCGACATACGCGACGGTCCGCCATGCCGCAAGCCACCTTGCAAAACAAAGGTCCGCACACTAACCTGTCCAAAAACCCAAATGGCTGCGGAGAAGTGCTGTCGAAGGGCTTGGCAGACAGCAGAGGTAAGTGAGAGAGACCATATATCCGCGAAGGAAACTGCAGTCCAGTTGACCTATCTAGAACCAGCGAGAGCATTGATTGTGTCTATATATAATCCATTTCGGAACAGCCCATTCGGAGGAAAAAAAAAGCCAAAATCAGAAAATTCCGGACACATTTCGGACACATTTATTTTTCCAATTCCGGACACATTTCTCTTTAAATTATAATTAAAACCGGACACATTTCCTTTTTCCGGACACATTCGGACACATTTCGGACACATTCCAAACCCTACCGATTCAAAGCCAGCAACGTCTCCCTCATCGATTCTAGCTGGCACTCAGCCTGGTACAACCACGAGGCTTCTGGCAGACTGTTTTCAGTCTCCTCCTGCCAGCGCAGCCGCAGCTGCTCCAAAGCTGGGATCGCTTCTTCCACCTGCTGCAGGTGATATGCACCCACCCTTTCCAGAAAGCGCGGCCAGTGCCCATCCCAGTCTGTGTTCCGATTCCAGAGACGACAGACGTCAGGAAGGCCAGCCATATCCTCAGACATGACTTTCTCAATCATGCGATTGCATCTTTCAATATATTTCGCACAGTCCAGCTGCCCTTGCGAGTGCGCCATGCCTTCTGCTTGATCCAACAGTTCCACCACAATTCTCCAACCATCCTTCCAAAGGTCATCACCCTCCGGAAGAACTTCAGGAGTGGTCGTGGTTGCTTTCAGGCAATCACGAAAGACCCGCAGTCTTTCCTTTGACATCCAAAAATCAGTCGGCGGCATGTGGAAAGTCACAACATGGGAACGGAAGTTCGAGTCAAAACGGCGTCCTACAAGCACCAATAGGTTAAGAAACAGCCATATCACTTCAAGAAGAGAACGTATGTGTGTTTTGAATCGGTGCCAGTAATAATTACAATCCCCCGTGCGTATCCTACACATATATGTTCTTCCACTCTTTCTACTTCACGGTACTACGGCAACCCTGCAGACAAATACCTGCTTTTTTTTCCCACAGCTTTCACGCAAAGGTCAGAGTCAAGACCGCCGCGATGTGCCGGACTCAGCGGAAGTTAATCACCACGTTGTGGCGCTGACTCCTCTTGGGAGACACGGACCTGGAACCAGAGGAAGACGCCTTACGACGCTTCTTCTCCTTGCGAGGCTCCCCATGGCGGTCCCGACCACGAGGCACCTCTGGAGATCCTGCGACAGAGCGCGTCTGACGCATTCCCGATTCGGACTCCAGATCCACCACAGGCACCCGCTCCCTGGCAACAGAGGCACTCGGTTCCGTTCTGTTACCTTTGACTTTCTTCGCCACCTCTTGGGCTTTCTGCCATGAGTCACTTTTTTGCCTCTGCGTTGGCGTCATTCGGTTGTATGCTTGGCAGGCGAGACAATATTCATTCAGCCACTGATGTTGATCAATGGCCGCGGGGTGCGCTGAGATTTTGGTCTTGCAAATCTCGCACCTGGTTTGCTTCTGGTTGCCTTTGGCTCATGTCTTCCCCTGCCCTTTGCTTCCTTTGTGAGGTGACTGCTTCGAACCGTCACGACCCTGTTCCTGTGGCTTCGGGGGCGGTTTGCCCCGCGGAGAATTGGGACGATCCTCACCACGACGATCCCTGGTGCGATCGCGCTCTTGCTTTTCCTCCTTGGAGGAATTCTTTTTCTTTTTTCTCGCTCTGCTGCGTCCACGGCTTCGGTCCTTGGACCTGCGGGACCGAGACTTGCGGGAACGGGACCTCCGGGAAGGTGGCTTCCCCGGTGCATCTGGATCACCTTCCTCAGAACGTGACCGCGCTGGCATCAGCTGCGCCTTTCGCTTCCCATTCCTTTCATCCTCAGCGTCTGAGGAGCGGTCCTCCTCAGAAGCTTCCTCTTCTGCCGATGCATCTGCAGCAGACGGCATGCCCACTTGCTTCGGTGAGAACGGAGATGTCCTGCTCATGTACCTGGCCAGGGAAACCGAGTGAATACAGGACGCAAAAGAAGTAAGGTCAACAAGTAAGGAAAAAAGACAAGCAAAGAGGATATGTCCGGTCCATGCATGCTGTGTCCTCCCCATGATCATCCCGCAGATGATCATCTGCAACACCACGCAGGTGCTGCGCAAATCACCACGCAGGTGATTCGATACACCACGCAGGTGTATCATCGGCAACCACCACGCAGGTGATGAGATACACCACGCAGGTGCATCGTATATAATCACCACGCAGGTGATTATAGATACACCACGCAGGTGTATCGCACGCAATCACCACGCAGGTGATGAGATACACCACGCAGGTGTATCATCTGCAATCACCACGCAGGTGATTATAGATACACCACGCAGGTGTATCGCATTGAATCACCACGCAGGTGATTCGACATACACCACGCAGGTGTATCAGCATCACGTCGCCAGTGATGCGACCCCAAGCACCGCACAGGTGCTAGTCTTGAACCACCGCGCAGGTGATTCCCGAAGACCACGCAGGTCTTCCCATACCCATCACCGCACAGATGCTGAGATCACATGCACCACGCAGGTCCATGCTTCGCTACACCCCGCAGGTGCAACAGCCACCTCCACCACAGAGGTGCCATCATAGAGGAACGGCATGCCCGGCCGGGAGAAATAGAATGAAGCGCAACAAAAATGCCAACATTTCAACGTGGGAAAGCCTCCCCCCAAAAAAAGTTGACAGACCTCACCTCCGGAGCGCGACTTGCGTTCCCAGCGCGAAACCGTTTGAACCCTATATGATTGCAGCACAAAAGAAACATACACATCTCCGCAACAGCAGCCTGCAAAACCCCTGCTCCCTTGCAAGACGTTCCCTGATTTCCAAAACAATCGATAGCCAAAATAGACTCCTTTTTCTTCGCAAATTTAGTTGATTGTCTCTACGCCAAGACCAAGGAACAGCGTCTACTCGAGGGTATAGCCACGTTTGGCCCAACAGCTCACAGTGCACCACGCACGGTGGTAGCAACGAGAGCATCCATTCTTATACTTCCGCAAAACTTTCTCAGGGATTTTTTAAAGCAGTCGCTCGCGTCGAGCGGCGCGATCATCCACCACGCGCGCTCCGACATCCCTGTTTGCAGCTGGACGCTTGAGAATCTTTTTCACAGCAGAGGCTGGACGAGCCATGGCGGCACCTTTTTTCGGAGCTGCAGCGCGCGGTTTCTGTCCCGCGTCCCTGCTGCAATCAGCATGCGACACCTTTCCCTTTTGCTTTAACTCCTCACGAAGAGAAGCGATTGCGTCTCCGGGGGTTTGGCTTGCAGATTTATCCACATTCGCCATGGGCTCTTTGCTCTCCGTCACAGGTGCTGGCTTTTCAAAGTCTTCCAATGCCAAGGCCGGCGGTGCTATCGGTGCTTCCTCTCTCTTTACGTCCAGCATTCGAAAACCTGGTAAATCGACTTCAGACGGTCGAGGCTGCGTCTGCGCACGCGCCACCAAAGTGGCGGCAGCATGCACCAAGGCAATTGCATCGACCTGACCACTTGCAGGCAGGGACGGAGTAGAAGACACCGTCCCATCCTTCGGTCCCCTCAACCGAAAATCAGCGATCAAACGGCGCAACCTGGAAACATCCATCAGTTGCGGTGAACCAGGCACCAATCCCGTCGGAAAAACCTTCGCAAATAAGGAAACAGGAATCTCCTCAGGATTCTCAGGCAAAATTTCCAAACGGACATTGGGACCTGGCGCCTTGGTGAGCCAACGACGCATGCGTTCCTTATGCGTCCTCAAGAGATTCACCTGCTCCGACTCTGGCCACACCTCAGCATTGTCCGCATAGAAAGACAATGCCACCAAAGCGCCATAGGAAGCCTCCGTTGGATTCTTTAAACCCAAAGTGGCTGCAAAATTAGTCAAAAGCTCAAGTTTATACACTCCAGCGGCGCGAGATTCTAATTTACCCCACCATTCCTTCGATAAGTAGTTCGGCAAAGCAGTGAAGTCTTGTAAGCCAGCACGACAGGAACGATCCTCCTGCGACTCGCTTTGCTCGGCAATCAATGCCTTCAAATCATCTAACATTCTTCCACTCCACGCATCGGAGAAAGAATCCAGGATGCGACCAGCCATCTCCACAGAGATGAAATGTTTCTTCACAATTGGCGTCAGTCGTTCCAATTGTTTTCGCTGGAGCTCATCGTAGTGCGGTAAGGTCTTGACACCATGCAAAAACTTTTGGCTCGAAATTATTTCTTTCAAGACTTGAGCCATGACGCCTACGATCATACAAAAACGATAAAAAAAAGCAACCTACTTAGTAAAACCTTCAAAATCCAAGAAAAACACAAGTAGCTAAGTAAAAATAACTTTTTCATGTTCCACCACCTTACAATACTTATCCCTACTTATAAGTAGCTAACAAACTTATAAGTAACACCAAAAAATCTCCTACTTAGTTTTACTTATCACACTATCTCCAGACTTATGCCATCGGCAAGTCTACTTAAAGTCAAGGTATAAGTCCACAAGTAGCAAGGGACACCAATGCAGCGGTTCCACCTTGGTACTTTTTTTTCTTGTAGGCATTCGAGTACACCTGGTTGCCAGTCACGTGCGGGGGCGCGTCAATGGCATCTTTGGGAATCTCATCATGAGGCAAACTCGGCTCCGGCTTTGGCTCGGGGCAGGCAGGCTCAGAGGAAGGCATGGTTGTGGTCCCCCCACGCACCCTACGCTTCTTGCTAGGCACTACCTCAACAGGTGTAGATCCCCCGGTAGCGACAACTGTTTTCTTCTTTTTCTTCAGGACTTGGGTAGTCTTTGGAGGTGACTTTCCATCATTCTTACCAGGGGCATCAGCAACATTGAGGTCAGCAGAAAGAGCACTACTGGACCGAGCTTTGCGAAGGATTGCCCTTCGCCTGTTCCCCCCCTTTTTGCTGCTCTTCTTCGCTTTCTTACCCTTGGCCTTGGGCTTGGCACTTGGTTTCCTTCCCCTAGGCTGTCCCTGCTCAGCATACACCGGGGGAGGCGCGGAATCGATGGTTTCTTCGAGGGACTCCAACAGATCGCAACCCTTCTGGGTTTCCGCCAACCCATCACTCCCAACACTCACCACCTTCCAAACCTTGAAGTTCTTGTGCAAGGGATCTGGGCCTCCTCCATGGAAGGGATCTGGAATCTCCTTGGCTAGGATGGTAAATGACTTTGGCTATGTGCTGACATGGCTACCTTGACCCTGCATATCTCAAGAATGACATGCCTGAGAAACACAAGTTTTAAAGACACCATGCGTACTTATCTTTTGTCCAAGAGTCAGCAGTGGAAGCACGAGCAATCTTGTCAGCCCGGGACATCGTCACCTGAATCGAAGGTTGTAGGTGGAGAGGGTGGTTCTCTTTTTCCACGGTCATGAGTAGCTACATGTTGTTAACGATCCATGCTGTCATGCATGATCAATGTCTTAAGACACTGGCAATTGTTCCGTGGGCTTGCCACCCCCAAAAGAAAAGGAAAAGTGCTATAAAAAGGACCCCCCCTCCTCCGGGTGGTTCCTTTTTGCGTGTTTTTGGCTTTTTGGCCAATTAAACAGTGCCAGACCCTGATGTTCAAAATTGCAAGCCTTGTCCTCGGAACGAGCAGGTGGAACATGTTCACCAGCAGGCGTGTCAGGCTCAGCCGTGTCGGAATGAAGGGCAAGTCCGTGAGGAGAAAGATCGTGGTGGCGACCAAAGTCATCATCACCCTTGGGAAATTCTGGCTCTGAAACTGCTCGAACTTCATCCCAATCGTCCCCCTCACACTCGGGAGCAGGTTGAGAATCTTCCCACACTTCTGACGCCTCGTCCAGGTCTGTGTCATCCTCAACCAAGACAGAGTCATGTGGGCAACTGTCATGCACTTCAGGTACAACAGGATCACCAAGGGTCAGGGTTTTGGCACGTAGGAGGCCGGCAGGTTCATCAGGCATAGGAAGAGTTTCAACGGTATCGATGTTCACAGGAAGTTCGGGCGGGCTCACTTTTGGCTCCAAAGGTTCAGGTCGCACTTCTGCCTCACAAGGTTGAGGTGCACGTGGATCCTCCCGGTGAGCACCAGCCGGTGCCTGAGCAAGGCAATGCTGGGTGGCCCAAACCAGTGCCTGGCACACATCATCCCCAGCCGCCTCCAACCAGTATTCCGCTGAATCCTGGAACCCGGCATCTCGAAGAATCCTCAACTTTTGAAGGTAGGGCAGCGACTTCAAAGCACTGTCCTTCTCAATCTCGTCACTGGGCTGGGGCAGGCGCTCTTCATCCATCAAGCGGTCAGCCTGTGCTGCAGCAAGCGCTTCTGGGAGGTGTCCCGCAATCACATCAGGATCAGGTCCATGGGTTTGGCACAGGTCAAAGACAATCAAGGTCTCAGACCAAACTGCGGGTGGCAAGTCTTGAGGTCGGTTCTCGATCATCTCTTCCTTTGAAGTCCATGTCTGGCAAAACTCTATGCAATCCTCTAACGTGAACTCACCCTCTGGACATTCAGCTTCATCATCGATCTGAACAGGTTCTTCGGGTTCTCCTTTCGTAGTCTGTGGGTTCTCCTGGATGGATAGAATTGGGTGAAAGAATTGGTTAGCCGCACAGGTGTTTAAAATCAACCGCATTTACGAGTTCATGCCCATGTGTCCTGAACTGGCTGGTTGTTAACTCCTTCGGCTTCGCTTTGGGAGTCCAAAACCATGATGTCGTCCTCACCTGCAGTGAGTCTAATTTGTAATCAGAAGATCGAAAATACCAAAGGTGATGTGGATGTATTAGATAGAGATAGAGATAGAGATAAATACAGAGATAGACAGAAAGACAGAAAGACAGAAAGACAGAAAGACAGAAAGAGAGAAAGAGAGAAAGATAGAAAGATAGAAAGATAGAAAGATAGAAAGAAAGAAAGAAAGAAAGAAAGATAGATAGACAAATAGACATAGACGGATAGACAGATAGATTGATAGATTGATCGGTTGATCGGTTGGTGGATAAATTGATAGGTTGATAGGGTGACAGATTGATAGGTTGATTGATTGAAAGACTGGTAGATTGATAGATTGATTGATTAAAACTAGTTTGATAGGTTCAAAGACTGATAGTTATAAATAGAAAGAAAGAAAGAAAGATATAGACAATTAAATATAGATATATAGATAGATTGGTTGATTTAAAGATTGATAGGTTGATAGATTCAAAGATTGATAGTTAGGAAGAAAGAAAGATAGATCGATAGATGGACAGATCGATAGATGGACAGGTCGATAGATGGACAGATCGATCGATAGATAGATAGATTGATAGATTGATAGATAGATAGAGGGAGTGAGAGAGAGAGGAGGAGAGAGAGAGAGAGAGATTTATATATATATATATATAGATATGTAAGTATTCTATATAACGCGCGGGTCGATGCTATAATCTTCTTAGCAGGACTAAACCTCGCACCAGCCAGAATGCCCGGGTGGCCAGGCCTTTCTTGCCTTTTCTCTTCCCGCGACAGGTCGTTCGAAACCGGCGGGGGTTGGGCTTGAGAATGGCGGCTAATTGGGACGCAACAGAGGTTTTTGTTTTGCGATCCAAAGCTTTGCGCCAATATCGGCGACCATATGAGAGAAGGGCTTGGACGATATAGCTTTCCTTCTCAATGCATGGTCGAAAGACAAAGATTAACTATATGAATCATATTTAATATGGTCTGAAAAAACAAAGAAACCAAGTTAGCCGGGGGTCATTCTGTGCCCACTGCCGCTGCTCTTTCTTTGTCTTCCCCTTGCTCAAATTGAAACAGTTTTCCTTGTCCATTGAGCTGAACACATTTTCGATGTGGTGGCCAGAGAATTCCCCTTAGTATCATGTCCATGAAATTGGATAAGACACATTGATGAATGAAGTCAAAAAATGTTTCTTCATGGTCTTTGTACCGGCTGCACACCAAGTTACCCTCAGGGCTGACCTGAAAAAAACCCAGGATCAAGGGGAGGTAGGTTTCCAAATCTGGATATCCGATAGTGAACGATGACACATCCGGAAACAAGGTGTTGTCCGGCCGCTTTGCATTCGCGCACTGGACGAATGAATCAACTGGAAGATGTAGTTTGACCACACCTCACATGATAGACGTGAACAATCGCCAAAACAGTCTACACCATTAAACCATCCATCGATTTTCATCCAAAAAGTCCCATGAGTTGACAAGGGGCGTTCATACTGCTGTTCGATGCCAGACAATGGAGCTAAAGATGCCATTGCGGGAACCCTATCCCTTGGAACCTTGAGCCTACATAGTACAGCAAGGATTATGATAGAAGAAACACCGTGGTCGTAAACATAATGATGATCATAGCCAAATCTTTGACTGATGGTGCCAATGTACCAGCAACACGCCACGCCCAAAGCAGCACACAGTCCTCTCTTGCAATGCCGGCGAGGCATTGAAGTCCGAGCAACGCTGCATGACGGGCAGCGTACCAAACCACTGCTGCTGCAAATGGCAAAAGGGAAGCACCCGCCGCGCCGGGATTTGATAGACCAAGACAAGGTGAAAAATGGGAGATTTTATATTGACATGTTCTGAACCTATCCTCCAACAACATCAAATACACATATTTACGATAGTAAGGCTTTTCCAGATCTGTTATTCATGGCCATGCACATTTGCTTGAAGATGCTTGTGTGATCCAATGGTAGCCATTAATCTATCCTATGGCCCCATTTGTTGGGCCTCTTGGGCCCTCGCGGTACCTCGGCTTGAAAGTCACCAGGTCCCCGACCCCTCCACATGAGGGTCCCAGGTGGCAGGTGTCTCGTAGAGAGGGTCCGGCCCCTGCTGGTGAGAACCCTAAGATTCTTAGGGCAGGAGTTAAGACATAACCTGATGTATCAACTTGCCCTCGGAATTGTGCTGTTTCGTCACCAGGTGTCTCAAGGAATGCACTTCCACTGGGAACAACCGGCCAGATCCCTCATGCTGCAATTTCCAGGAATGGCCGAAGTGTATCAGTATACGCAGACATGCCAATTTGACATGTGCAATGCTGGAGACCTCAAGGACCCATCAAATGGAATGCCAATGAAAAAGGGGATGAATGTAGTTACTACTTCAAAGACAATATACCTATTACTACATGGGAGAGTTTGTCGGGGTAACCATTCTCACCAATCAATAGCAGGGTCTTTCACAACACCTCAAGGAACAGTTTTGCGCAGTCGATACACCGAAGTGTATCCCCGAAAGTTTGCAAGAGAGGTAGCCAGAGCCATGATGCACAACCACCGTGACAGGCCGTTCAATTGGCAAGTAGCCTTTTCCCACATGTGTCAAGAGACTGATGCCGAAATCCATGTTCTTACCAAGTTCCGACAGAAAACCAAGTTTGTCAGATCCGAATTGATCACACCATCCTCCAGGGATGACCATGTCAAACGTCGACGTTTGGGAAAACAAAGCGAGGACCACCACCTTGAAGATTATCAGAACCTCATGACCGAAATCAATCAGATCATTCCCAGGGTTGGTAAGAGTGTTATACAAGAACCTAATATCTTGGAGAAACTTCAGCAAATGTTTCATGACCAAAAGATCATTCATGTGATTGCCTGTCGAGGAACCGACCGAACCCTAGGTCCACCAAAGGGGATGCATCCAGAGGAAGCACCTCTCCGGAAAAGTTTGATCCTTGAAAGGGGAACAGGAACAATCAAGTATGAAAAGGACTGGGAAAAATGGGTTCACCTTGCCAACCGCCAGTTGATTCGACCAGCACATGCCTGTCGAATCAATGTCACGATGTTCGCAAAGCCCTGGCCTGTTGAAAATGACTCGAGCCAAAGTTCCCAAGGTGTGAATCCTATGCCTCCAATGCCTGAGCCAGCAAGTGAGCAGCCAGCACCGAGTCAGACGGAATCAGGTCATGCAGATCCCGTGACAGCAACGCCGCTCACCAGTGATAATGTTCCCATTTCCCAAGAAGCTGAAGTACCAGAAAATAATCCTGAGGGAACCCAAGATAACAACAGTAATCCCACGAGTACTTCTCATGCGGATAATAGGACACATGCAGTAATGCCAGGGGAAAGACCTATCCGACAGACAGGTCCCAATTTCAGAGCTCTTCCAAGGTGGGAACAACGCATGATTATCCAGATGCACAAGAACCTTGGTCACCCTTCCAATGACCGACTGTCACGAGCACTGCAAGTAGCCGGATATCGACCTGAAATTGTTCATGCGTCGCAAGAGCTCGAATGTTCAACATGTTCAGCATGTAGTCCACCAAAACACCAGAGACCAGCTATTTTGAAACCAATACGGGAATTCAACTCACGTATCTATGTAGATGGGGTAAAGTGGACAAACTCTCAGGGCCAATCCTTTCACTTTTACCATATCATAGATGCCGGTTCAAATTTTCATGTTGCAATCACATCACCCTCCAGAGAAACAGAACATGTGATCCAACTTCTCACGCGCCATTGGATTAGCTGGGCAAGACCTCCCAATGAAATCATGGTGGATTCGGGAACCGAGTTGAACAGCGAACAGTTTGCCGCTTTCCTGCAACGATTCAACATCAAAGGAGAGACAACCTGTCCTGGAGCTCACTGGCAAAATGGCAAAATAGAAAGGCATGGGCAATTTCTCCAGGCGATGCTCACTCGGATGGACACTGAAAGCCACATCACGTCATATGAAGAGTTGCAACTAGCTCTGAGAATTGTCTCAGTGTACACCATGGCTATGCTCCCGAGGTAATTGTGTTTGGTCGACACTCTAGAGTCCCAGGGTCAGTGATGTCAGATGAATCATTGCCGTCCCACTCCCAAGTAACTCAAGAAGATGACACCATCACCCCAAACATGTTCCGAGAGATGTTGCAAGTCCGAGAGAGAGCTAGAAGAGCCTATCATGCAGCCGACAACTGTGATGCCCTGTGACGAGCGATGCTTCGCCGGCCATGCCCACAGAGAGGGGTCTTCCAAAAGGGTCAATGGGTAATGATATGGCAACATAACCCTAATAGTAACCCCCAATGGATAGGACCACAAAGGGTAGTACTTCAGGATGACAATCACACAGTGTGGACCACCCAATGTGGTCGATTGTACCGTCGTGCACCAGAACATGTCCGAGGTGCCCTCTCCGAAGAAGGGACACCTGGCCCTGACACAGAAATTCAATGGACCAATTTGGAACAACAAATACATAACATGTCAAGGAATTTCACAAATAACAATCAAGATGAACTTCCAATACCACATCATGAAAATAATCCCGAACACTTGAATGAGGAAACAGCCTCTGGAAGAGAAGAACCTGATGAAGTTCCAGATAGAATGGTCTCTCATGAATCCATATCACAACCCGAGTCAGAGCAGGAGAACAGCAATGAACTCCCAGAATCCGATGCAACATCAGACACCATGTACCTGATCAGTGAAGACCCTGCCGATAGCCTGGTAGTCTCAGCCGACTGTCCATTAGCGTGGCGTTGCGAAGTCGATGTCAAGCTAGATAGACCACTAGAACAACGGCAACCGACCAATGAAGAAGCATGGACGTTTCTGGCGACCAGTGCCAAGAAACAAAGGTCAGAAATTCGGTTGTCAGAGCTGAGTCCATCAGAGCGCAAGGAATTTGATCAGGCCAAAGACAAAGAAATTCAAAATTGGATTCAAACAGGAACACTAACCAAAGTGTTTCGCCATGAAATTCCCCAAGAGCAAATTCTCAAATGCCGATGGATTTTAACTTGGAAACCCTTGGATAATGTAGATCAACCTGAAGCCGCTTCCACCAACAATCCATCCAGCCGGACCCACAAGGCAAAGGCAAGGTTGGTGGTATTGGGATATTTAGACCCGAAAATAGAGGAAATTCCCAGGGATTGTCCAACTCTCAATAAGACCTCAAGAATGATGATTTTCCAAACGGTTTCATCCTTCGGATGGACACTCCAATCCTTCGACATTAAAGCTGCTTTCCTACAAGGACAACCTCAGTCTGATCGAATAACAGCAATTGATCCAGTTCCGGAAATGAGAAGAGCACTCAACATGCTGCCAAGCGAAGTGGGCAAACTCAATAAAAGTGCATACGGATTGATCGATGCTCCTTATTTATGGTATTGTTCACTTGTGAGCGAACTTCAAAAATTGAACTTTGAAGCTTGTCCGTTTGACCCCTGTGTGTTTGTACTTCGCGAGAAGGATGGGTCTTTAGCTGGAGTTCTTGGAATCCATGTAGATGACGGGGTAGGAGGGGGAAATTCCTATTACCAACAACAGATCGACAAACTAGAACAGAAATATGCGTTTGGATCAAAGAAGAGTACCGCATTCACCTTCACAGGCATTGAAATCACTCAACAACCTGACAACAGCATTCACCTTTCACAAGCCAATTACATTAAACAGATCAAGCCCATTAACATTCCCGGTGACCGGAAACTACAACCTGATCAAAATGTTACTGAACCAGAACGACTTGCCCTAAGGGGAGTGATCGGTAGCCTCCAGTATGCCGCAGTCAACACCCGTCCGGACATTGCCAGTAAACTTTCCTTTTTGCAATCTTCCATTAACAGTGCCAAAGTTGAAAATCTCCAAGAAGCCAACAAATTACTCCATGAAGCAAAGAAACATCACCATGTCAATATTGTCATTAAACCTATTGCACCAAAAGATTTCCGACTGATGGCTTTCTCAGATGCATCATTCTCATCCCATAAGAAACCGGATTCTCATGCAGGGGTAATCATAGTGGGTACCCATAAGAATATCTCAAAGAATCATCAATGTCCAATTAGTCCGTTGTCATGGGGTTGCCGGAAAATCCAGCGTGTGGTGACTAGCACCCTGTCCGCTGAAACCACCGCGATGGCAGCAGCTCTTGACCAATTAGCATGGCTTACCAATTAGCATGGCTTAGATTGTTCTGGGCATGGCTGATGGACCCCAATGTGCAGTGGCGACGACCCGAAGAAGCGTTGTCCAAGCTTGAACCAGCCATCTCAGCATCAACAATTCAGGAACAATGTGATCTAGCCATTACTGATTGCAAGTCATTGTTTGATTTAATCAACCGAACAGCACCTCCTTCTTGTTCAGAATTCCGGGTGTCCTTAGTAGCTCGAGCAATCAAGGAGGCCATCAAAGAAGGTATTCAAGTTCGATGGGTACATAGTGGAGCCCAACTTGCAGATGCCCTCACAAAATCGATGGAAGCAAGTTTTCTTCGTGAAACCCTAAAAATGGGGGTATACCGGCTATGTGATGAGGACGCATTGCTGAAAGAACGAGCAAAATCCAAGGACAGAATCAAGTGGTTGAACCAATCCAAAGAAGCAACAGATACTTGAGATATAACCTTTCGATGCCACCAGTCACTTTCACCTTTAATTTTCCCAAAAGAAAAATTACTTTACTTCGTGTGATCCCCACCATGACATTTATACATGTTCTTACTGGCATATCTTCTGGCATTCTATCTGACATATCTTCTGACATTCTATTTGGCATTCTATCTGGCATATCTTCTGGCATATCTTCTGGCAAATCTTCTGGCATTCTATCTGGCATATCTTCTGGCATTCTATCTGACATATCTTCTGGCATTCTATCTGGCATTCTATCTGACATATCTTCTGGCATTCTATCTGGCATTCTATCTGACATCTTCTGGCATATATTCTGACATATCTTCTGGCATTCTATCTGGCATTCTATCTGGCATATCTTCTGGAATATCTTCTGGCATATCTATCTGGCATATCTTCTGGCATATTTTCTGGCATATTTTCTGGCATTATACCTGGCAAATCTTCTGGCACTCTATCTGACATTTTATCTTCCTACATGAGGTCCGGCAGGGAACACTTGGCGTGGATACTCGCGGTTGAGGTCCGGCAGGGAACACTGGGCGTGGATGGTCGTGGTTGAGGTCCGGCGGGGAACACTGGGCGGGGATGGTCGTGGTTGAGGTCCGGCAGGGAACACTGCGCGGGGATGCTCGTGGTTGAGGTCCGGCAGGGAACACTGGGCGTGGATGGTCGTGGTTGAGGTCCGGCAGGGAACACTGGGCGTGGATGGTCGCGGTTGAGGTCCGGCAGGGAACACTGGCGTGGATGGTCGTGGTTGAGGTCCGGCAGCGAACACTGTCGGGATCGCGGGAGCAGAGGAGGAGGAGGAGGACGAGGACGACGAGGAGGACGAGGAGGAGGAGGAGAGGAGGAGGAGGAGAGGAGGAGCAGGAGGAGGAGCAGGAGGAGGAGAGGAGGAGGAGGCAACTGACATAAAATCTAACAACCCTCACCTGGCAGGTGGGGAAACAGAAAATTTTTAACGAGTGTGAATTCCACCAAATCTTGCAGTCCACATGTCACGTTCCCTCCAAGCACCAGTGTATCTCAGGTGAAACCAATCAATGTCCTTTAGATTTCGGCTTAGGCGAGCCACTGTTGGCGGGAGGGAAAGGGTTCCATCTTGAGCCATAGGTGACCGGGTTCACCTCCATTTGCTTGAGGGGCGAGGCCGCCCGACCTGGCATTTGCAGCTGCATCCGTTTCGAAGTGTGTTCTGCTTCGCCGGCAGGGTGTTCGGCTACGCCGGCACCTGGACTTCTCAGTTTTTGCGACAAAAGAAGTAGACTGCCTGCTGTGTGAGCTTTAGAGAGGGTTCCATCTGGATTACATAACAGTATCAGTGAATCACTCTGGAAGGGGCTTCTCAATACAGACGATCTACATCAATCATCAGGGTCAGCAGGGCTTCTACCAATTGCTCCACTTGCAATATATATATATATATGTATATATATATGTATATATATATATATGTATATATATACATATGTATATGTATATATATATATATATATGTATATATATATGTATATATATATACTATGTATAATATAGATGCATTATAATATGCACACATATGAATCGATAACAACATTGGATATGTTACATATGTTGGATGTTCTTGGCATCCCAAAGAAAACGGGCTCAACAGCGGATGGCCACAGATTGATCGGCCAAGGCACATGATGGACCACCTGCAGGCGGCCACGACAGCGACGCACTTTGTGGATCTGGGAGGCGGCTCAGGATGGCTCTCCATGCTGGTGACGTGGTGGAAATTCCAAAGTCCAACATGACGTTTTGCAGGAGTGGAATGATAATGATTGCGAGACATATCATTCATGTACCATATATATATATACGTATATAAATATACATTATAATATATTAATATATATATATATATTATATGTTTGTGCATGTGATATCAATATCATTGATATAAGATATGTATATTCCTTACCTGGGATGATCAACTCCAATGCTTGGGATGTTTTGCTCAGCCACCGGCTGTGTCTGAAAATGGGGCATACCGGGCAGCCACTCACAACATGGCAATACATGGCAATTTCTATGGGGAAAATGAATGAACATGAGGGGTTCTAAACCAATATAGATAATATATTGATATATATATATATATTATAATATAATATATAATATAATATATATATATAATATAAACAGGATTTAGGGGCTCCATGGTCACCTGAAATTCCAGAAATATAGCTGTTGAAATCAATCATTCCATCAGGTCCTCCAAGGCCCGAGGGCCCAGGTGCAGTGTCTAACTGTCGAAACGTCTTCCCCAGGTGAAAGCAGTCATTCCTGTGGTGCAAGTTGCAGCTTGTGCTGAGAATGTCCATGATGAGTTCATAAGTATTCATAAGTTCTGATCATTTGTGGATTCATACGTGTTCATTCTTTGAAGTTCGCATATAGAGATGTGATGAGATGTGGGGTACAGATACAAGGCAGCGTAGCATCACAAAATCAAAATCATTGGTGTGCTAGTTCTGGGTGGATTGTTGACTGAGAAGTGGCATCTTTGTTAAGCGTGTGGCTTGTGCGCAGCTACGGAATTACATTGCGGATATTTCTCTCCCTCTGTACCAACCTTCAAACATCAGTGACCTCTAGCTATTATGGAGCCAAAGTACAGAAAAAAACTACAAGTGGGCTTGTTGCCAGCTTGTGATCCAATTTTGTCCATGGGTGACTCCCCTATCTATTCATACAGAAAGTTTGGGGCTTGTGACCTTCATTTTCTGCTTCAGGGATTTTTGAACCCACCGCCCTCCCTGAGGTCTACACGGACATCTCGCAGGCCGCGCTGGAGGAAGCGGCCGCGAGCTTTCGCGCCAACGGGCTGATGGTCGAACCTCTGCAGGGCGATTTCTTCGATCCCTTGCAAGGTGGGCACCGGAAACATGGAGACCTCGGCGAAGAAACAAGGTGAATTCGATGAATTCCGAGATTCCGAGATTCGCCGTATTTTTCAGGTGCAAGTGGCTGATGCTGAAAGATGTTATAAAGAATATTCACCACCTATCATTCATCTATAAATCATCAAATACATGTTGATCATGTTGACTATTGTTGACTCCCCAGATTTTGTTTTCGGTGTGCCAGAAATGACCCCAACTCCCAGGTCGCCGGATCGATTTCATCTTCAGCTACCCTCCACAAGTGCCGCCCAGCAGCGGTCACGACGGCGCCAGCCGTGGCAGCCCGGAAGTGGCGCTGGCAACGCCCCAGGGTCGGTCTGAAGCGCACTTCCTGCGGCGATTTTGCCGCGAAACTTGGTGAAAAATTGGGAAGACAATTGGGGATCCCCAAGTCACCATGGGTTTCAATACGAAGTCGTGGTCATCCATGACTTGATGTGACTTGGATGATTTGGGGTACCCCTATTTTAGGAAATCCCCAAATGAGGAAGAACATTGGGGATACACCAGCCTGAACAGGCAATCAGTGGGACCCCTTAGGTGCACTCTTTGCATACAACTGAATATGTTTTGACCTTGGAAAGACTTTTGCTCCATTGGTTGCCTCCATCTTCGACACGTTGTTCATGGTAAGCAACAGGAGTAACAGGAAGTAGTGCAAAGGTTCAGCTGACATGGCCAAGTGACCAAGCTGCACATCCAAAGATCGAACGATTCTGATGTGAAAGCATCAGTTCTTGTTCAAACCACCTGTAAGACGGCTCACTAGGGATGATACCGCATGCTTTTTTAAAGATAAATGACTTTCAAAGACAGCTTCGCCTAGCAAGAAGATATAATAATATGATGTTGCTTGGTGTCACCAATTCAAGGAATTCCCAGATATCGTGTGTTCTCCAAAGTTCGAGCAAGATGGTCCATTTTACCCAGGTAGTTTGTTTTGGACAGTCGACTTCATTCCACTATAAGTCTGCAAGCTGCAGTTACTACTGGTGTCCACTGGTTCTATACTTGGAGTGGAATTCCACAGTTGGCAGATCCTCCACGTCCAAAAAGCGCCCTTTTTTTTCTACATGTTGGCTTTCCCAACAGTTTCCGGCCGCGTCACAGGAATTGGTGCTGGACCCCCAGGGTGTGGCCTGGTTGGGCGTCACTTGGGAATTGCTGCAGCAGACCTTGGAAGACTGTTGCGTCCAAGGCACCGCAGACCATTGGGACCATTTCCGGACCATTGGGACCATGGGGACCATGGGGATGGTGGGATGGACATGGGTACCATTTGATGTGCGATGTCGGCTTTATGGTGATATGATTCATGGTGGTTTGAGGTTTTATGTGCCAAAGAACATATAGGAAATTATAGGAAGATGGTCCATTCTTGTCCTTTTCTTGTGGTTCTTTGGGTCTTTGATGGTCTTTGCCAAACAATGCTGCAGAATTTCTGGCTTCTGAGGCTGGAATGTGACCATCCCCGAAGCTTTTCGGCCACCTGGACGCGGTTCCCCTCTCGGAGAAGATGGGAGCATCGAAACATCACCAGCATCATTTCATTTAAGATGGTAGCAACATTTGCATCCAATAATATAATAATAATACAGTAATAATAATAATGGTGATCATCATCATCATCATCATCATCATCATCATCATCACCATCATCATCATCATCATCATCTCGGCCCTTCAAAGGTTGGACCTTGCGATCCCCGGCACCCTACTGGAGCTTCGCGTTGCCTCCCCCAATGTTGGCATTGCCCCCTGCGCCACCCGGGCGGCAGCGCAGTGCGCCGCCTGCCCCGAGTGGCTGAGCCGCGAGCAGCGGCTGAAGGCGGCGGAAGGGGGACATGCCACGGCGCAGACGAAGATGGGGATAGAACTGACACCTGGAAGAAGTTGGGGTCGGGAACCAACCAGAAGTGGAAGGTATAATATAATATAATATAATATAATACAATATGTTATGATATGATATAATATATACATATATGTATACACACATATATTGATTAATTTTGAGACAGAGATGGGTCTGTGGTAGATGGGTGACCAACCAGCTGGAGCCATGGGATATGATGGGGATGACCAGCCGGAATTGAGAGGTTATGTTTACGTATTTTATAATATATATATATATGATATGTACAATATATGTAGTGGGATATATATATATACTGGGATATATGGATAATTATAGTGAAGATAGGGATGGGGATGATACCGCATGATCTTCCTGGCAGAAAGGGATGAAGTTGGTGATACCAAGAAGTTGCTATATGACAGAAACAACATCCACATACCGGAAATCCTTCAGTAGAAACCACCATAAATCACCACTGGGGGATGATGGAGATGATGATCGGCTCAGGGTCAGTGGATGACACGGCTTTGGGCCTCGAACATGTAAGCAACATCATAGGAATACAAGGTGGTGCCCCAGTTCGTTAGCTAAGTTGGTGAACATAACTCCCATAACTATGGTTTATGGCAGATATAACTATAGTTAATGGGTGTTATGTTCACCAACTTATAACTAGGGGGCCCCACATTGTAGGAACTCACCAACAAGATGTGGGGTGATTTCTGAAGTGTCCAAATCAACCAGTTCCTGGTTCATATTGCGAAGGAAACCCGCCAGTGGTTCGCCCAAAAGGTGACTGGCTGGTAGAGTTTGGGGTGATGAACTTGTAGCGCTCTGACATTCAACTCTGGACTCTCCTTCCCTAAGGATCCATGTATGGAATATTTACCTACATTGGGATTATTTTAAATTACTTTAGGGGTCAATTTTTTGGTAAATATTCCAGCACCATGGATCCTATGGGCTTTGTAAAACATGTTCAACAATTTCCAACATCAAACATGGCAATGGAACATATTCCATTTATAGACGATCTTCCCAGCGAACCTCCGTTGAGTTGGAAATTTTCCAGCCACCTTGAATGAAGGGTACCCACTAGATCATTATATCCATCCATGATATCTTCATGAAAAAACCCGAAAAAAACATCTTATAACCACCATGCATTTTGTTGTTTCAATCACTATAAAATCACTATAAAATCACCAGCCTGCCCCAGCCAGCCTCGCTTCAGGATGCGCGAGGCCGCCGAGGCCCAGGGTCAGAAACGTTCGACGTTGCAACGCCAAGCCATCCAGTGGTACAAGCGTGCGGCCAAACAAGGGGAACCCATTGCGGTGACTTGGATGTGTGACCTGACGGATGGGATGGATGATCTGAAACTGTGACTTGATGGAGATCTGAAGTTGAGATATGTTGAGAAAAACCATGTTTTTTTTTGTCTGGGGTCAAAATTGATTTGGATCCTAGCTATGAAGTAAAACATGGAAGAGGGAGGTGGCGTGACCTCCAAGAGCGAAAGATCTCTGCGTCACGTCACGTCGCAGCACGAAGTTCTGTAAGTAGAAAGTACAAAGTTGATCCAACAGTTGCAGTTATCCTATGTCAACAGAAGTGTGACTAGTATATGATTGAGCACGGGGGTGATGTCACCCTGCTACCAAGTGGTAGTAACCTATACTTCACCAACACCACGTGGCTGTGTTTGCCAAGTCTAAGTATGGGATACCTGCTTTGTCCTAGGTAGCTGGGAAGTTAATCACCCTCCGCCATATGTTTTGTATTCTGAGCCTACTGTGTCAGGTGTCCTGATTAGTTCGGTGAAACATCGTTTGAAATGCAGTTTTGGACATAGTCAAGACATAGTGGTCCATTTCCCGCAAGGTTCCTGATATTTCAGATGATATTTCCTGATATTGAGGTAGAGAGCATTAAGGATCCCCATTAGATTAGCCAAGCCTTGACCACCAAGATCCAGCAGATTCCGACCGGAGGCCACTCGCCTGGGTTTCCTATATTTGACGGCTGATGGCCTGCGAAAGGATCGCAGCAAAGGTTCCTTGACATCGAAATGGCGCAACCACAGATTTTCATGGACTTTGGATATGTTTGGATGGTTTTTGGTCATTCTTACCACTAAAGATCCCATTTGTCTCCGTGGTTTCGGGACTTTTGGACGCTTAAACACCCCCAACTGACGCCGAAGAACCAAGGTTTGAAGCTTCTTTGGCAGGCTGCACTGCAGGGTGAAGCCAGCGCCATGTGTCTGGTTGGCGAACATGGCCCTGGGCCCGATTTTTGTTGGCGAAGCCCAACTTGGTGGCTCATCCCACTTAGTAAGTGGGTTATAACCCCAGTTGTAAATGGGATAAGTAGGGTTAATCCACTTCTAACTGGGGTTATAACCCATTTTCTAAGTGGGTAGTTCGCCACCAAGAAGGTAAATGGACCTTGAAAGAGAGAGTCAAACTCATAGATGAGGGGTTGGTCAATGTTGGTCATGTCAGTCGTACCATTGGACTGTTGAAAATCCAGCAACTTTGTCTATGCCAGTGCCCCAAATTGGGGACACAGATAGACAGTTTTGACCGTTTTGGGTGCCACTGTCCCTCGAGTGACAGTGGCCACCCTGGAGATCCCCTGCAGAAACCCATCAATTGGAGACACCTCAGGGTCGATTGGGCCAGATTTTCAGAGATACAGGATACATCAGGATACAGTATACGAGTATACTGTATACATCTCTATCTTACATCTAGTTTTCCACAAACTATGCGTTTCAAACATCGAGGCTGCTGCAAAATTCTTGAGCCATCAATTGCTTGCCGCAGGAAAGCTGGTAATTAGGTTGGATGATCTAAAACGGTGGTTTTGAACTTTAGATTGTATCCTTGAACAATAAAACATAAGAACATATAAAAACCCGCAAAAAGAAAAACATGTTTTTTCACCGCGGGCAGCACATCTTTATCGAAACAGACCTTGCCACGTTACACGTTGTGGCTCGCCGAGGTTCGGTCTCGCCGAGACCTTTGCATTGGATGCTGCTGTTGACGACGCCTTGAAGTGGTATCGAAGGCCTTGATCCGATCGACGGTATGATTCGTATGAGTTGTAGCTTAACCCATAGGATCCATGTATGGTATATATATGCTAACATTGGGGGTATATTGATGGTAAATGTTACCATATATAGCATACATGGATCCTATGGGTAATGCTTAGCAAATGTTACTTGGTGGCGAACTACCCACTGCTCGTAAATGGGTTAGTTCACCCCAATTTTTTGAGTGGATTAACCCTACTTATCCAATGTAAATCACTGGGGTTGTAACCCACTTACGATTTGTGGGATAGCAACAACAGCTCCAAGAAGAATGGCTCTGGATTTTGACCAAATCATTTTGACCAAATCATTTTGACCAAATCATTTTGACCAAATCATTTTGACCAAATCATTTTGACCAAATCATTTTGACCAAATCATTTTGACCAAATCATTTTGACCAAATCATTTTGACCAAATCATTTTGACCAAATCATTTTGACCTTCTTTGACCCATTTTGACCCAGTTGAAAACTCCCAGTGTTTTGAAGACGACGCCAGGGCAGCAGCAGGGGGTTGGCGTGAAGCGAAGCGACAGCTGGGTTTGTTCCTCCTCAGCCGCGGCATGGCCAGTGAGGAGGTGAGCTAAGGGCGCAGCTGCCTTTGGGGGTGCAGGCCAGGGTTTATTTACTGTATGGGTATATATATATATATATACGAATATATTTTATATTTACATATATATATATATTATATTATATACATTACTATATATTTTATACATAATATATAATATTAAATATATATATATATGTATAAGTACTGTATGGGATTCTAACCTCCAAAAGTTGGGATATAGTCTATAGTATTTCCCTTAAAAAATGGTTCATTTTCCAGAGATTTCTCGTGACTTTCCCACGGATTCCATAAGATTCCCATAGAAATTCGGGGCACCTTGAACCCGCACGAGGCAGAAGAGATGCTGCGAGAAGCTGCTGTGGAAGGAGACCCCAGAGCCCTACAGTGGCTGGGAGACCACTGATGGGTTACCACTAAGCTGGGATAGTCTGACCATGTTTGGCCATAAATTGATGGGTCTGAAGGGTACTTGAAGGGTACCTTGGTGTAGCCCATGTTTCTGCAGAGTATCCAACCACCAGCTTTTCACCTTCAAAAAGGGGCCCCTTGGCTGACATGCACGGATTCAAGTTGGCAGTCATTGCTCGGTTCGTTGAAGGGTTGACCGGTGGACCTCTATGGGCGTGTCTGGAAAAATGACTATCTTCCCCAATGGTCATCAAATAGTAAGGGCAACGATGATCAACCAGGGATTTGGGGATGCACAATTTTCTGACAAGCCGGAAACAATTTTCTCCAAAACCAATCAGCTTCTGTCAGCAAAGTCAACAAGTCCAACAAAAACATCTCTGACCTATGTGTTTTGGCTGAAAGCCAGAATCCTATCTCAAACAGCACCTTCAGCGGCACCAAGGTTGTTGAAAGACTACTTTCCCAAGAGTGCAGAGCTTTGAGAATTTTGAGAAACACCAGGTACAGCTTCCGCCACCATCTCCACAAGATCTCCGACCAGCATCCTGGTGAAGATCTGGGAGTTGACATCCGCTTTCCCCCGAGGGCCCGAGGTCATAGTTTCTAGATGTTGCAATGGAACATGTTTAAGTTTCCATGTGTTTCCATGTCATCTATGCCTCTATAGTCGGTTGACATGGGTTTAACATGGTTTTAACAAATCCCTACTGTGTTTTTTTCCAGGGGGAATTCTTGCATCCTCTTAAGTAAACCTCTCTGAGGGACCAGTTCTTTGGCTTCGCGGTTCGCAGTGGATCGCTCGTGTTGAGCCTTGATGCCTTGGTGCAGCTCCAAGCACTCCAGAGATGCGATGAAAATGGGGCCAGCGCTGCGAAAAAACCGGCAATGCCTGGCTCGACCACCCGACCACTGTTCAGGCTCACCTTCTGGCTTGGCCGTTGCTACCTTGGTGGTGCAGTTTGATGGAGACAAAGGTGCTGGGATTAGGGGGTACTGGAGCTGGTTTCACTGGGGCAAACAGGAAATCTGACCCCCGTTCGACAAGTCCAAATGACCAACTAGGACCTGGTAGCTTGTACATATTCGAACAGATCGGAATGTTCATTGCCTTGCCCCAGACCAGTCTTCTCAAAGGTAAAACATGTCAAGCATTGTCAAACAATGTCAAAGCAACTGCCTAAGGAAGAGACAAGAAGGTAATCATTAATTATCCCATTGTCATCCCATTATTGTCCCTTTATCATTTCGATTATATGTATCATTACATCCCAATAACACATGGTTGGTTTTGAGGGTTAAATCTGCATAACATGTTCGCTGCAAACCCCACGTTTGCCCGCATCGGATCCCACATATCCTTTGACATGCTCAAATCCCTCCGTAGGGCTAGCGTTTTTTTAACTTTCCAAAGCCTAGAAGCCTAAAACCCTAAAAGCCTAAACCCTAAATTAAAACCCCAAATCCTACAAACCTAAAGTCAGAATCGCTGCGTATAGCCAGTGTTTTCATTCATCCTCTGGTGGCAAGTATATGATATTGTTTGGGTGTATTCTTCGTGTGTGGGCGAACGTGGGGTTTGGAGGGAACATGTTAACATGTTTAATTTTTCTTTGGATTAGATTATCCCAGTATCATCTCATAATTGTTTAACAGTTTACAATAGTTTACATCCCCATATATACTGGTAAGTTGTTGCCAGATTGATTCCCATAACATGGCTGCTAGGGGGTGCAGTTGCACAAAAATGCGTGGTTTTTTACAACCATAGTAAAAAAGGGCGCCAAAACCCAACTTTCGGAGGCTATTACAGTATCACAGTTACAGCCATAAAGTATACACATCTCCCCAACTGCAGCTTCAAATAGGATGTATATTCCATGATGCTCCCATTAGATCCTATTACATCCCATCATACATGGAAAAATTCCCATAAGATCCTATGAAATCCATCAATTTTGGATGGAACCAACGATCATGTCCAAGATATGTCAGGCAGAGCTGGCTGAAGTTGTGGGGCGCAAAATCCTGCAGCCCTTCCTGGAAGTTCTCCCCAGGTTGGGGCTTGGAGAATGGCCATTTCGTGGGGAATATTAGGGTCTGAGTCGAAATTCAGTCGAAATTAGCTGAAACCCTTTCCCCCTAAAATTGGAAGATTCAAGATGATTCAAGTCAAAATTCATAGGTCCCTAAAATTGAAATTGGATGGTTCATAGATGTTAGTTTTGTTCGCAGTGACGAAAAACATCTGCGCTTCGCAGCTTGGGACGATCACAGCTTTCAGTGATGGCCATGCCTATTAGTTATAATTGGTTATTTCTTTGGGAGTATACATTCCACTGGTAAATGCCATAACTGATGATAACTAATAGCCATATATAGCCATAGGATTATAGTTCACCAGTTGTAACATGTTGTAACTGCTGATGATACATTCTATTTTGGGGTTTTCTGAAAGTACTTTTTCCGCTATTTTGGGCCAGCCATAACTGGGATCATCTTTATTGGTGAATGTGGGTGAAGCCTCAAAATGGTGAGCCGGTGCCTGTGAAGGTGTTGATTCCCTGGTGTCCCATTGTATCCCATTGCTCATCCCATTGCTCATCTTATCCCGAAAAAAACATAGAAAAACCCAAGTGTTGGAGTACTCCCTGACTGGTTATGTGGAGATATTGAGCAAAACAAATCATGGATATTAGCTCCTTTTCAGCACTTTGCAATGATTTTGCGGGTTATATAGATAACATATTATATACATATATATATACGGTATATATATATACGTACATAATCATACATAATCCATAGCCTTGCTGGTTGCACCTTCCCGTCTTTTCTGGTTCAAACACGTTCAGATTCTCAATTTTGTGATGGTGAAATGCCCAACGATGGGATCCCAAGATCGAAACAGAAATTATCCCCATAACAACATATCAAAAACATATATCAAATATGACAACAGCATGATACAGATCTCCGAAACAATCTTATGACTTATGAGATCTCTGCAAATAAAAATCTCCACATTCCCAAGGTTTCTCCAACTATCTCCAACTGATAGGTAAATTATAGCCACTTTTGGGGTGTTTGGAGCAACACTTGGCCCACGCCAGGAAATGCACAGATGCAGCCAGATGCCGGGAACTCATGTTGAAGGTGCCTCGATCTCGGGGAGACCTGGAAGGGGCCCGAAAAACTGGCAGAATTCGCCGTGTGTTGTTCCTCTGCACTAATGGGTTGTAAGGGATAACTCTCCCATTAAACGGGCCGAAGTTTTTAGGTTGGTGAACTAGATTGGATATTACAATATATTGGATGCGGAGGTCTCCTGAAATTGAAATGGGGTACCCCTTAAATGGATGGTTTATAGTGGAACATCCTATAAAAATGGATGATATGGGGGTACCACTGTACCACCGTTTCAGAAGACCTCCATATGATATTGCCATCCAGATATAAGAAGGAATTTGCAATGGTGTCAGTCACTGATGCGCATCTCAAACCAAACCCAGCAACACGGGGTCCTCAAAGAAGGTTCTGCTACTGGAACGGAGTGCTGTTGCTAATCTCTATACCAGGAAGTGGGGGACTTGTTGGAACTCCAATCTTGAAGCACACCTGGATGAAAAGGACTTACCGACCAGTGATAGGCACTGGGAAAATCCTTATTTTCCTGGTGTTGTATTTCTGTATGAACCTAAAACGGACGCCAGGGTGGTTTGTTGAACATGTCAGGTCTTTCATCTTAATACCCGATTGCGATGCAGCTAAGAAATCAATCAATCTGTTTGCCATCTGCAAAACATAAATTTAATCATCATCGCCATATGAACCAGTATTTAACCATATTTAACCATCAATTTATATGTTCATCCAGAAACATCAGAAAACTGGCTGATGCTGCCCGAAAACGCAACGTAGCCATTTTGGCAGCGCTGAATCCGCTGAATCAACAGCCGTGAATCCAATGGGATTCTTGAAGGTGCGCTGCAGCGATTTGGAGGTAGCCCCATGACAAAACGGAAACCTCCAAGCCCTGGGGCTAGCGAAGAAACGGTGCTTCCAGGGTCTGGAGATAGATCGCATACTGTATATATAATATATATATACATATATATACACATATTATATATATATATATATGTATCATATGATCGAATGTAGCTTGAGAATATTTTTGTTTAGTGGCTGGAATATTCAAGTATTCCTGTATACACAGGGTTCGTTGCGAGCTCAGTGACTTCAAATCCTCTATGTTCTTTTATGTAAGGTTGGACACAGACTGCAACCTGGCAGAAATGCCATGGTTACTGTAGTTCTTTTGTTAGTTGTTTTCCGCGCTGTGACAGATCAGTAAATACGCCACCCAATCTAGTTGAGCTGTGTATCATCCATCAACCTTGCCACGCCAGGATTTGTACACGGGCCCACAAGCCCCTGCTGCCTTTGAGTGGGTTTCGGGCAAATATGCGGACTGGAAGGCCCTTGGCAAATGGGAATATCATTAAAAATATCCAGTTATACAGTGTGGATGGCTGTTCCATCCTATGATGATTCGCTGAACATCGACATATGTCCCAATGTTCTGGACACTTGACCGCCTCCAAACTACACATCAAACTGCTATGTCGAATTGCGGCAATACTTGTGAACATGTATGACACACACAATTAGTACAACTATATAGTACAACTAGATACACATAGAATGCAGAAATCAGTGGCATTCAATCTATTACACAATTCTATTGGCAATTATATCTAATATAATTATATATATATATATGTATACACCAGTATAGGTGATACGTATCAGTTGTGCACCTTGCGCGCCAGGTGAGGGTCCAAGACAAGACCTATCACTTGCACCGGGTCCCGGGCCCAGTCGACCCAGCAAAACATGTAGTATAGACGCTGCAGAGAATAGTACTGAGGCTTTAAACCAATATGAGTTAGTGATTTTCAATGATTTTCATATGCTCACAATTGCTCACATGTCTGCGTTTTGGTGTTTTTTTTGCTTTTTCAGCTGAAAAAGTTGCATTTTGAATACAGCAAAAGTGGTTGTAAGCACTGCTGGGATGGTCTCCCAAGTTGGCAGGTTCCCAGTATATATCCATGTATATCCCACATGAAACCTCCTTTTCTTATCCCATTACCAGAGGCTGTGATTTCTCAACGGAAAAACTGCGCAAATTTTCAGGTCATTTTGGCTGAGGGTCCTCGAGGCTGCGACATGTTCTCAGCCGCCTTCAATGCTGCATATGTGGCTGGGACCAATGGCTGGGGCAATTTAGATGTGATCAAATCACCATCAATGGGTATATGGTTGTGTAAACCATTCCCAAATGGTAGGTTATTAAATAGGGTCTACCGGTCTACCACATTACATGCTACGGTTTAGATGTTAATATCAGCTGATATGGCTATCAAGATTGAGACGTTTTGGTATACCGATGTGATTTCAGAGTACATGATTTTAGTATACACAACACGGGGAACATAAACGGACATCATATCTTATTAAATCGTGTTACGTGAGTTATAAATACGGCAGGCAATTTTGCTGCATCACGAGACCGTCAAGCTGTACCTTGAATGTTCACAACCTGAATCGAGGCACTTGAGACATGAATTGACACCACAAGAGACCCTTTTTGATCATTGCAAAGTGCCTGCCAAGTCTAGTGGAAAGTTATGGACAGTATGGGCGGACCCATTCAGGAAGGTTTTCTCAACCAGTAGAGTTGATCAATCCACAATCAGTTTTGGAACTACAATCATGATCGTTGTGGCAAATGTATGTTCAACTACCATCATGTATACCAGGAGTTCCTTGGCTGGAAGATTGAGCAAATCCAGCGTTGCTCTGTAGCTTGCGTGGTCATTGTTCAAAACCTTCTGTTGATTGATGAAAAACGTTGCCGGGTGATATATTTTGGTACCCTCTACTGATGCGAGGATTAAAACCTGGCATCAGTGATCATGGCCTCAGTGCACTGGGAATCCCGGCACCCAGGAAGGGTCTGGTACCGACTTGACTCACTTGCTTCCGCAGCAGTGCCATGCAGCCTTTGAAACTGCGCTGGATGCTTGGCGATACCAGTTGTACCCTCGGTAAATTCGATGAAAATTTGGATCAAAATTGTGGTGTGAAAGGATCTCTTTTTCGTTTTCGTCATGGCTGCCAATATTTGTGTGACAAATCAGAATAATATGCCAGCCACAACTTACTTGGAATTACTATGTCATTTCAAAAAGTCAAATAATTTTAAATGATTTCTCGAGGTTCCAAGGCGAATAGCTATGAATTGTAAAGCCCACTTCCAGGCGTATAGCTCACAGACACAGTTCTCAGTCTGACTGGTGACAACATAATCTTCTTGGCAGCTCTTTCCCCTTGGCGACGGGCCTATCTCCACAGAAACCTGAAATCTTAACGCCAAAATCACTGGCTCCCCAATAGACAAGTGATTTTGAGTCTGGCGTACTCATTTCGATATTTGTTCGCATATAGTGGCTATTCCTGTGACTCCCCGATACCATGAGAACAGGATGTACTTGGTACAGCTTGCATGACTTCAACATGTGTTTTTTGAACTCTGTTGCCTTCTGCTGGCACAGTCCCTTTTTGTGCATTGCAGGTGTGCTGATGGTTCCATTGTAAATCAACAACTTGCCAACGCCGCCATGATTGGTGCCAAGAGCAGTCAGTTCCCCTGGTAGAATCCTACCATATTTAGCCCCACCCCCCATATTTAGCCCCCCATTAATTTAGGTTTTGAAAGACAATTTCCATGCCAGACATTGCATGTATTTTTGGTATTTTTTGGTTCTATCTGTGGAAGTCACCAGCTGTGGACTTCTGAGAACGACGCTTGGGTTCCTGGTTTCCTGTCAACACATGGCAAAAAACTGAGGACTTTATCTATGGCAAAGACAAGGTCGTGAATGATGAGAATGTATGTTTGCTGATGAAAATTGGTGAAGTTGCTCGACGCAGCAGCCGATCCATGGGCAATCCATGGTGTGTGACATAGTTTTTTGATGTTTTTTGCGACTGCTTTCTCTTTGGTATCCACAGTTGAATCTTGGCCAATGGACACCGGCTTGTGATTTAGAATGATTTAGACTTCTGTACATGTACAGTTGATTTTTGCAAGTTGGTGATGCTCTATTGAAAGGGCTTCTGCATTATCAATGAGTTTTGATGCTTTCAATGCAAGTGTTTGGTTTTCAGATTTGGAAGCATTCCGGATGATGCATTTAACCACAAATTTACACCCTGACAAGGATCTATCAAAGCTCCCATATGGAGAAAACGTAGCCATTTCAGAGGAAACCAAATGGCTGGATGTTTGAACACATACCCAACTCATCTTCACGAGATAGCTTGACACTTTCGTCTACTTCCATTGTTCCCTTGCTGTGTTGGACCTATGTCAGATCCAGGTTTTGCAATGCGGGGCTCTACTCCGCGAGTGCGTGTTCCGGACCGAAGTCATGAGTTTGTTTTTGAGTTTTCCGTCCCAGTGGATGATGACCGTCCCAGGGTGACGGGGAATGATGCCGGTGGGACTTGGTCTAACCTGGCTTGGAGAAAACATTGATAGGGCAAATGATGCTAAATAATCAAATTGGGAGCACTCCAATGTTTGTGGGTACTCCAAGTTTGAACACACATTATTTCATCATATTCATCATATGTCATGATTCATGATATTTCATCATCCTTCAATGCACATCTCTATCCATTTCCAGATGATTGGATTTTGTTGCCCAGGGCAATGTGATGCTGGTACATTTGAGTGATCAGCATGCTGAAGAGTGGCTTCAAGAAGCGTCCTCTGACTGCTCTGGTGATCGTGAGTCGTGAGTTATCCAAGGACAAGTCCACAGCGGAAAACGTATGGGATAAGTATGTAGATAGAGAAATTGATAGAGAAAATGCTCCCATATTTATGATTATGTACATATATACAATATATATATATATATAGTAATATACATATAATATATGTATATAACATATACGCACACTCTAAGTAGTTCATATTAAAGCGCAGTTACGGTGAAACCGAGGTTACCATCCGTGGGATGATCCCCGTCTGAACGACAATGTGCTTATATGTGCTTCCCAAAAAAGTGAGTTCAGGTGAACCAGGGATTTCTTGATACCATCTGGTGAACTAACATAGCAATGGAAAATGGCCATTTATAGTGGATTTTCCCATTAAAAATGGTGATTTTCCATAGCCATGTTAGTTCACCAGAGGGTAGCTATCACTTGGCTTATCTTTTTTTTGGCTGTCACAAAGAAGCACAGCTTTGCAGGTCGGCTTTGAACCTGAAAGCGGTGGTTGCACCCTGCTTGGAGCGCATGATTAACTTGAATCTCGCCGAGCCGGGTCTGGGGGGCCCACCTTGATGGTCCCAAGGCGCTTTCTCAGGATTAGATGCTCAATTTCCTTGAACATGTACATCTAAGGAGGGAATCATAGGGAATCCTAAGGTAGTTTTTGATCTCCAATTTTCGGATTCCCACTCGCCAGCCAAGACTTTAGGCCGAGGGCTACGGGTAAGATGATTATTTTTTGTTTGAAAGTTTTTTGGGCACAGTATTTTGCTGGCAATCTATAGAAATCTCCATAACAGAAGATTGGCAAAGGCCTAGACTGCTGAATTTTTTCGTCGTCCAAGACAAGCTTTGCAGAGCCTTCCGCTTTGTAAGGAATCTGCTGTAAGAGCAGGAAGCTGACATATCTGACATGTCATAAACAAAGGTTACCAGGAGACCCATCGAATTGCACAGATTCCCACCATGGATAGTGACCCCTAGCCACCAACCCTTCGCGAATGCACGCGAGGAAGGGTCCCAGCAATCTGAAGAACTTGGAGCATTGGGCCAAGGTGGACGAGGATATTTGCATCGCGCCTTGGCAAAGTCTGGCCGCCAGGCCATTTTTGGAGGTCACAGGATGGGATCATCCCAATCACACGGGATAATATGGGATGATTGGGATCCCAAAATTTTCAGTTACCATATTTTCGCCTCTTGGCCATTTTGGGATAACATGGGATAACATGGGATGACATGAGAAAACATGGTAACATGGCCGCAAGATAGGCCGATTCAACTCCACAATGAGCCCAGGAGATCCTCTCCAAAGACGACCTTCAGGTGAAATGGGCTGTTTGGGAGAGCCCGTTTGAGTTTTTTTTCTGCCAAGTTTTTTTTTTTGAGGTAGTGAACAGTGAAACACATTACGTATCTTATAGTCATCCTGAAGTAGATAGAATCTGGATGTTTTATCAAAGATATTCCCGTTTTCCTGCGTTTTTTTTTTTTAAATCCCATATTCTATCTTCTCTCGGATGACTATACATATATACGTATAATCACTTATAGCTTACATAACGTGCAACCTCATAGAGATTCTCAAGACCAAAACATATAAAACATTATAAAACATTATAAAACATCTAATATGGCTGTGATGACTGATCCCTTTTGATCCCTTTTGTACCACCTGGCCTTTTTATCTCGCTAGCGGGTAGGTGGAGGAGGATGATGTGGCGGAATTTGTCATGCGAGTGGTGGGATGGGTGGAGGATCCGACATAGCAATGGGACATAGCAATGCTGGAAGAAGGGCTGGTGAAACTCTTTTATGAATAGAATTTTAATCACCATTTATGAATAGTGATTTATGGAATTTGGAAATGCTGGAAGATTTAAGAATACTCTTTTATGACCAAGAAATGGATGGTGAATTGGACAAAACATGGAAAGCTATATGTAATTCCCCGGGCAGCTAGCGTCAACTTGGATCGGATATGGGCATGGCTGCAACAATGGTTACCAGTGGACTCTGAATTCGTCGATTTCCGTTGGTGAAGCTGTAACACCATCTAATGTTTTGGGTAAACAAATGCGAGCCACAGACACCAGCATTTGTGGTGTGGTAGAGAAGCTTTTGGATGGATTTGTGCGCCATTACAAGAGAGTTCCAGGGAGAGTTTTGTCAGATAGATTCAAACCTGTTGGTGAATTGCGTCTTCCCAAGTTTTGAAAATCCGCTCTCTGTGTTCGGCCAAAAGAAATGGGCCACCATCCACGCGGGCATCACAGCATCATCGGTTTTTTTCCACAGATGCTTGTGGGTTAGAAACGTCTTGGGGCGCTAGTTGACAATTTGTATCCCTTGATGAACAAACCTGGAAGTGGAAAATCCAGCTTCAGATGGATCTTATGTTTTTTTTAATGGTTTTTCCTATGGATTTGGAGATCCTGGATGGATGTTCTATCACCATGGACCATGGTAATGCCATCGCCAGGACCCAAGGGTTCAGCAATCCCTTTGGAGCACCGTACGCTTTGCTGGTGTGTCAGATGCGGTTCTCCAAAAGGCCACTTGAAAAACCGTGGGATCTACGTGGTTGCCACAAGCAAGTAGTGGACTCGTGGCATGTCATATGGTTCTCATAACCCAAAAGCATCAAACAGACAGATAGACACAGATAGACACAGATAGACACAGATAGACACAGATAGACACAGATAGACCAGCAAATCACCAGCCAGTCTATCTGGTAGACTTAGTAACATCTACCAGTAATCACTACCATAAACCAGTGATCACTACTTGGTGGCTCATCCCACGAATCGTAAGTGGCTTATAACCCCAGTGATTTACATGGGATTTTTGTAGGGTTAATCCACTTATAATTGGGGTGAACTAACCCATTTAGGATCCATGTATGCTATATATGGTAACATTTACCATCAATATACCCCTTTATGTTAGCATATATACCAGCACCATGGATCCGTCATGGGCACCAGTCAGCACTACCGCCAGGTGGAGCCTTCACCCAGCAACTTTGAGGCCATGGCCAAAGGCCTTCGCGCCAAATGCCTCGGAGAGACACCCCACTGGAGAGGCCGACTGTGGTACTGTGGGAGGAATTGATGGGAAACGCGGTATGTTACATATGTTCAACCTGAAGATTTTCTAGGGACATAAACATGGGAATCTAATTATGGGAAACAGATTCGTGATCTTAATGGGAACCAAAAAAAAGGATTTCACCACCCAAAATGTCGATTTGACCATGAAACATATGCTGATTGGTGGTTTGGAACATTTTTTATGTTCCATAATATATGGGAACATCCTTCTGATTGACTAAGATTTTGCAAGATGGTTGAAACCACCAACCAGTATGGATTTCACAGATGAATAATGGATATGGGATGATATATGGGTTTCTCCGGAAATTAGGGTTTTCTCATGGTTTTTCCCCATTCTATCGCCAGTTTAATTCGGAAAATTGATGAACCAATGATGAACCAATAGAAGGGTACCCAATTTCAAGCCCATGTAGTGTTTTTTGGGAATGGGGGAAGTGATCAATGTACCATTCAAACATCACCCAACCACTGGGAGTGTTATATCAAACTGAAAGAGGGGGCGATGGGTTGAAACAAAGCACAAAGGACATTTTTTAAGCGTGTAGACTAACATAGATCGATGTTCTGTACACAAGGTCTATGAGATTTTAAAAGGGAACATGATGATAGTCTATTTCAGATCAATAATCCGACCATGATAGACATTGTGGATCATTGTGGTATCCCAATGTTCAATGGATCATATCATAACTTTCCCCATTGTTTGCCCAAAAAATGATGGTGAAATCCGGTCAAACATCCCGATTTTGAGCCATAAAAACAGGCTCCTATTGGACCAGTGTGATGGGCAGAGGCCATGTGGCTGTGCCTTGGCGTCTAGGAGAGCAAGATGACATGGTGAAGATTTGTATCGGCAGATCTCGGCAGTTTCTACTTACAACTAAATCAACTCATGTGCTTCTTTGGAGTTTTATGATGTTTTATTTGTACTTATCGTGTGAAAACCATGGAGACCATCCAAAACTATACCTTTTCTATATTATATATATATATTGTAGTACTTTAGGGATACCAGGTGAAAGTAACACGTGTTGTAATACTAGTTCGTTATTTGCGTACCATAAACCATAGTTATCGGAGTTATGTGAACCCCAACTTGTCGCGATTTCGTGGCCACAGGGGCCTTGATGCTAACGATCAAGCGGTGGTACCTATCACGGTGGGATTTTCCAACTTTGACATATCCTAAGATGATCATGGGATTAGTAGCTGGTGGTTTGGAACATGGCTTTTATCGAAACCCCAATAGTTGCAATGATGATCCCATCTGACTAATATTTTTCGGGGTTGAAACCACCAACCAGATTTTTAGTAGCTGGCGTATTCAAACAATCAAATGTTCAGATCCGGAGGCCACGTCCCCAATAGTTTTCAGATGGAAACTTAAAGGATCTGATCAATCGAGGTGTTTTTCCATGGTTTCCTTAAATTTTCCGGTACCGGTTACCCATTCTCTGGTGCCAAGGCTGACGGCCGCCTAGTGGAGTTCCAAGCAGCTGGCACGGCGCAAAGCTTCCGACACCGCTGCACCATTCAGCCACCTGAGCCGCAGATGAGGTTTAAATTCGTTTTTGGAGCTTAAAAGCATGTGAAATCCATTTGGCAAAAGAAAACAAAGAAGAATTTAATATTCACATTTGTTGATTCAATTGGTCCAAAATTGGGGTTTGGAACCTGGTAGAATTTGGGGGTGTCATGTGTCATTGGACATGTCTTGACCGTCCACTTGTTGAGCTTGGTTGTCTGTCAGCATAAAAGAGTCGCCATCCTTGGGACAGCATGAAGGTGTTTTCCCCAAACTGTCAATCACTCCCATACATTGTTAGATATTGATAGATGTTGTTAGATATTGATAGATATCGATAGATATTGTTAGATATTGATAGATATATTGATAGATATTGTTAGATATTGATAGATATATTGATAGATATTGTTAGATATTGATAGATATTGATAGATATTGATAGATATTGTTAGATATTGATAGATATTGATAGATATTGTTAGATATTGATAGATATTGTTAGATATTGATAGATATTGATAGATATTGATAGATATTGTTAGATATTGTTAGATATTGATAGATATTGTTAGATATTGATAGATATTGTTAGATATTGATAGATATTGATAGATATTGATAGATATTGATAGATATTGTTAGATATTGATAGATATTGATAGATATTGCTAGATATTGTTAGATATTGATAGATATTGATAGATATTGATAGATATTGTTAGATATTGATAGATATTGATAGATATTGTTAGATATTGTTAGATATTGTTAGATATTGTTAGATATTGATAGATATTGATAGATATTGTTAGATATTGATAGATATTGATAGATATTGTTAGATATTGTTAGATATTGTTAGATATTGTTAGATATTGTTAGATATTGTTAGATATTGTTAGATATTGTTAAATATTGATATTGATAGATATTGATAGATATTGTTAGATATTGATAGATATTGATAGATATTGATAGATATTGATAGATATTGATAGATATTGTTAGATATTGTTAGATATTGATAGATTGATAGATATTGATAGATATTGATAGATATTGATAGATATTGATATTGATAGATATTGATAGATATTGATATTGTTAGATATTGATAGACATTGATAGATATTGATAGATATTGATAGATATTGATAGATATTGTTAGATATTGTTAGATATTGATAGATATTGATAGATATTGATAGATATTGATAGATATTGATAGATATCGATAGATATTGTTAGATATTGTTAGATATTGATAGATATTGATAGATATTGTTAGATATTGTTAGATTTTGATAGATATTGCGGATATTGGATTCCTCATTGGTCTGATTTGTTTGATGGTTTCATACGTCTTCATGTTCACCCGGAAGATGAACCTAACCATTTTTGCAGGAGAATGACCAAGATTTCTTCTAGTCGGTTTGCACATTAGCCGAAGTGCACCTCCATTTCCACTGAGGTTGCTGAAGTGTGGGGTCGCTCAGGACCTGTACGGAGCCAGTGTGGGGTCACCCCTTGAACTGGAGCCAATCTGCCAATCTGTGAAATCCATAACACGGCTGGTTATTTCAAAGATGGGGATAATCTGCAAATCTCTAAGATCCATACCCAATCTTCGCTTTCCAAGAAATTAAGTTAAGAATTCTTTGAAAGGTAAGACCTCCAGTGTATCCAGTGGCTCTTTTGGTTCGCAAATGATGGGGGTAATTCTTCGCGGCGGACGCTCCTACCATCAACCCGTTTCCAGCCGAGGTGAAAACGGAGCCGGCTCAGCGATCGGCTTTGCAACCAAGGTGCCCTCGTGCTGATGGGGTTGCCCCATTTGGTTTGGCGTGCTATGCCCTTTTGATTGGTCAGATCATATGATTCTCTGAGGGGTTCCCCTCATGTTGATGCCTACATTCTTGCTGTGGCTATGGATCAAAAGCCTGGTACATGCAGTGCACAGTCCCACAGCTATTGACCCACAGATGCATCTTCTCGCATATCCCATAGATGCTCCGTGTATCAAATATGCACCACTAGCCCAAAAATGATAACCCCACTTAGCAACCAAAAATGATCACCCCACTTAGTAACTGCTTAGTGATGTTTTTGTTCAGCCATGGGATAAGACCATGATACATCACGAATTTTTCGGGGACCTACGATCAGCGCCAGGAGGCTGGCCGGGATCACATCATGTGTTCCGAGGGCGGTTTCGCTTCCGGAGCTGGCACCGCGACCCAAATTTCGGGGAAGATTCGCATGGGTGGAAAAAAAATGGACGTTTTACCATTGCAAAAATGGACGAACACATGGTGGATTGTGGTGGATTGATGGACTATAATCATGATTTTAGTGTGATAAACCCAATACGATATATATATATATATATTATATAGATATTTATGCCTGCGGACCGAAAACCGTTCCCGTAAAACGCGCGTTTTTGAATATCGCGATTGTGGGTTGGGGTGGGGTGGGGGGGGGGCATTTAACGTTCCTTTTACTTCGTACATGATATATTGCCATGCTGCTAAGATCTCTGGGATCGTTTACTACGTGACATGTTGCTACGCTGCTGAGGTCTCTAGTGTGGGTTGGGGTGGGGTGGGGTGGGGTGGGGGGGCATGTTAACGTTCCTTGTACTTCGTACATGATATATTGCCATGCTGCTAAGATCTCTGGGATCGTTTACGACGTTACATGTTGCTACGCTGCTAAGATCTCTGGGATCGCTGACTACGTGACATGTTGCTACGCATGCGTTGCAGCGATGACGCTGAAAAGCCAAAAAACGCGCCCCAAGTTTTTCCAGGATTTCCAATCATCAAATCAGCACGGCACTGTGGTAAAATCACATTTTTTTAAAAAAAAACATGCGTTTTATGGGAACGGTTTCCGGTCCGGCGGGATATTTATGTATATATATATAGTGTGGGATTTAAACCATAGAATAAGGATAGCAATGGGCATTCGGAACTATTGTGGTTAATACATGTTAATACGGTAAGCCCAATGATCGCCAATGACTTGCTAAATATGGCTGAGATTTCAAGCATCTAAAATCGGATTTTATGATTGGGTTTACCACATTACGGTGTTTGCAAGCCGGGATTCCATGGATTTTTGCGAGAAAATCGATTTACATAACCCAACCATTTTTCCATGCATTCAACAAGTCAATTTTGTACAGCCTTTCACAGCCTTTCAGGTTTTGCCGATGTTTCAGACAGTGATTGGTGAACAGGTGGAACGGACTGGTATAGGTGACCCCTCTGGGCCGATCCATGTTTGGATGGCCATTTTAGTCTAAGTTCTGTTCCACCACCCATGACGGATCCATGGTGCTGGTATATATGCTAACATTGGGGGTATATTGATGGTAAATGTTACCATATATAGCATACATGGATCCTATGGGCCATGAATAACAGAATCCAATACAACAGTATTGACCGTCTGACCTATCTCACTGGCATGCACTATAATCACTATAACACCATGAGAATTCATGACATCTGTTTCCAGCATCTGCAGTCAGCTAAGGTGCTAGCAGCTATGCCATCTCAGTGTTTTCCAATGGCATGGGAAATGTGTGGAAAAATGGGCCGCTTGGTCGAGCTGCGTCAGCGTGTTGGACTTGACTCAGGTCACTTAGGAATTTGAAACGTTTCTGTTTCGTGGGCATCTTTCTTGGGTATATAATGGTATACATTAATACTCATAAATACATAACCACATAATACTATATATGTATATATAGTAGTATATACATATATATATATATCATATGCATGATAAAATGTGATTTCTTTGATAATTTTGATCCATTTCCATTGAGAGTTGATTCTAAATGCAGCTTGGCTTTTTGTCAAAGACGGACCTGAGGAAACGTCTCTCACAGGTCCTGAAAAATGTTGCCTTGGCTGCGATTTGGGTGTCTGAAACTGGTGTCTATTCCCTCACAAATGGTTATGTTAAGAGGGAAAAATGATGCTCTAGATATGTGTAAATCGCGTGATTTTGGATTTTTGGGGTGTCCCAATATTTTCAGGCAAAACTACTTGTTGCATTGGGTGGGAGGTGTGGCTGTGTTCGAACTCATCCAACTGGGAGATCAAAGCTGTGATTAGGCCCACCTGATCATACTTTCGCCAGGGGGTCACATGTATCATTTTCAGGACATGGATCGCCCTGCGACCAAGGTGCGAGAAGGTCGAAACCTGTGTTGCACTTTCGACATGGCCAGAAGCTGTGTGCTGTGGCTTGGTTTTGCACCACAGCTTGCAACAGATGATGCAATCCAGATACCCTCTGGTAATTTAACGTAGCTATTGAAAATGGCCATTTATAGTGAGTTTTCACATTAAAAATGGTGATTTTCAATAGCTATGTTAGTTTACCAGAGGGTAATGAGGGGGTTTAACTGTTTAACCAAGGAAGATATGGGAAGTCCACCAGGAAAAATGTGCTGGAAAACCACCCCAATCTTATGCAAAATCAGCCAAGTTTGATATTTTGGAGATGGGTGCCAAAACCCGGATGCCCCTCTCCTTCCTCGCCAAAATAGCTGTTAAATATTGGGATGTTCATTCCCCCTGAACATATGGTATTTCATAGGCAACTTCAGATCCATCTCCATATTCCAGGAACCCGAATTTTTCAGGCTTGAGGGGATCCTGGGAATCCTGGGGATCCTAAGTCGAGCTGACAGAGTCATCCATGAGTCGATCCGATCGGTACTTCGTAACGGAAGTTGGTGACACAACTTGGTGGTTTGGTCCACGTGAATCACGGCTGTTCAAAAGGAAGCCCTCTTGGTTGATACTGCCCTTGGATCATTGGGGATTAAGCCACAATTCATTGTTGGAAATGCTATATTTCTAACAAGAAAAAATTCAAGGGACGACATGTTGGGCTTTGAACGCTGCTCATGTTGGGATATAATTGGATATAATTATTGGATATAATTGATGAGTGGGGATATCATGGTGATATCATGTGTAGAAGAACTAATGATGATCTGCTTGGTGGTCTCAAACACTGATGATGTTCCGATTGAGCATTTGGCAACTTGGGATGGGTTTTTTCGCCAGCGAGTTGCAAAAAATGGTCGAAACTTGGGATTCCTTTGGATTCTCTCTGGGGGATCGGTGTCTCATAGCCACTCCAATTCATCAGCAGGATATTCGCCAATCAGCCTTCTATTAGCGGGTCCTAAGAAGATAGAGCCCTGATAGCCCTACATCCTTGTTGAATGGTCGTTAAAAAAAAAAACGGTAAACTAAGAGTTCACTATATGGAAAATATCACCATGATGCTATTTTCATGGGCTAATTCAACTATAAATGATATAAATGGCCATGTTCTCATTCGCTTTTTGTAGGTTTCCCAGGCCGGGTATGTCACCATGTCACTTTTTTCAGGGACCATCCTTCAGTGGATCCACCGGACGGACCCAGGTTCTCGGTGGAAGGAAGCGACAAGGATGGCATCTCAGTGCCTGTGGACCAAGAGGACGTGGGAAAGGAATTCGTTTTTACTGTGCCTTGGGCCCAACGTGTTCGAAGTCGGCTGGCCGGAAGTTGCGGTGTTGATCGGTGGAACTTCCGAAGCCCTCCAAATTATTGATTTCAGTTCGGAGCCTCGAGGGAAATTCGTCACATGGCATGACCTTTCGAACCAGTTGACCTTTCGATGTACTGCCTTGTACCCTACTGAACAAGCGATTTGTGTGTGTTTTGGGTGCAATCCTGAACTATTTCCGCGACTGCCGAATCTAGTACCTGAAGCCTGAAACATCCTGAAACTCTAGTAAACATCCCCGCAGTTAGCAGGACAGACGATATCAGGATGTTGCATGATGTTACCAATTTCATATCATAGTTTGGTTCGCAGTGACCCAGTGCACTGGGTGTTTGCATATATATATACACATTTGGACCGTCAACCATGGTTTTAACATCTACATCAGCGTTTGGGGATGGGGATGGTTAAAACTCAGTTCAATTGGATCAGTTCAATGGGACCAAACCTATCATGATATCAGAAAACCTCATATAGGTTTTACCTGGTTTTACCATATTATATATTATTAATGATCCCAGATAATGATCAGAAAACCTATGACCTATCATGGGATTATAATTATCATTCTATGGGATAATGATATATAATAATTATCATTCTATGGGATTATCATTCCTATCATGATTATAAGAATGATCATTCTATTGGGAAAACCTATACTAGACCTATCATGAATGATCATTCTATTGGTCTACTTTTTCCCTCCTTTGTGTTTTCAGATGGCTAGCTGGGATGGGAACTGCCCCCATGGCACCCATCGGCATTGAAATCAATGGGCAAATCATGGAACCCATCATGGCCGGAAAGTCCTCGAGTTGGTTCCATGATTTTCGCTGGGATTTCATGGGAAAACATGGGAAAACCATAGTTATAGCTGTTTATTCCATTTTATACCATAGTTATAAATCATTCCTCCATTTCGAGTGGGATTTCCCATCTTTTCCGATGATGAAAAACCCATGGGTTGAAAAAACCCATGGATTTCCAGGATCACACGGTGCTCGCACCACCATAGGTCAGCTCCTGCTCCTGCGGTGCTCGCTATCGCCTTGTCTGAGCTGCTGCAATGTGCCGTAGTGGGTGCAGGCCATTGGTGAACAATATGGGGATTACTGGGGTATGAAATATGGGTTATATATGGGTTACCCTCTGGCTATTTGACATAGCTATGGAAAATGGCCCATTTACAGATGATTGTCCCATTAAAACCTCTATTTATAAGGGATTTTCCATGGATCTGTTAAATAAACAGATGGTATGTATATATATATATATATTATGGTTAATGGGATTAGTGGGTTGTATATAGTTATATCGTGATGCTAAACATGATTTTTCAAAATGAGTGATCGTTATTTTTGATGGTAACTCAACATGGTGATGAATAAGCCCCAGGAGTTGGCATATACTGTAAGCGTTATAATTCTGCTGAAATATATTCACTTAGTTCACTGGAACTGCACCCCGCTCCTGGTCCAATGTGACTGGTGTCATTTGAGGCACGAAAAACATCTTGAAGTGTCGCAGGGCTCGAGTCCAGCAGGGCTCATAGCGTTGCCAGGGGGATCAATGGGTTATTAATGGGATATTAATGGGATGTAAATGGGATATTAATGGGTAGTTTTAGCTCCTACCCAGTTCCTCCAAGCCTACCTGGGATCGAGAGCTTCCATCCCCAACTGGTTCCCTTCATTCGCCGAGCCCCGCAGCACACTTCGCAGCCTCGCTGCTGCGTCAAGACAGCGGCGAGTCGAATTCATGGATTTCATGGCCTTCCGCCGTCTGGGCGGGGCTTTTTGTTTCAGCAGCCAGCATTGAAACAACTTGAATAGCACCAAAATGCCAAGATTTGGGATGATTTGGGTCTATCTGCAAATGTGGTATACCGATGTATACCGTTATATACCCATGAAATGACCATTTTTCATAGGGAAACTGATGGTTAACCAATGGATGTAGAGGTAGCCTATCAACAAGCCCATCTGGGGTTGTAGAATCCCTCGTCAATACTTGGAAAGCACCATTTCAGATGTTGATTTCTTGAACATGTCTTGTATAATTATGGTATGTGCCAGGGTTTCCATTTGATGATCTCAGATATCTCAGCTTGAGGTTCGTCATGGTTTTGTCACTTTTAAGGAGGGCAGTGCTGCTGAAGCTGCATCTTCGTGTGTACATAGAGAGCTTATGTTGCTGCCAAATTGTGCGCCTCAGAACGTGTTTGTTGGTCAATAAAGATGCCGTTCGCAAGAGATGCGTTTGGTACCTGAATGATGGGACTATACCCCCAAACAAATGATGGTTGATCATCACTTTTGAATAGTAAACATGACCATTTAATGTCCGATTTTTGGGCAACCGAAGATGCAGTTGCTAGTGTGGTAGGCAACCAGGTACCAACTAGGTAAGTTGCACATTGCTCGCAGTGGTTTTTGGTCTAACGATGGACGGCAAAAGGGTTTGCTGTCCATTTGATCCAGGTGATCCTAGATGTTTTTATGGATTGACCATCGACCTAGACTTGCAAATCGTGTCAACGAGCTAGGTGTGGAATTGAGACCCCTGCCTCAACCCCCGTGAAATCCACTGCCTCAAACTGCGGCAATCACCCATCACGTTGGACTATCTGGGACTTGACTTGTGTTGATATTTTTTTAATGGGTGACCTTTGCAGGATATATACTATCATATTTACTATCTATACCAATTCTTTTATGGTACCAGATAAAGAATGGTTTCAAAACATGGGTGACACAGTGGCTCCCCCCGGAGATTCTACTCGTGGGGGCCAAGGGAACACCAACTGATTATTGGATATTCATAGCCGCTGAAGGAAGTGGTGACTGGGATGATGAAATGGGTGCGGATAAAAGCCACACACCACCCACATACACCCATTATCTTTGCAAAATTTTGCAAAGGTAGACATCCCAATGAACACTTCCATTTTGACCCGCAGCCCTAAAACCAGCATTCGGAACCACCAACCGTTGAACCAGCAACAAATGGAGTTGTTTCCCAATCGCGCTTGGACGTGCCAGGAGGTTTTGTCGAAGAACACACTCTCAGAGGTGTGCGGTGGTGGCGGGTGTCTTCTGAATTCAGGGCAAGATCGGTGCTGTGAAATCCCTATAGGACTATTGGTTTCCCCTCTCCTGACATATTCTTAGCTTGTGATGCTAACTAATATTAAATGTATACATCCTAAACTCACCCACAAGATGGATCTTGGGTATCAAACAGATCCAAAACTCTTTCTGGTCAACAAGCCATCTACTTGTACTGTACTAAGAACCTCGAAACAAACTAACTTGTTTATTGGGTGAACCCGTCCACTTTACCATTTGTCCAAGTTATCTGGAAGTTGAAAAAAAACAGCAAACATCGATATTTCATGATATTTCATGATATTTCATGATATTTCATGATATTTCATGATATTTCATGATATTTCATGATATTTCATGATATGTCCAATATATTTCCATCTATTTCCATCGTTTTTTTCAGTAGATATGGACATCGATGCACCTTGTCGCCAGGGCAGCACTGGAGCCCTCGCCTTTCGCCAGGGCCCCAGGGCCTCAGGAATTGGTTGAGCAATGTGGGGCCCCCTATGAATTGCTTTGAACCCATAGGAAAATGGGGAAAACTCAGAAGAAGTTGGGTGATTTAATGAATGGGATTTTTGTTGCTGATTGTTGATAGAAGAGGTTGGTGAATAACTCCAATAACTATGGTTTATTGTAGTTATAACTACATTTACTGGGGTTGCTGGGGTTTTAAAACAACTTATAACTGGGGGGGCCACATTGTATGGACTGGGACATTTTTTGTTAGATACTTTAGTACTTCAATCTTTTGCTGTCAATGGTAACATGTACTGACCAGCAGGTATCTACGGTTCACCATGTGGAAGATGGATGAAGATGGCCCATTTGATGATCTCACTAGGCTATTACGGCTACTACTGTAACATGATGATTTTCTATAGCTATGTAAGATTACCAGAGTCTATTTCTATCTATTTCTCAAATGGTGAACGTAATTGAGGTGGCTATGGATCAGTACATTTCAATCATATCAGTATATATACCTCTAACATGTTTGGGGGATGGACATCCGTAACTACAAGATTTTGACACATCCGCAGGTATATCATTGTGAATCATTGCAAGTTCTATGATATATAATGTTGCACCAGTCTTGTATATTATACATATGATTAGTCAGTCACTTGTTGATTTGTATACTGTATTATAAAACTCATTCGCATGGAACAGCATACAATAAGTACCTTTAGTATGCTGAGATATATTTGAATAGGTGTGCATAAACAGTGTGGGAACATGGATGTTTCATGTATACATGCATGACATTTTGGATATTTAGATACCACACGGTGGTCCATAGGTATAGTATTGGAAAAGGTCCAAATGCACTCAGCGGTTGAAACTTCCAAACCCCGAAGAGCTCATTTCAGACTGGCTGGACACCTAATATAGAGTATGACGCTTGGATACTTTATATTGGGTCCATTATATATGATTGGCCTATAGCTTATAACTCACCGGTGTTTTAATGGGGCAGAAATTCAATTTACTGTAGGTCATCCTGCGTTAGCAGCAATTTATCAACCCCAACGGTTAAGTGGATTCCGCCAAAATAGTGAAATCAACAATTGCTGAAATTGGCACCTCCCCTATCTGTTAAAGTTTGGGTTTACCTATCAAAATGTTAAGACTCTCCAGAGGTTTGCCTTCGAGGTCTGTGTCTGGAGACCCTAGCAGACTACAGCCCCTTCGAGTCCGAGCAAGTACGACAGGTCCAGACCTGGCTGGATACAACATGAATGGGGTATCGCAAATTGTCAATGTTAAATGGATACATGGAATATCCGAGTGCGAATTGAATGTATTTAAGCATAGAAATATGTAGAAATTATCTTTGTAAAATTGCAACATGATAGCGGGAGAAGCTTCATGACCTCAATGACTCAATGACGAACATCGCTTATCTGCGACCACCGAGCAGATCGTGGGTGTAGCTGTGATTTCTAGTGATGAACCAACCGGATTTTGCGACTCTGGACCGCAAAAATCAAGTTTTTAACCACAGAATGTAGAAAACAACTTCAGGTTTTTGTGAATGTTTGGACCATTTTGGATCCTTTCGACAACTTCAAAAATCGGTCCAGCTACAGTAAAGGAGGTATGGTTCCAAGGGACGAACGGTTAGTAACGGTTAGTTTTTCGCCATCCTGGCTTCTTTTAGGTGGAGGATAATGAGGATAGCGGATGCGGGATCTATATAGCAAAGATATGCAAGCACTGTTTAAGCAGGCAATTATCTATGCATAGCTCCAAGACGCTCCAGGTGTTAGAAATGCTTAGAGCTGTGGTGAGGACTACTGTTGAAATGATGATTATGGATCTTGAAGTAGACAACACATCACACAGCTCTGTGTTCCAATGTTTGCGCTTGGTCACCCCGGTCACCCCGGTCACCCCGGTCACCCCGGTCACCCCGGTCACCCCGGTCACCCCGGTCACCCCGGTCACCCCGGTCACCCCATACCAGGGGCTCCAAGAGCTCATTGATCGAGTGGCGAAGGGAGATCTTTCGTGCCTTTGGATGCAAAAAACATGGAGATGCTCACAACTTAAGTCTTAAGTCATACTTTTGATCAGTTTTGTAGGGCATTGTAAGGTAAATTGTCTTCATTAATGGTTCAATGTGGTTTATTCATGTTTATTCAAAGTTTATACCATATGTTTTGTCCGTTGTTAGACCATGTGATTCGTCTGTTGTTCAATCTGAGTTGATGCAAGCTTCGGTGACAATGCGACAAACCATCACTCTTGGGGATGCTCAAGTGGGAAGTATCATGATCGCCAAGTGGATGTAAAATGATGCAAGTCTAACTGAATGCAATGGAGAGTGACTTACCTTTTTTTGTTTTTGTTGTTAAGTCTTCATTCTGAGATATTCTCAGTTTGTTTTATGTTTTTTTCACTTAAAGTTTCTAAAAATCATTCAGTCTGACCGTCTGACCTT